TAAAAATATAATAATTTAAATGTAATGTTGGTTAAAAAGCAAGAGAGGGTATAAAATATTTTTAGTTCCTTATGTAATTAATTATAATTTCCATGTGTTACCTGTTAAATAAATTTGTATAAAATTATTACAAATCATAAAATAGTTGTATTTAATGTACTTCACTATGTTACAATTGTTTTGATCTACCTGCAAAATGCACATCATGCGCGTATACAAATGCAACTCCTTTCAATAACATATGGAGTAGTTGTAATGACTGATATTAGAGATGCATCATTATAATTATATTATTTATTAAACTTATTATTTGTCAATCTTGTATTTATCCTTGTACAAAGTGTTAAACAAATAGTAACCATTATTGTTTAGAGTGTGCAACTACATGAGTACTATTACTCCTAATACTTGTGTTTGTCCTTCTCATAAATAGTTAGTAGTATAGATAATATGTAGATATTTTATGGTAAATAATACACCTCCTAATTGTCAGCCTTGTATCATTATTAAATATCTACATTAACTCTAAATAACCATGCGATACATGTTTAGCAACTGCAGTTCATTGTTTATCATATCTAGCTATTATATAAACTGTTAATGGATCTAATTAATGTTTATTCAATGCTGGTTTTTTTTATGAATAGAGTAAATTATGGAACATGTGTAAATCCTTGTCATAACTTTATATTTTTGTTATCAAAATTGATAAGATCCTTTTTCTGTAAATGATACTCTTTGTGATAGCTGCACAGACCCTAATCATTAAATTAATACATCTTATTTATGCATTTGTAAAGACACTTTCTACTCAGATGCTATATTACATGAGTATCCATGTGTCTAATGTGATAGTTATTGATGTTTATTGACACTGTAGTTTATAATAATAGATAATAAAAATAATTAAATAATAAATTCATTCAAAAATTGCATTTGTAAGCCAGGATATTTTGCGGTAATTCATAATGTTTACCATATTAAACTTGTGAGATCAATAAAAATCATTGTTTAACATGCATTGATACTCAATAATTAATTTATATGTAATGATGGATATTTTGAAATTAATAATATTTGTTACAACAACTCGAACTGGAATAGCATGTCAAGAAAAAAGAGCTACTTGTTAGTTATACACAATTAAAGCAATGTGTTCAATATCAGGAGATAAAATTACAGTATATAGACGTGTTTGGAGCAGAGTTACTTGCCTTTTATTTATTGATGTAACAATNTAAAAATATAATAATTTAAATGTAATGTTGGTTAAAAAGCAAGAGAGGGTATAAAATATTTTTAGTTCCTTATGTAATTAATTATAATTTCCATGTGTTACCTGTTAAATAAATTTGTATAAAATTATTACAAATCATAAAATAGTTGTATTTAATGTACTTCACTATGTTACAATTGTTTTGATCTACCTGCAAAATGCACATCATGCGCGTATACAAATGCAACTCCTTTCAATAACATATGGAGTAGTTGTAATGACTGATATTAGAGATGCATCATTATAATTATATTATTTATTAAACTTATTATTTGTCAATCTTGTATTTATCCTTGTACAAAGTGTTAAACAAATAGTAACCATTATTGTTTAGAGTGTGCAACTACATGAGTACTATTACTCCTAATACTTGTGTTTGTCCTTCTCATAAATAGTTAGTAGTATAGATAATATGTAGATATTTTATGGTAAATAATACACCTCCTAATTGTCAGCCTTGTATCATTATTAAATATCTACATTAACTCTAAATAACCATGCGATACATGTTTAGCAACTGCAGTTCATTGTTTATCATATCTAGCTATTATATAAACTGTTAATGGATCTAATTAATGTTTATTCAATGCTGGTTTTTTTTATGAATAGAGTAAATTATGGAACATGTGTAAATCCTTGTCATAACTTTATATTTTTGTTATCAAAATTGATAAGATCCTTTTTCTGTAAATGATACTCTTTGTGATAGCTGCACAGACCCTAATCATTAAATTAATACATCTTATTTATGCATTTGTAAAGACACTTTCTACTCAGATGCTATATTACATGAGTATCCATGTGTCTAATGTGATAGTTATTGATGTTTATTGACACTGTAGTTTATAATAATAGATAATAAAAATAATTAAATAATAAATTCATTCAAAAATTGCATTTGTAAGCCAGGATATTTTGCGGTAATTCATAATGTTTACCATATTAAACTTGTGAGATCAATAAAAATCATTGTTTAACATGCATTGATACTCAATAATTAATTTATATGTAATGATGGATATTTTGAAATTAATAATATTTGTTACAACAACTCGAACTGGAATAGCATGTCAAGAAAAAAGAGCTACTTGTTAGTTATACACAATTAAAGCAATGTGTTCAATATCAGGAGATAAAATTACAGTATATAGACGTGTTTGGAGCAGAGTTACTTGCCTTTTATTTATTGATGTAACAATCCACTGTGCATATGTTACTGGAACTGGACTGACAGATGTAATGTGCGTCTTACATAATAAAGGTTGTATAAATTTAGCAGATGGTACTTGGTTGTTAAGAAGCTAAGGCAAGTTGCAAGAATTACACAACATAAAATAAATGCTCTACCTAAATAACTAATTCTCTTTCATGTCTTTGGATTGACAACCATTTCTATCCTTTAGCTAGTGTAAATTGTAACTCAATAACAGGATCTGGTCTTGATCATTCACAGTATTAAGCCTACAATACAGGTTGTACTTCCATTTCTGATGGAACTCAATCTTAAGATTTGAAATCGACTTGCGATTAATATAGAGGTACAAAATTGAGTTGTACAAGAACTGCTACCTCCGGATGTTTTGTTAATGGAACAACTGTAAGTGTAGCAAGAACTTGTACTCATATAGATTGCAATAACTATCTCAACACTTGTAGTAGATTTTTTAGCATTTCAATGATTTATTTTAAAATAATTTGGAATTTGATTATGGCATCCTTTATTTAAAGGCTTTTTTTCTTTTGTTTGGAATTTCTATTTCCACACTAATAATTTGCTTTTTTATTAAGTTTTTTATTTTAAGGGCAATGTAAAAATAATAAACAATTAGATAAAATAATCATTAGGAAAACATGGAGATATTTGTATCATGAATACAAAATTTATGGCTATTATTGGGGAACACTGAAGATTATTCAAAAGGAAGCAATCATAATAGTACTAATTTACTATCATGATCATATATAAATTAATACTTCAATAGTCTTTCTTATATTATTTGGTTATAGCTTTTTGGCAGCTTCTTATAAATCGTATACAACAAGATAATAAATAGATTAGACACCCAATCAACAATCATTTGTGCTTTGTCAATTATTATGCCAGTTTTATCTATTCTGCTTAATAATAAAGTTTAAATGAAATTATCTTACCCTCCTACATTGTCACAGGCTCAGTCAATTCTTTTTATGTTATAAAAATGCTAATATAAATTATTTCATCATATTTAACAAACTAGACAAAATATTTGAAAAATTCATCGGAACCATTTTAAGAAATGTTCCTCATTTAATTTCGCATTATCTTAAAATTTATAACTTTTTAGAAGGGAGGTATTAAAAACAATTGAGAATTAGAAGAAAATACAGCTAATTAAGGGATTATTTTTTACCTAAAGTTAATTGAATTCTACAATTTAAGAAGTATTATTATCATGAATTAACAGGCTTAATGAAAAAGTTCAATCTCTTAATAAATAAGTTTAAGGCGGTTGGAACAAGAATAAAATTTAATTATATCACCATAAATTAAAAGTCTTTAGAGTGAAGTAGTATTAAATTAAAGCTAATTACTTTCACAAAGAATGAACTCAAAGTACTTAATGAAAGATTCTTAAAATAACTAAAAATCCTTATTTTGCATCTTTCAAAAAGTTTATGACAAAATATAAAATTTTCATCATGATTTAATTTATAAAATTAAATTTTTATATAAAAATAATATATATAACTATTTTGATATTATTTTTATGATTAAATTAAATTAGGATTATCTTAAAAATACATTATAGTTTTTGCTCTTAATAATTGAATATTTTTCATATTAATTACTTTATTATCTAATATTAGAAATGTTTAAGGTTATTAATAATAAAAATAATTAGTCTATTTCATTTTTCGATGTTTGAATTTATTAACTTTATAAACTGCCGCTTGATAGAAATTGAATATTATAAAATTCTTGAGATTTTAGAATGAATTGAACCAGAACAGAAAAAGAACTTATGTGTTTAGAACATAACGAGCCTGTTCTCTTTCTTGATATTTCAAAGAAAAGCACAAACTTACGAAGCCGATGCCTATAATGCGTGGGGAAAGAAATGTCATAGTGTAAAATCTAAAACGTTTATGAAAACTAAACCTTTTTTTTATATTTTATTTTTAATGAGAACAAAAAACTCAATGAAGCTTGTAAAAAATTAGATGTTGGAAAATAATTTATTTTTTTAAAATATCAAATCCTTGAAGGTAATAATAATATAAATACTTTTTTTGTTATAGTTATAGAATCATAAAATATTTAAATTCTCTCTATTTTCAAATCGTTCTGTTAATTTCTTTGATTTTTCAACTGATTTATTATTATCTTAATATTAATGAACTCTAACTAAAATATAATTCAAATCTATACATTAAGTGTTTGTCAAATCAATCCTTAGAAGTTGAGTTATTGATCTGCTATAGGATTCAGTGTTTTTCTCGCTTAAAGAATGAAATATAGCATAAAAATAACCATAGGCAACACAACCTTCTAAGTCATCTACTGGCTAAAAAGCTGATTCTTTTTTTCCGTACTCTCTAACTTTAGTAAGAAAATATTCTGGAGGCTCAAAAGAAAATATTTCATTTAATTTTAAAGTTCCATTTTCCCAATCTAGGTTAAATATTTCTCTTTTTCCTTTTTTAATTTCTCCTTGAAAAGGTTTTTTGAGATATTCTCCTGATAAAATTAATTAATTTCTTCCATAATAAGGACAAGAAAAAAGAGGAGAACATAACACTTTTTATTAATAGGATTCTTCTGGGTTGTTGGAAAATTTAAGATTAAAAAATTTTAATTTATTTCCCAGTAGAATTTCTTCTTTACAAGAAAAGATTTATATTTTCACCTATTCCTAAACAACAGAATTAATTCGACCTTTAGGGTCACAAGTTTAACCACCAAAAAAGATAACTAATTTATCAAAAATTTAATCTTAACAAACGAAAAAGCTTCCATCAAATCTATTTTCTAATTGAAGTTTAATTTCTACCCATTTATTATTTTTGTAAGCATATGCAGTATTTAACAATTAATTTTAAATACATTTTTCTTCATCTATAAATTATTTTTATCCATAGAAAACATAGACTTTTCTAACATCTTATAAATTAACAAAAATACCCTTAATATGTTGTACCCATAAAATTATAACCTTCAACAGGTAAATTTGGTAAAATCTCAACTTTAGCTTCTTTCTATTGAAATGGATTGCTAGGAATTCGAATCCTTAAAAATTATGAACTCTATGTAAATTATTCAGAATCTCTTCCTCCAATAATATATAAATAATGTTCACTTCCACACTCAAATTCCTTTATATATAATTATTATCCTAAAATATTCATAGGATTGTTCTAAATTTCTAATTTGTATTCATGCCAAACATCATAAAATACATAATATACAATTAACTAGTAATATATTAAAATTTACTAACGAAATGAATTTATTTTTATTGTTATCATGATATATTTTTTTTAGTGCAAATATGAAATCGCTTTTTAATGATTTTTTTCCTAATGAAATTAACTTCATTGAATTTCGAAACAATAAACTAATCTAGCTTTTTTTCGGTTCAATTAGTTAATATAATTGGCTCATACTTATTTTCCTTTCTTTTGAAATTTTGTAGATCTTTCTACTAAGGTAATGGGATAGTTTTTAAATAGTAAATGCAATATTTTCGCTTATTTTTTTATTTTATGGTTTTTATTGATCATCATTAAATTGATGCCTTTTTGAAATTCCTAAAATAGCAGAAGTCCCAGGAATAATGACTTTTTCATATTGAGTTTCTTTTTTTCCATCTTTTACTTTGCATTAATAAAAAGAATAAGTCTCTTGAGACGAATAAAAAAGTAAACTTTCATCAATATATTTGTTAGCATATTTTCTTCTATATTATATTTTAAATAATTTGAAGGCTTCTAAAGTATGATATAAATTAGTATCCACTCCAAAATTTTATAGATATGTCTTATTATAGCATACGGGGCAAATAAATAACCTCATTAAAATATTATAAAATACTAGTTATAATTATTTGTCACTTTGCAATATTCAAGCAAAGATTTTAAATCGAATATACATTTAAGCATTTTAATAGATGAATGCCTTACAGGAATATCAATTAAATTTTTAGATAATTAACAAAGTATAGGTAATTGAACTTCTTCTCCTTGCATTGAGATTTGTATAAATTTATCGACTTCATTGCTGATATTATGTGATTTTATCTCTAATTCAAATGAATTCATTATAGAAAAATAATTATAAAGATTTTTTTTAATTTTTTTCTTTGAAATTCTAATAATTTTTCTAAGTTCAATTTATGATAGTTACCATAAGAATTAATCATTAGAAGATGATTTTAGAAATAAAAATGAAAATAATTTAATAATGAACAAATTATATTTTTTTTTGATGGTTGAAATTTAGTGTATACTTTACCAATTTATTGCTACAAATGAATATTTATTAGTAGAGATTGAAGCTGAGGGATGGACATAAATGAAAATATAAATCTATGAACATAATGTGAAACAGAGTGAAGCAATTGAAAATTATGAAAAATATTTGCAACTTTATTATAAGCTGAAATTGGGATCTTATTACGAATTAGAAATACTTATAATTCCAGAAACAAACTTTACAATTAAATAAATAGATTAAAAAGAATGCCCTAAGTAATGTTCTAATAATGGAAATTGTATAAATACTAGCTGTCAATGTTATGAATAATTTTTAGGGTAATATATATATTATTTATATTATAGATCAAGATGCTAATTTGAAATAGAAAGTTACTATAATATTCAATAATATAACATTGAATTAGATTAATATGAAACTTAGTATTTAAAATTACAGTATTAATAATTAGATTTGATCAATGAATAAGGGTACTTTCTATTTATTAAGATAGAGATAGACAAAAAATTTGATTTTGTCAACAAATTATGAAATCGAAATTCAGCTTTACATAGTTTTACCATTTCAAAGCATATTAACCAGCATTCAATATTAAAACATTTTATACAACAAATCACTCAATGGATCTACTACTATAGATTTTTCATCATATTACTAATAATTTAGTGGTTCTTCAATAAGTTACACATTTTTTTTTATGTTTACCAATACAAATAAAAATAAACAAAGGTACTCAATGACTTTTGAATTGAAAAACTCTGAGATTACATTTTAAGACTTCATTTTAGTAACTATTCTTAGTGTTGTTGCGTTTATCATTTTATTAATTGTAATATTTATTGTCAGAAGAAGATGTCAATATATCTAAATAAGTAAGCTTAAATATTAAATTGATAATTAACCAAAAGTTGATGTTGTTGGATAATTACCAATTGTAACTCCTGCAAAAGATTCAGAATGTATTGTATGTTTGGATTTATTGGAAAACTAGCAATGCCGATAAACTTCTTGTAAACATATATTTCATGATCATTGTTTAAATGAATGGTTACAAAAATAATAAACTTGCCCTCTTTGTAGAGAGAATCTGTTTGAAGAGGAAGGAGCATAAATATTGAAAATTAGAAATTTAAGTTCATCTTCTTTAGTTGCTGGATAATTTTCAATAATTTAGAGTGAAAGATAGCCAATTTAATAAATTATACTTTAAAGATCAATGAATAATAGATTAGCTGCATTTTAATGAATCAATTAATATAATTATATTCATAAATTATTTTCATATATTATATAGAATAAATTTGTAAAAAAGCGGATTTATTTTTAATTTAGGTTTAATTGTTTTCAGTGAGGTATTTAGAGCAATCAGAACAACAATTTTTTTAATTATTTTTTTCACTTAGAAAGAGACATTTAATAATTATTTATTTATCAAAATTTGCTTAAATTTTAAATCATTAAATTTATTTGAGATTGAAGTATATTCTTTAAGACTGTTAATTTCTCTGTGGTATTCATATTATCATATTCTGATTGATTTAATCCACTTGACTCAATGTACTAATAATCTAGTTGTCGTTTTTAAAAGTATTTTTTTATCTTTTTCCATTTTAAACTATGTTTTGAATTTAAAGGTGATTTACTGATGTATTAAAATTCTTTTGAATTTAATGTTTGGAATTGTTTAGAAAGTTCTTACCTGCTTTTCTCATCTTTTAAGAGTAATGAAATTTTAGATTCATTCTCTTTGAAAAAATGTATGGATTTTTGATGAGTCTTATCATCTGATATCTCAATTTCATTTTAATTCTTAATTTAATCACTCATTATAGATTTTGCAGCCAAGAGTTGAATGGTATTTTAGCTAAAAATATGATAATTCTTACGCTTCATCAATCATACAGATAGCGAAATTTTAGACAACTTTGACGAGCTGATCTCGTTTTTCTTTCTTCCACATTCTACCTTCTTATTTGTAGACTCTATAAATGGCCTTTATTGTAGAGAGATTATAACCTGTCAGATCTGATACCTTATTGAATCATAATAATATTACTTAAGAAGCACTCATTTTACTATTGACTAATGCCTTTACAATCTAAATTCGTTCATCACCTGGTATAGGTTTATACTTTGTGTTTTAATGAGTATGAGTTTCTTGATTATTCATGTTTAAGATTTAATTAAAATTATTGTTCATGAACTTTCAGCGATTAATAATGATCAATAGTAATAAGACTTTATATAAATTATTAACAAAATAAGTTTTTTTGAATTAATAATATTCAAGAATCGAACAGAATCTTTTAAACAGTTTGAAAATATTTGAAAACTAACTAAAGTTTGATAATTTATATTTTTGAAAATTAGAATGAGTATATCATTATGCTTATATTTTAAATTATAACGAATAAATTTAAAAACTCAAAATTATACTATTATTAATGTATAAAACAATTTATAATAGATCAAAACAATATTAGAGGGATATACTGAATCAAAATTTTAAGGTATTGTTTTATCCTGTCTCGCTGAAAATTACCAAATATATATTTAATAAGACATATTTTAAAATATCTACAATCACTAATATAAATATCAAACTCCAGTTATTAAAATCTATATTTTTAGTTAAGCTATCTGATATTGAGATTGATACAAGTAATAGAGGTTCAAACATTATGACCTCAATGCTCTTCAAAATGTAACTACTAATCATAATAGTATTTGTAATATTTGTGATCTTCTTTTTTGGAATACACAGAAAGCACAATTCTACTGGTAGTAAAATAAAAATAATTGATCTGCAACTCAAAATTCTATTTTTATAATTTAAAGGTTTTAAATCACATTCTCTTGGTTCATCTTCATTAATAAAATTTGTTCTATACAAATGACTAATTGGAATAAAAGATCTATTCTATAAATTAAATTAATCCATAAATAACAGCTTTATACTGCTACACATATGAAATACTCTTGGAATTTGAAACAAAACAATAAAATAGAGGGTTATGTAAGTATGAGTGTACACCTTCAAAAAAAATAAAGTAATTATGGCTATTCTCAAAATGATGTCCAATATCACATTTGCGAATAGAAATTTTCTAACTAGAGATCTATTTTCTTTAAGAAACTACAAATAAAGAAAAGTGATATTGAGGGCTGTTTCTTAATGATAATTATAATAACTATCCTTTCGCTTAGACTCTCGAAAAAGTAATCGAGGATTTAAAGCTGATGGTTTACCAGAATATATATCGTAAACGTAATACTATAGTTCGATATTATGTATAGATGTTGTATTAATGTCTATTTACTAGTCTTCTGTTAGTGATTACAATAATTCAGAAGAAGTATCAATCATTATGTCAGATTTGCTATTTTTTTTAGTTTTAGGTCTCATATTTTCTATATATATAATAATATCGGATTCTTATATAACAAAAAATATAATCTTATTGGATTGTTTGAAAATTTTTGTCAAATCTAGCTTTAACTCAAACTAAAGAATGAAAAAATGAAAGTTATCTCAATATTATTTAGAGTCACTTTAAAATTCATGTAAATAAATTCCTAATTAAATATTATGATAAAAATAGAAATAGTTTTCAATTAACAATTAAAGTATATCAGTTCAATTTTTCATTATTTGAATAGCATCTTAAATCTTTCTTCTTATTAAACATTAACTTTAAAATGCTAAAAATAAATTTAAAGAACGAAAGTCAATAAAACCTATTTGGACATAAAATACTAATCTATAAAAAAAAATATAGCTTTTTAGCAAAAATTTCAATAAATAAAAAAAAGAAATCAGTTTTTCTTAATGTTTTGAAAAAAAAGTAATTTTTTTTTGGATTTTAGAGAATAATGTTTAATTCAAAAATTTTGTATTTTGGGTCGCTTTTATAAAAAAAGCTATCTAATATATGAAAATGAGAAAAATTGATCCATATGATCTAGTTTAGGTTTGACTAAACATAAATATATAATAGTTTTATGATTATTTATAAAATTCTTAAAAATTCTTCTCATCATATATTGCTGCATACCTAAGGGTAAATATCTTTAGAATTATTTGGCCTTTATAATTTATTTGGATTAGTTTAATATGTCCAAAATTATGCTGGTGATTTTTATGATATGTCACCTATACTTCCATCGACACAAAGAACTAGCCAAGTTAGATTAGGTTCATTTTTTAGATTATTAAGTTATGGTAATTAGTATCTTATAATGGGCCTTTCTTATTCAGAGGCATAGAGTGTAACAATAGGTTTAATTTCTTTAAAAATAGGATAGTTATCAATAGTTGATGTATCAATAGAATGCCCTTGTTATTTTTTAATATTTAAATCTTTGAGATTAGGATCTATTGGGTCAAAAGCAACAAAAAAAGTGTATTTTCTTTCTGCCAATTAATTGATATAGATGGATTAGGCGTTTGTGCTTCCATAAAATTTCATGCCACCACAATTTTCATTAAAAAAGCCTACCGTACATTCTGTATAGGAAGCTCCTAATAGTAAATTAAATTTATTATGTTTTGGAGTTTCTAAAACAACAGAAAATTAACCTTTTGTTGTAGATCTTGGAATCATAGTTGCTTCAAAGGCTTTTGGTTTGTTCAGTATTTTTGAATTTATTACAATATAAATAATAACCTTTTTTTTCAGCCCCAAAATAATATTCTTTTACAACCATATTGTATAGAATGCTATCTTAATTTACTGTGACTAAAAATAATAATAAATAAATAATTTACTCAATCTAGATGGAATTGGCTTAATTTTTCCACAATCGTCTTCATTTTTATAGAAATATAAAATGACATCATTTAATTCTTATCCAGTTTAGATGTCAATAATATTAACTTAAAGATTTGTAAATTTAAGATTATTTATGTATTCTTTTTAATTCTAAGAGAAACTTTTTTCTTCTTAATGGTTTCTATGCTATTACCATAATAACCTATTGTTTGTGGCAGTTTCAATTTCATAAATATCAACTTGTATTTTTTTATCTCCTTAGCTACAAATTTGAACATGATTTTGTAAAATATTTTTAATTTCATCTTTGTTTCCTTAAACTCCAAACATTCCATCTGTAACATCATTTGCTTAAGGATATAGAATATTTTTAATCATCAATTTCGGGATATATGATATATTTGGAGAATTGACATATTCTGTCACAACAACTTACATTTTAGGGGCCAAAATTGTCACTCTAGATTTTCCTTTTAATTCAATATCTTTATTATCATTTTGTTATTTGTAAATATTCATGAAAGGTTCACATCCAGTTACATTTTCAATTCCAGTTGGATATACAAGAGGACTTTTATTAGCTTGGATTACTTTTTGATTCTCAATAATCACATTATCAATTAAAGGAGGTAATTTAGGTACAGTAAACACTAAAAGAAATGAAAATATAATAATGATAATTGCAAGTAATACAAATATCCAATCTAAAGTTCTATTTGGTATTTATTAAACTTTAAAAGTTGTATCAACTTATAACAATGCCATAGATAAAGCATATCCACTAATTACAAGTAATAAGATTGAAAATCCAGCTTTGAATAAATTTGATGACATTGAATCAGAAAAAGCATTACAACAAGATATATTTAAACATTTCTAAGTTGAATTTGTTTCCCATGAAATAGCTTAGTTTTGAGGATCACAAACATTGTTTTCTAAATATTTATTGCATTATGCATTTTCTTTTATCCAACTTTCATGCGTATTTCTCATTTATTAATTGCATTCATTTATATAAGTAGTTCTGACTTATTCACTAAGTCTAATTACATGAAAAGAACAAGCAGCAATCAAAAATATTATTATTAAATTAGCATAACCTACAGTTTCAAATATATCCTATCTATAAAGGAAAGTTAAAAAAAATGCTATAAAAGCTGCGATTATTATTCCAACAGCTAAAATCTAAAATATAGTGAATGTATGATTTGATGAAACAGGAGCGTATGGGATTGTTAAATCTGATAATACTTAATTTGTATAAAGAATAGTAAATGAAGCGATTATTATTGTTGTTAAAGAAAAGACATAGATACATACTCGTAATTAATTCTTCTATTAAATAGTGACATAACTAGTAAATGCTACATACATTAACATTAAACTAATTATAATTAAAATTGGTATTGCTATATACAATCCATAACTGTAATAACTCATATATGAAGATGGAGTTGTTTAACTATCATAATGCTTTGCTAAATAAAAATCTTTGCCTATCCTATACCAAAAAACAATCAACACCAATAAAAAACAGTTAAATAAAATATTTATGAAGGATCCCAAAAATACTGCAATGGAAAATCTTTAGTCCAGAACCAACACTTCATGTGATTATTGATAATCATCTTATGTTTTTACAGTGGTTGTATTAAACCAATAAAATATGATACCCTAAAATGCAAATTAGCTTAGATTATTACACATAATATCAAAGAGAATATTGCAGATGTTAATGATAACATCATTATAATAAAAGAATACTTATTAAAAAATATTAATGATATTATTATTAATGCAATTGCGAAAAGTAAAGTTAAAATTGTTAATTTAGTTGACAATTCTAAAAACTCAAATAGTTTTATACTTTATTTAGCTAATAATTCTCTCTCAGACCATCCTTCACTATACTTATGGCATTTTTAATTGATCACTTCCATATTAACTGTAAATTTTATATTATAATATATATCAAATATTTACTTATTCTTTTTATTCATATTAAAATAAAATTTGAATTTAAAAATAATAATTCTTTCATGCTTACCCCAATTATCCTTTCTCAACTCTCTCTTTTATTTTTTTAGGATCTGGTGGCATTAAACTGAATTTAGCTACTACACTTTTAGAGATTCTTCTGAATTCTTTATAAGTATCTTCATTTCCATGATGTAATTCGAAATTCTCCCAAGTTTTCCATAATCCAAAATCATCAAATCTAGGATCACTGAATTAAGATATATGTATATAAACAGCCCTTGCTCTGTCAATTTCTCCAAATTTTCTCTCTAATTAAGCTAATCTTAATCCCATCTAAATTAATTCGGCCTCTTATAAGTTTTCAATTGCACTCTCAAAAACAGGTCTTGTTTTAGTAATTCCTAAATATAAAGCTACCTTAGCTATATATATGTTGTATCTAAATTAAAATATATTTATTATTACGCTTCCATTTTATCTTGGTATTCAACATTAAAGACCATTCGATCATAGATTTCAATTGCATGATTTAATAATCCATATTATTCTTCAAATTCTCCATACATTAAATAAAATATACGATTTTTCTAATTAAAAATATTAAATTATACATCTTTTGGTACTTATTCAATTACAGTTTCAAATAGATTTCTTGTTCTTTCTATTTTTTATCCACAATACCTTTATATAAACTTAGTAATATAAACAATCCACAAATCATATAATGCAGGCCAATCAAATAATTAAACTCCAGCCTCAAATACTTTAAATGATTCTTCATAAAATGCATTATCTTCTAAAAGTTAAGCATAATTAATTATAATAAATGGAGTTACTACTTTAAGTTCAACCATACGTTTATAGGCTGCTCTTAATGATTTAAAATTTCCAAAGTTTCTTTCTAAATCAAGATATAATTGCCATAATTATAAAGAATATGGAACCATTTCAGATGGTGTCATTTTATCTAATTTTTTAACATACTTTTTAAATAATCCTTACTTAATTACAGTAAGGGAATCATTTATAAATCCATCTAAAAGTAATATTTCAACCCATTAAGACCATAAATTAACATGTTCTTCAATATTTTTAAATTCAATTTTTGATCCCTTATGAAAGATTTAATTACAAGTTTTCCAATCTCCTTTATCTCTATAATATTTAGCATAAGCAACCCAAATATCACTTAACTTTCCATTATCAGCTAAATTTGGTTCAACAATTTCAAGTGCTTCAGTAAATGTTTTTAAAGCCATTCTTTCATCACCTTTAACTAATTCAATTCTTTTTAACCATTCTTCAACATTATATTTATTTTATCTCAATATACATGAATTTAATAAAATTGGTCTTCTTTCTAATAATTCATCTAATCTATCCATTTTTAATAATAATTCATCTTCTATTTAAACTTCATCATCTTATGATGATTTTATTTTTAATAATTAATCCAATTTAGTTGATAAAATTGTATCATCAATATCATCTTAATTTTCATCATTTTCATCAAAATCTTCTAACATTTATATAATTGTTTCTTCATATTTAACATATGCATTAAAAACCAAACTGAAATCTTTAACTGTTAATACATTATTAACTGCATCTTCAAAAGTATCTCTTGCTTATTCAAATTATCCTGTTTTAATATAATAATCAGCCAATTTTATCCATAATTATCCAATTTCATCTGAATATTTCTTGATTCCAAATTTCATTATTGATGCTGCATCTATTGGTAAATCATTAGGATGTCTAGCAATTATTTCACATAAATATTTCATAAAATCATATTTAGTTTTTCCACTAGAAGAATTAAATTGATCATCATTTAAAATATCAACTAAAATTTAACATGCTTATCCCCAAAGTTTCTTTGATACAAGATAATCTAAATATTCTTCTTTATAATCTGGATTTATCTTAATATATCTATTATAGATTGAAATAGCAGTTTTTATTGAATCTGTTTTTGAAATCTCAAAAATAATTAGAATTCATACCCATTAGCAATATGCTTTCCAAATTCTATGATGTTATGTGACTGGTAATGATTATAAAGCTCTATCATACACATTTCTAGTATGTGTATATTTCTACAATGATGCACTGTATTCAGCATACATCAACCATAAATTAGGCATTTTATGCATATAAATTAATGCTCTTTCAAAATATGTGATCATTTCTTCAAATTTATTTGATAAAAATGTGCTTCTACCTCCCAAATCTTCAAGTTGTTCTTTCAAATAATTGAACCATAATTTATAACAATTTGGAATGTATTTAAAAGCTCTCTCATACAAATCCATTCTAGTTGCATAAGGTTTATCACGATGAGCCTATAATACTATCCACCATGCTCTCAAAGTAAATCTTGAATATTATTCTTATTAAGTATCTGGAGCAGCAAAAACTACTTCGAATTTTGAACTACCCTTAACCTCTAATTATTCCAATTTATAGTGAAGCAATTGTGCATTCATTAATTTTTATAAAATTCAATTATTTTTTTATTAATATTATCTACTTTCATTCATCATTGTTATTATGATTATAAAAATTAACACAATCATCAATCCTTTTAGATAGATCTTATAGATTTGTTTCATCAAAAAAGGGATTCAAAATATATGAACGATACAAATCATAGATGCTTTTCAAAAGATCCTTAGGTCTCTTTTCTTCTTTTGTGCATATCATTATTATTTTGTTCTCAGTCATACTCATGAATCCAAATATTTTCAATTCATTTAAAATCCCTATTTAACCCATATAACCATTATTTGGTGAAATCTGATAAGCTAATTCAATTAAATCACATTATGTATTGATTATTAATTCAATAAAAGATTCATCAAAGTTTTCATAATTCCTATTTATTATAGGAGTATTTTTTGAATCAAGCAAACAAATATATTTTATCGAATTTTTCATTTTATATTATTAAATTTTAATTGTAATACAATGATTTCTTTTTCATTTAAACAAATAATTCTAAAAGTGATTTGAATCAAAAATACTAAACATGACAATAGTTATTACATTATTTAAAATAAACTAGTTTTTTATTACCCCCATCCCCCTTATTATTATAACACTATACTTTATAATTTAGATAGATAATTATCATTAAACTTATTAATTAAAAATGTCTAACCTTAAAGTTTCTGTAAATTTATCGAGTAGTGAAGAATCAGTAATCAAACATGAGATTTCATCGTCTTCTGCAAGCAAAAAATCTAAGAAAATTAAAAAGAAAGAACGAAAATCCATTAATTTTGGCTCTGGAAGACCAGGAAATCCCTAAATATCTGAACTATCGGATTAGCAAAAATAATTTATCGAGACCAATATGATAGACGTATGGTTTTGTACTAAATTATCCATGAAATGTTTAATTTATTTGTGCAATAAAGGAAATATGATTCTTAAAATTAAAACAGGGAAACCAGCAGAGGATGATAAGAAAAGGTTTATAGAAGTTTTTGAAAAGCCTAATATAAAACTGTATAAAAAATTTAAGAAAGAATTCAAGAAAAAGCTATAGGTATGTATATAATAATCAAATAAGGAAAAAAATACGGCTGTTTTGAAGCATTTAGGATACTCAGAAAAAACTACATATTTATTTTTATCTAATAACAATGGAGATCAAATAGACTTAAAGCTATAAAATGTTTCAGCTGAAGCTAAAAAAGGTCTATTGTCACTCATTAAATACTTATCTCCACAATTTCTTTATACATTTAAAGTTATTGTTGAATGTTTTGATTTTTGTTTAGCTAATATTTAAGAAGAAGACTCAAATATAGTCGAATTTATTGTTGATAAATTAAAGGCTGACAAAAAAAATCATTAGATGATTTTCAATATGTAATTGATTTAGGAACTATTATACGATGATTTAGAGCTTTTGAATCAAATTGTATTTCAATTAATTGTATGATAGGAAAATGATCCACAAAAAGCATTTCTATATTTCAAATCAAATTATAGTGTGAGTCTCCCTAATTTTAGCTCTAATTTTTACAAAGATTAAGTGGAATCTATTGAATATTATTCTAAATGGATTAATACCTTCATTAGTGAATTCGTTGATATTTTATAATAAAATCAATGAAATATTATAATAATTATTCTTTTATTAAAATAAATCATGAAAAATTAACTGCTCCATCAATCAGTAAGTATAATTATCTAGCTCCATCAAGAATTAAAAGCAAATTCAGCTGTTTCATCTTCACTTGCTTAGACACTTATTGATACTGCTTCACAGATAGAAAAACTTTAGAAATAAGAGCAATCATAATTCAAATATGTAGATTACTCTAAAGATGAAAGTGTTTAAAAAACTATTAAAAATAAAAGGACTTCTAGTTAAATTATTACTAAAGTACAAACTCCTTAATGTAAAGAAATATTTTCAAGGGAATGTTTACAAGAGGTATATTTTAATTCTTAGTTAGTTAATATTGCCATATCTAAACCTTAAAGATCTTATATCATTTAGAGGTGTAAACTCCATTATTTAAGAAGCAATAAAGCAATATGTGAAATAATATTTAGTTAAAGAAGAAAAATCATTGGCCCATCATTTATTTTCTTCATACTACCTTTCTTCATTAAAAGACTATTTGTATTCATTCTTACCAAAAGCTAAATGGTTTGAATTCGATCACATTTAAGCTAAAAAGAATATCTAAAAGTATTATAAAGACTTTGAAGTCTTGAAGAAAGTTCGTTCAATTCCCTAATAATATGAAAATATTTTTGAAGTTTTGTTATTAATCTTCTAAGGATAAAGAAAAACTAATACTTCGTATTTTGAATAATTTAAAAAAATAAATATTAAGCAAAGTTTAAAATATGAAAATATCATTTAAAATATTGATTAATTTAATGGAATTGATGAAAAAATCGCTAAAAAATTTTCAATTGAATTACATAATACGATAATTTTATGTTAATCTTTAATTTCATTATATTATTTAGAAAATATTTTTACAATAGGAAGTGCCGCTTAAAGTGAACATCATTAATTTAATTAGATTTCATATTATTATAAGTATCATTCAGATTTAATCAATTTTTGGAAAAAAGTAATTCATTAGGATTAAAAATTTTAACTATTTCTAAATTTTTCAACAAATAAGATTAGTCTAGAAACATAAAGTTTATCTGATAGCAAATTTTATCAAAATAGGATTAGTATTTTAGTTCTTTGTTTAACTTATTGTGATGATAATACTTTATTGTAGTCTAGATTAATTAATAAATAGTTTAAAATTGAAAGTGAATTGTTATTAGAAGATAGGTTAATATTCAGCATATAAGCTTTTGAATTTTCAAAACTTTATTAGAATAGGTAATTATAAAGAGATAAACAATATTAAAGTGAGCTAGGATTTTTTAATCCTTTATTTGATATGGCTTTTACTTTGTTAATTGATAAACATTAGGAATTAGTTCAATTTAACAATTTTGAATATATTAAACAATGTGATGATGAATTTACTTTCTATGTCAATACAGCTTATTCTTAGTTGCATGGTCTTAATAATCTTAGAAGCATTTTAGCAAAAAAACAATTATTAAGAATTACTAAAACTCACTTAAATCCTTTTAATAAAACAAAGCAGTCAATTTAACTAGCTGCCCATGCATTATAAAATCTCAGTACTCTTGTGTAAAACAATCCAAAAATTTCATATAATTTTTAAATTCTTTATCCATTATACTTGTACTTAAAACTTTTTATTATTATCTAACAAACAATATTGCCTACTTAATTTGACTCTAATGAAACAGTTGTTTATTTATACCATGAATGTCTAAAATATTTAAATATTCTATTCAAAATGGGTAAATTAACAACTTCAAACATGAGAAACATTATAAATAAATCTTTAGAGTATTTTGACTAAAATTAAAAATAAGAAATAGCTTAAAGGTTAAATTAATAATTTTTTTAAGTTTACTCTAATTTTAAAAGTAGTCTAGATTCAAGGGAGAGAACTCTTGAGATTTTAACAGAAATTACAGCAATATTCGAAAGCATGAATATATTTTTAATAGAGAAAAGTCCGGAAAGGGATTATTTCTAATATGATTCAATTTTTACAACTAAAATCTTAAATTATATTACCTACTCTGATTTAATAAACTTTGCTTGTACATCATCATAATCGAAAAAACTATATCTGACTCATTTATAAATAAGAATAGAGAATGAAGCAAATATAATTAGAAATTTTGAGAAATAAAATAAATAATCTCTTCTAAGCATTTAAAACCTGAGACCAAAACTTGGTTTACAAAAGGATAAAGCAGTATAATTAGTTTAATAATTTACAATAAATGATTTTAGTGAATTGAAGGCATTTAATCATCCAACATAAGCTTTTGAAATTTATTGTAGGCCTCTTTTAATTTTATTTGATCTTTTATATAAGAGCAATTCTAATAATTGGGTAATTTTAAAATCTTTTCTACTTCAACAAAATGCTTGGTCATAAATTTAAGATTTTTCTCCAGAAACCTTATCCAGACATAAAGTGAATTTAATAAAATAAATTTTGAAAAGTCCAAAATTTGATTTAATAGCCTTAGCAAAGCTTAGTTCTCCTTTATTAAAATTTATAAATTGGCTTTAAGGTAGACTATTAGTAAATTATTAGGAATATTGATATTACATAGTTATTTAAGACAATATTGCTTAGGAGATAAGGAAGATAATCTTTCTGAGGAGTAGCAATAATTATTTATAGTGTTAGATATTAAATAATGCATCTTATACAAAGCAATAAGATATTTAAGTAAAAACAAATGATAGATTAAAATGATTATTGTTAATTAAATTAATAAATTTTTGAATTAATCTAATATTTTTAGATCTAATTAAAGATAAAATATGTAAGAATTTAATACCTATACAGAATAAAATTTATAATAAAAATATAATATTGTAAAGACTCTTTTAGATAAAACTTAATGTATTATTTTTCATTTATTACTTCTCTAAAATTTATTCCCTTGATTTGTTGTTGATTATTATGTTTACTTATATTGCTATTATGGTTATTATTATTATGGCTATTCTTATTGTTATTATTATAAAGATGCTCCTGTATTTCTGGAAATTTATGTTGTAGGTTTGCTCTGAGGATCACCTTAATTTTTTGAATTCATTTAACTTCTTGATATTCCCGATTATTAAGGGACTTAATCATTTGTTTATTATACAGTTTGGGAAGATATATTACTTCTTATAATTGTATTTTGTGCGATCTTATTAACTCTTTCCTTATCTTCTAATTCTTTCTTTCTTTTTTCTTCCTCCTTTCTTTTTTCCTCCTCCTTTCTTTTTTCTTCTTCTTTTATTTTTTCTTCTTCTTATTTCAATTAAATAGCTTTTAATAAGATTTATTTTTTGAATTTTTATGTAGTTTCTGTTTTAAATTATTCTATCTGTTCTTAAAGTTCTTATTCTTTTAGCTATTTTTTCTCCAATAAAATTTGATCATGAAATTTAAATGCATCAGTTAAACTATCTTTTAACTTTAAATTTGCTTAATATTATTCTTGATGCTTTTTTTATGTCTCTTCAATATTATCTTCTGGCCAACTAGTTATAATCTTTGATTCCATTATTGCTCTTTCTCTTTCAATATAATCATTCTTTTTAAATGTCCTTAAATATTTATCATCAGCTCCTTTCTTTGCTTCTTCCTCAAATTTCTTTTTTATATCCTACAAAATTCCTGTGTCTATATTTAATAAATGATAATCCTTTAATAATTCTATTTTTTTTCTTTCTCCATTAATTTCAAATGTAACATATTTACCTCCTTTTAATTTAATGATATCTTGCAATAACTTTTATCTAATAGATATTTCTTTAGCTTTCTTTGCTTCCATTTCAGCTATTCTTTCTTATTCAAACTTTTTTCTCTCATCATCTTATCTTCTTTATTCTTTCATTTCTTATATCACTTTTTAATTATCTTCCTCAACTTTCTTCTTTATAAGATCTGGATCTGCCAATCTATTCAAATTTTTTAAAGTCTATTATCTTGTTAAAATAACTAGATTTGATGAATCAAGTTATTTTTTAGCTTATTCAATTGGATCTTAAATTACTCTTTAAGGTTACAAATTTAATAGTACTGTTGGCAATATTTATTAATCATTAGATATTTGATTAGAATTAAAGGATACTATTTATGACTAAAAATCCACTTTACAACTTATAAATTTATTTGAATTAGAATAAATCAAAGTTTAAAATATAGTTTCAGAATTAGTAAATTTTAATAAGTCTTTTAATTAATCTAATTTAATTGTTCTATATATTCTAGAAATGCTTTTAAGTACTTATCCAACAAGATTCTCTTCAAGTAAAGGAATAAAGAATAAATATTTTTCATTTTATCTTAATTCAGTAAAAACTTGATTAGCTTAATCAGAAACTGTTAATAAATCTTATTAATTTTCCAATAATAAATAAACTTTTTATATTATTGGTTAAACAAATTTCACAGCATTCATTTCTCCTAGAATTTTTAATAAATCATCTCTTGTTGGTATTTTAGTTCCTTTTTCAAATAAAGTAGTTGTTCTATCTCTTGGATTAAAATCACCACTTAATAATGGTATTACTAATACAGACAATACTAAATGAGATAATTTTTCATTAATTTCAGCATTTTTGCTTTTAATTTCTTCTTATGTTTAAACTGGTTTCTTTTTAAATGCTAAATAGTGATTATAATAAGAAAAAGCTTAGAATAAACAATGACCAGATTTCTAAAATATTTAAGAAAGTAAATCATAATATAACATTAAATATGATGCTTTAAAATTACCTCTTCTCATTGATTTAAGTACCATAACAGTTTCTAAAGTCTTTGAAGCTTCTGATTACATATCTAAAGCCATAGCTGTTTTAACAATATCAAATATAGCATTAACATGTTTATCATTTGTAGCTGGTTTAGTCAAATCTACATGAGTAGGATTTCGTTTTATGTCTAATTCTCTTTCATTTAAATCCAAAACAAATCTATAAAGCTATCATATATAATAATAACCTATTTGTTTAATCACAGAACCATTGAAATTCAGCCTTACGTTTATATTTCAAACAAAATTCACTCACTTTCTTTAAAATTTCAAAATAAACATCTTCTAATTTCTCATTCCATTTTACATTCTCCATTACTGTTCTATAAGTTTCCCATAATAATCTTAAACAAGACTTTTATTAATCTTTTTATTATTTAGCTTCAGGATCAAAAGATAGATACAGCAATTCTTCAGCTGGCTCTTCATAAGATAATTATCCAACAAATGGCAATTTTTTAAGCTACAAAATTCAATATTATTCTTTACTTCTTCTGCATCATATTATTTTACTTTATCATTAAAAATCTTTTCTACTTTTACTAAATATTCTTTCAAAATGTCAGCAAAAGCATCAAAGTGATTATGTTATGTCATTTATCTATATGCTTTAAAAACTTCTTTTAATTAATTCTATTCATCTGGTTAATTGACTCCTACAAATAATCTTAAATCAATATAAGCTTGCTAAAGAATTCTTTAATAATTTTACCATCAATTTATAAAGATATTAAATATTACTTGCCACACTCACATCTCCTTAATCTTGATAGGAAGTTGTAGTTTTTCTAGTTCTTTAGCCAAAACTAGATAAATATCTAAATAGGATCAATATAGCATCATTATTCTTTCCTTCCTTAACGTAGTCTAAATTTATTCATGGAGTTAGTGTACCATCATAAATTTTATAAGCTTATTCTGGCCTTAAAGTTAAATAATTAATAGATGCCATAATTTAAATAATTAATATTTTTAATTATTTTTAAACAAACAAAAAAAATTGAACATTATTTTAGATTAATTTTATTGTTCTGCCATATTGCTTCTAAATTTTCAAAAATATTATCTCCTAAAATTATATAGTTCATGAAACAAAGAAATTTATAATCATATTCTCATTTTCGGAATTTTATAAATTTAAATTATTTTTTTTATTCTCTAATAAATTTAGAAATAGTCTTAAATAATTTATGATAAATTAAAGATCTTAAAATTATTAATAAAAGTATTATATTCAATTGCATAATTATTTCATATAAGCTTCCCATTCTGTATTTGGCACTCCTTTTTTTATTACATCATCATATAATGAACTAATCATCATTGAATGAATTTTATTATTTTCCGGTACTTAACTTTTAATTTTTATTACTAAATCATAAAACTCTCTTTTAGATGTATTATTCTAAGATTACTCCTAAATGAGAGATTTTAGATAGCAAGCTTTGACTAATTTCTTAACATCTGGATCTTCGAATTATTTAGATAATTATCTTAGTAGTTTAAAAGTTTCCATATTTTCTGAATTATTCAATATCTTTAAAGCATAATGAGTTATTCTCTCATACTGATTATTCTATTATAATTGTTGAATCAAGATTTAGATTTTATTAATTAGGGCATTTAATGTTTTATTTGAAACAGCTGTGTTATCATCTGATTCATAAGAGTTATTGCTAAGTTACTATTGTTATTAAATGTATTATGATGGAAATGATCTTTATTTTTAATAACAATCATAAGAATGACCTTAAAAAGTATTTGTTTTAATAGGATCTCTTTATAATTTTTCTGACATAGTTTTTGAATATTAAATTTCTCTCTTTTCACTTTATTTGATGGACATTTTCTCTAAAAACTCTCCCACTAATTTAATAATCATTTGAACTTCATTTGATATGGATTCAACTTCATCAACAATAGTTAATAATTATTAATATTCTTCATGGATTAACTACAAATCATTCTTAATAACTTTTTTTATAGAATTATCTTTGCTAGTTAACATTTATGAATAATTTTCTAAAGAATGAATCACTTTTTTTTTTAGTAACCTTGCATATTTTACTACATCTTCATCATTATCTTTTTCTTTAATTGCCTCTTAAGATTGTAAAATCATTAACTATTATTGAATTAATTCATCATCTAAATGATCTTCTTTTAAAGGTATTGCTGAGATATCTAATAACATAGTCTTTTCATTTGACTAAATTCCAGAGATGTCCAAAAATCCTTGCATTTACAAACCGTTGATGAGATTAACAAGAAATAATTTATTATATTATTATATTGTAATAAAACGGAATAATGATAAACAAATAAACTTGAATAATGTTCAATTCTTTTATTAGCTATTTATATTATCATTTTCTAAATGTATGTGATATTAAAATTTGTAGTTAAATATTTGATTAGTGCATTTTTATTAATTTAAATTATATTAATTTTATAAATAATGACTGAAGAATTAGGGATTCTTTATCCAACAATAGAAACTAATTGTGAAGATTTAGTTTTAAGTTCTAAAAAATTATTTTAAGCATAAGAAGGTAAAGGAGTGCCAGAATTTTATGAAACATTGAAATTAAAAATAAACACAAAAGTAAATTATGAATACTCAAATGTTACAAAAAGTAATGAGTTGGCTGATTCTTTGCATTAGGAATTTGAGAATATTCAAACAGAAATAAAAGATTAGAAAAAGCCTGAAAATAAAAGATAAATCGATAAAATAATAGAAGATTATTAAAAAGAGAAGTAGAAGGAAAGTAAATTATCAAAATTACCATAATAATTTTTAAAATTTGATGAAAAAACTTCAGCTACTTAAACAAATAATACATATATTTAAAATGAGAAATAAACAGCTGAAAATAAATCTTTAGTTGCTATAAAATAAAATGAAAATTAATTATCTGTAATAGAACCAGCTAGATTAGGAACAGTAATGGTTTAGAAAATAAAGAAAATAATAAAACCTGAATGGCATGCTCCTTGGAAATTAATGAGAGTTATAAGTGGACATCATGGTTGGGTAAGATGTATAGCAGTAGATCCTGGAAATTAATTTTTTGTAACAGGTTCAAGTGATAGAACAATAAAGTTTTGGGATTTAGCAACAGGAAATTTAAAATTAACTTTTACAGGTCATATATCAACAATAAGATCTGTAATAGTAAGTGCAAGACATCCTTATTTATTTAGTTGTGCAGAAGATAAAACTGTAAAATGTTGGGATTTAGAATAAAATAAAATGATTAGAGATTATCATGGACATTTATCAGGAGTATATAGTTTAGCTTTGCATCCAACTTTAGATGTTTTAGTAAGTGGCGGAAGAGATTCTGTATGTAGAGTATGGGATATAAGAGCAAGATAGTAAATTCATGTATTGGAAGGACATACAAATACTATAGATTCAATTATATGTTAAGAATTCGAACCTTAAATAGTGAGTGGATCATAAGATTCTATGATTAAATTATGGGATATGACTTCAGGTAAATGTATATCTACTTTGACTAATCATAAAAAATCAGTAAGAGCCTTAGCATTTCATCCATTAGAGTATACATTTTGTTCAGCTGCTTCTGATAATCTTAAAGTATGGAAATGTCCTGAAGGTACATTTTTAAGAAATATTTCTGGTCATAATGCTATGATTAATTCTATTGCTATTAATAGAAATAATGTATTGGCAAGTGCTGCAGATAATGGATCATTAAATTTCTGGGATTGGAAATCTGGATATAATTTCTAATCTATTAATACTATAGCTTAACCTGGGTCTATTGCTGCTGAGAATGGAATATTTTGCTGTACTTTTGATTAAAGTTAAATGAGGTAACATCTTTTATCTATTATAGATTTCTAACTGGAGAATGTGATAAATCAATTAAAATGTATAAGGAAGATGAAACAGCCACTCCTGAAACTCATCCAATTGATGATATCAGAATTGAATATGCAAATCAAAATTATTGATATTTGTTTATAATACAATTATAGATTTATCATTTTGGAAGAATTTAATTCACTTTTGGTGCTCTAAAAGTTTTACCTCTATATTTATTTCTTTTACTCATTGTCAATATTTAAGATCGATTAATTTCATCTCTAAATTATCTTTATGTTAATAAATTTACTAATTATAATTTAACATATTTATATTTTTCTAAATACATCTAAGGGAACATTAAATATTTCACTAATTTTTTTCTTAATTCCACTAAATTTGGTTAAATTTTCCTTTATTAATAATAATATTCCTCTTAATCAAGAACTCTAGAAAAATTGTTTTAAGCCTGATAATATTAAAACTCTTTACAAGTATCCATCTATTGAATCTTGGTTTTATTACCAAAATACTCATCTTGTAAAGATATGAGCATCTTTATTTTAATAGATAATAAAAAGGCATTCTAGACATCAATATCTGTTAAAATCTCCTTTTTACCTTATTCAATTTAATTTATCCGAATAATTACTTTTTCCAAGATCATTTTCAATTATTGATTTTATTGTTAAATATCTAAAAATTTATTTGCTAAAGATTTTTTTGTGGGTTTCTTTTTTTTCATAATATTAAGTTTTATAACCATTTAAACAATTTTGCGAAATTTTTATAAAATTTACATTTATCTAAATCTGCTAAACTCTATTGTACAAGATGGTCTTAATCTTCTTGGATTTGTATTTTAAGTGCATGATTTAGCTTCTAGTGACTTAAGTTATTAAACATTTGATGGCCTTCTTTTTGTTCCTCTAGCTATTTATGGTAATTTAAGTTTATTTTCATCAGATTCATTTGTATCATTATTATTAATCTCTTTTTTACTCATAATACTATATCTTTATTATGATCTATGATATTATATTGGAGATTATGCTAAATCTGGAGATGGAATTATCACATCTATTTTCTTAATTTAAGGACTTTTTTATTCTTCTTCTTCTGGAGGTTCATCATAAAATTCAGTCCATTTAGGATTACAACTGCTATAAAATTATGCAATTTCAGAAATCTCTTCTTAATCAATTAATGCATGAAATTAATTTGTAAATCTACCCATATTCCTTCTGAAGTATTTTCTATCATGTTCTATTGTAAATAAATGTTTTTTAATTATGAATTCTCTATCACTAACATAATGCAATAGAGGACAATTCATGACTCTATGAGTTGATGATTAACATGAAAAACATTTCATATGTTATATATAATCTTGATTAAATAGTAATCCATCATGAATATTTCTAAATCTTTCATAATCTTCTGGATAATCTGGTAAAATTCTTAAAAAATCATCTCTTGATAATAATAATAATTTTGTAAATCCTAAACTTCTAAATTTCTCTCTTGATCTTTAACCACTAATAAAACTATAAATACCTAAACTAGTACCCTTTCCTGCTTTACTAATAACTGAAACTTATTAATGTGAATATATTGAGTCTTTTTAATCATTTTAAATTAGTATTTACACTTCTCCATGTTCTATAAAACACATAAAAATTTAACCATATGGAAGTGTTGGGAATATTTAATCAAATTCAACAATATTTTCAGGTTAAATAACAGTTTATTTAATTTATCTCACTAATTTATTTTTTAATTAATCACTAAAATGATTCTTAAATAATGGACATTCATTTAAAATGATAGAATTTGCTTACAACATTAATTATTCTCTTAAGTTTTATGATAATTAATTAATAATATTTTATTCATCTTATGATTCTACCTAACTTTATGATTACCAATAATAATTCAAATATTCTCTTACTTAATATTGTAATTAATAACCAATTTTTTTATTTTACATATAAGTATTAATAGTATGAACTTTCTTCATTTTCTCTTGTTCATACGCAGATATCTTATCTATGATTGTTCCTACAGTACTTACACTATAACTCAATTGAATACTACAAAACATCATATAAAATATTGATATAATCCTCTCTATATAACTTACTGGTATAATATCTCCATATCCTATTGTGAACATTGTCACTGTAGAATAATAAAATGAATATAGATACTAAACAGCAAATGTTTCATGATCAATATGATATAATTCCAACCAGCTGCCTTAGGATGAATGGTTATGGCTATATTCACCAACCTAAATTATATAGTTATTCTTATTACTTACAAAAAACCATAAGCAAGAGTAACAATGCAAAACAAAAAACAATACTAATATTAATTTTAGTAATTCTAACATAGATGAAACTGGCTTAGACAAATTTAACACTTCTTCTATTTATGCAATCAATTTAGGAATATTCCTACTCTAAACATAAAATAGAGATATTAAAACATCAGCCCAATTATCTAATACATTTATTGTGTTAGAATTTGAATTAAAAAGGTAAATAGTTAAAATTAAAAGAGAAATAGATTCCAAACCATAACTTTTAGTAATTACATGTTTGGCTATTGCTGTTCTCTAATTTGCTATTTAACCAAATTAATAAAATGAATTATTAAAACTTATGACATAATCTATTAATAAAATTATAAGGGCTAAAACTGAAACTGCATAGAGTTAACCATAAATGACTGGAATTTCTGTCCATCCCAAATCTATTGGTATTACATACATAAAATATAACCTTGACAATGCAACAAAACAATCCCAAATTAATTTCCATCTTGATTCAGGAGTTATTATGGGAATTTTTTACAGTTATTGTTCCATTCTCTTATAAATTTGCTTGACGTTTTATTTTTAGTGTATTAAATAGCTTTTCATCTGCTGTACTATTGAAGGCTCCTATATTTGTTCAACTTAATTAGATCTTCTTAAGCCTCTATGCAGTGGTTTAAAATGTAAACTGCTATCCTTAAATAACTTTAAATCAAATGATGATCCTTTGTCATTTAATAAATCATATTAATATTGACTAAACTTTGTGTTTATACGCTTTCGCTCACTAATTCTTCTTATAAACTTTATGGCATTCCAAGATTAAAATAATGTTAATTAATGTTAAGGCTCATCTTTTTATTATCTATTTGTAGATTTTAAAATTAATCTAGCATCAGGACTATCTATACTCATTCTTTAACTTCTCATTTCTTCATTTGATAAAGGAGTAGGCTCTGATTATTTTTAACCTTTTTATTATGAAATTGGATAATAAGCATCAGACAGAGAATTATTTACGAAATCATGAATTTCACCAATCTATTCATCTGTAATTATGAATTACTACATTTTACGAGAATGTTCTGAATCACTTTGGGTTTGTTATTGCATATAATTTATATTATAAACTATAATTGTTAAACATTGAAATTTAAAATTAACATATTACTAACACACAACAAAAATATATGATTTAAGAATATCAAAATATTTTTAAAACTTTCATTGAATTTATCGACAAAGGATTATTAGAAATTTGAAAATAATGTTGTTGCATTCGATTAAATTATCAATTTCTCACATATTGCTTTTCTCATAACATTATAATTTTGGATTGTCCACTAAAAAATATAATTAGATAAAAAGAATAATATTTATTTAATTTATTTGTTCAATATAATATAAATTTAAATATTCAATATTTCTCAGCACCAACTCCAATTTTATAGGGATGCAGAATTATATTTGAAATTTAATATGAATAAACTAAAAATAATATAAAGATAATGATAAATTTAAAAGAATTATATACTTAATAATAGATCAGAAATTAATAAATGATAGGAGATTATAATAATTTTAATCATTAATGTTTTATGTATTTTGATCCATTACTTGTTTATCCATTTTGTAATAAATATGTTTTTGTTTCCTTTCTCCAACAGTTATCAATCAAACCAAAATCTTTATCATCCATTCCAAAGTTTTTAAAGAAACCCTCAAATTATGTAAAAGGAACAAATCCATCTCCGAAACCAAAAAAACCTTAGAATCGTTAAAATAAACTACCATCATAAATAGCTCTTTTATCTTTATCAGATAATACAAAATAAGGTTCTCCAATTTAAATAAAAATTATCTTAAGGTTCTTATTTATTATGAGGGTTTTTATTCTAAAAATATTATTTTCTAAAATATATTGGATGCCATTAGATGTCAAGTTTTATATAAGCCTTTATGATTTCATCATCAGCAACTGTTTTTACTTACTCCTAAAATCTCTAAATAATCTTGTTCTTTATTTGACATGCTTGATGTGTATAAGAAGATTCTATAATTTTATATATTATAATTATATATCATAAATTCTGAAAAAGGTTTAAAAAACTTTTAAAGGCAAAAAAAATAAATTATTCAAGTAAACATTTGAAGATATTTCCTATAAAATAATATTGTCAATAATTTTCTTAAATTTTTCTACTATATGTATTATAAATATTGCTCAACACTTGAAGAGAAATATATTTTAAATAGCTTCAATAAAACTCTTAAATTCTTAGTTCAAATTTGTAGAATAATTGATAAGAACACATTATTAGTGGAAAAATTAATGAAATTTGTAAAAAGGTTTATAAAAAACATTATTTAATATAAAAATTGATGTTAACTAAATTGCTATAGAAATCAAGATAAGCGAGGTTTTGTGGTAATGATAAGAGATGAATATTTAGTTTATATAAAGAATTCTGTAAATTATCATGTAGCAAATTCTTAAGATCCAAATAATAAATTTGCCACTCCATAATTCAATTCAAGCATTCTTGATTTTGATAAAGATTAAGAGAATAATGTTTAAATGCACTACTATTAAGGTATATAGAGAGTGTGAAATTGTTTAGGCAAATTCATGCCAGATGAATTAGATTGGACTGATGTATGGGAAACAGCATATTAAAATTTTACATAACCAGAATATTTATATCATTTTTGGTTTTGTGGTGTCCTTTATTGTTTTGAGCCAGAATGGACTATAAATTATCCTTATGAAAAAGGACCTCTTTCTCCATTATTTAGAGGAGAACATGCATTAAGAAGATATCCTACAGGTGAAGAAAGGTAGATAGAAATATTAACATTATAGATGCATAGCATGTAAATTATGTTAAAGTGCTTGTCCTGCTAGAGCTATTACAATAGAAACAGAACCAAGACCTGATAATTCAAGGTATTATTGTTTTATCATAGAAATCAAGACGTACTGTTAGATATGATATTGATATGACCAAATGCATTTATTGTGGATTTTGTTAAGAAGCATGTCCAGTTGATGCTATTGTCGAAGTATTTAATAATTTTTTATTTCAGGGCCCAAATTATGAATATACAACATATTAACATGAAGATTTATTCTATGATAAATTTAAACTATTAGAAAATGGTGACAAATGGGAACCATAAATTGCTAGAAACATTGAATATTTAATTACAAGAAAATATTGATTAAATAAAATACAATATTTGCAAATAAAAGATATATAAATATATTACAAAATCAATTTTGAAGTTTAATATCTTATTAAATAAAGCTTAAAATATAAGCATTTTCGAGTAATCTTTCTAATGGAACTAATGTTAATAATTATTTGCTTGTTTAATAATGTGATCGAATATTTCTCATTGAAATAACCATTGTTATCATTGAAATTGTCATCAATAAACCAGAAAATACTACTAATATTATATCAATATTTATGTTGTTTTGTACTGATTACTTTATTTGATTAGATAATGTTTAAACAATGACAAAAAAACCCATAGAATCATAAAGTCGTTCAATTTAAGATGTTACAGAATAATAATTAAGTTAGAGATATTCTTAAGTCGCATTGTTTTCTAAATCCTACAAAAATCTGAGTTATTAATCACATAAATCTGCAAAAATTACACTCAATCCTCCCTATAAGATGGGGTAACTCATACATTACTCATATTAAAATAATTCATCATATTACTAATAGCTTGTTCTAATAATAATATTATATAAGTAATTACAATGAATCATTGAAAATATTGCAAGCCGATTTTGTTACTATTTTGTATATAGTCTAATCTTATTAATATAATGATAGTTTCTTTCTTAAATCATTTAGTGAACTAACAGTCTTATTTTAGATTTTTAAGATTTCACTTGTAATCTCGTTTTAGATAAAAACAGATGATTAGGCATATGCTGAAGTAATTTCATAGTAAGCTTACGAGAATAACATCTTATCATTAAATTATATAAGAATTTAATCAATAGTTGCCTAATGCATTAAATTACTACCTATAAAATAAGTTGAACAGACTATTATAGTTATCAAAACAAATAAGAAAAAGACTATTTGTGTTGAATTATTTTCTATTACTATTAATAAATTTAAATACTTTTTTATTTTATTCTTTTTCCTACTTTCTAGTATTTCTCTAAAATTGAATCGCTTGTTTGTTTATGTAATACTTATCCCATTATGAATTCAAATTTCTCCTCATTTGTTTCTTCTTTTTTGAATTTGTTCGCATTCATAAGTGAATATAAAGAAGAAAAGGTTACATATTATTCTTGTATTGCATCAGTAGTGAATGTACAAAATAATTTAAATACCTTCTATTTCATCTGAATAAGTATGATACATTTGTATGCATACCAACAGATAAATAACAACAGAACTATTTCTTCAGCTATAACACTAAAAATAATATTCATAAATATTATAAATTATTTACATAAATTAAATGTTTGTAATATTTCTAGTTGTATCTGTTTAATATAAAGTATCAACTATACTCTCAAAGTATTTGGTATTATTCAAAAAGGTATTTGAGCTAAATAATTAATTTTAAATCTAGTTTATCATCTATTAAATAATTTGAATTGATTATTGTTTTAATGAGATTTCTAAACTATTTTCTAACTCTGGAATATTCTTTAAAGCATCATCAACATTTTTGATTTCTTCCTAATAGAAATCTAAACTTATTTATTGCAAATTCGAAAATGGAAACAATAAACTATATTTCAAATAAAAGGAAGAGATCACAAATTCATTATAGAAATAAGATAATTAATATGGTAAATTTTAACTAGATTGATTTTATTGTATCTTTTGATAATTTGAAGAAAAGATTAAGCAATTAACTACATATGATCCAATTATCAATAAATAAAAGATCAGTAGAATAAGCGCATGCTTTTTATTTAATTTTGTATTATCACTTAAGCAATCTCTCATTTATCTTTTGAGTTATGATTGATTGTTTTATGAAGATCTGCTACCTACAGACATATTATTTTGATTATCAACTTTATTTATTTAATTTTTTTTTCTTTCCTCACTTTTGATTGAAGGTTAAGCTTCTTTTGGAGGTTTTTAATTTTTTTCTTAAACACTTTCAATTTCATCTTAAACATATTAAATTAGCTACACTTATTATTAATGAGTAGTATTTGTAATATTTACTGTAGCCAATTAATTTTTGACTTCATCAATCATTCTTTCTTCTTCTTATAGTAAATCATGATCTAGATCACAATCTAATACCCAAGGAGAATTTGTTAAACTTCCCTATTCTCTATAACTTGTAGAGTTTTGAAACTATTAAATATTAATTTATTAAGATGTTCTTACTCTTAACTATATTATTTATTTACTTGATATCTTTTAACTTGCCAAAACTTTGTAATCTTATAATTCTAAAATAACTAACCTAAATATTTGATAATAATAATACCTTAAATTAATTGTGACTAAACTAATTACATGTAATTATACAAGAAATATGACATTATCTGTTGGTTAACATTCAAAATTCTTATAAATTTATTTCTAAAAATAACATTTAGACAAACTTTTAGATATTTGGGATTATGACATACTTTTGTTTTAGTTGATTATTGGAATAATAAATTAACATTCAAACTTTTTATCTAATTTATCAAAATTTTTATCATATATCTATTCCCAAATTTTAGCTAATTCAGGAACAAAAAATAAACAATCTAATCCTCTAATTTAAGATATTTAGATTCCTAAATATTTTTAAAACATTTCTTCAAAAATATTTTAAGTAATTTCTTCAATTTCTCCTTTCTCATTCAAAATCATATATCCAAAAGTTAAATTAACAGGTGTTATAAGAGCAGTTGCACCAAATTCAGTTGGACTAGTTTCAATTCTTAATCTAGTATTAATAGGAACCAAAAATTATCCCTTATTCTTACCCAAAATAACTCTTACTTCTGATCTTACAACTATAATTCTACCTCTCTCAACAAAATTATCTAAATACATATCATGATCATCAGCTATTATTTAAGGCATAAATCTATGTATATTTTAATCCTTAATCTCTTCATCTTTAAAACCAATAGCTTACTGAAATGATCTAGTATATCTAAGTACATTTCCTCTAGGTTATAATAAAGTTATCTAAATTACACAACTACCAGGATCAAATATTGTTTTTTCAATTGATTACATAAATAGTGTTACCAATTTCCCTTCCAAACGATACAATTTAGGTCTACTCTTGTTATATTGTATGTATTTTGAAAACAGATTATAAATTGTATCACATTCATTTGAAAGTGGATTTATTGTAAAAGCTTCTTGCAATTAAGATTCAACAGATTTTATATTATTCAAAATTTCAAATCCTATTCTAACCAATTAATCAATATCAATTGTTGTTGTTAAAATTAAACCATACCATTCCTAAATTCCTAAAAATTATTACCTTAAATTATTTAGCTATTAAACACATATTTTATTTAATTATTGATAAAGACTCTTCATATTGATATACTCTTTTGAATATGTACTTTTAATTTTTTAAATCATTCTTCTTAACTAATTGGTCAAATTCTTCTAAAGCATCATATTTTAATTTATAAATTATAGCCTATTCTTTTAATGCCATTCCCTTTATTAAAAATAAAAAACATACTTATTTTGTTATAGATAATCTAATTACTTCATAAATTGCTTAAGTAGGTAACTTTTTAATTTGAACCAAAAAGTAAATATAAATCAATGATAAATATGTATTGGCTGTCTCAATAATTTCATCTTCTAAAGTTTATGATATTAGTTCCTTTGCAAAAACTTTCATTGAATTTATTGAATCAAATTAAAAGTTTTCTTTTTCTGAAAATTCTTCACAAAAACATGTAAATTTCATTTTTATCTACTTCTATAATTTTCTTTCTCGATTCAAAGAACAATATCGTAAATGATTTGTTGTAAATGAATACATAAACAATGATTCCATAGGATCTAAAGATCTCTATTCTTTTTTTAATTTAATTTATTTTTTAAATAAATGATAAATAAATCTTATCTATTTTTCTAATGAATTCCCTGATTATTTTAATTAAGATATCTTTTATCTATCAATTAAGATTATAAGAACATAAGCAGTGAAAGGATAATAAAACATCAAAAATCCCAAAACATTCAAATCTTCAACTATTTCACTTAGTTAAACTATTAAAAGTGTTATCTAGTAAATAAACAAGTAGGTTGAAATATGAAATTGCAATCGAGAAATTTGTACTTCTACATAAACAAGTTAATTATAACTCATAAAAATGTTCATCAATAAATATATCACATAAAGAACTTGGATTAGTATTGTATCCATTTCCATTCCTATTAATATAATTATAGTTGTTTGAAATGCAAAGATAAGATGCACTTTTTATTAATTAAATCTTCCTAAATAATCTTATTTCTTCATTTTAAATTCAAAACTATGCAAATCAATAATAAAGCTAAATATTATTTAAAGTGCAATTGACAATATACTAATACTAGCACCAAATAGCAAGAACTAGTTAGGTGAATCTAATAAACATAATTAATACTTTTCATTTAATAGTAATTCAAAATGTGAAAATGGGAATACAACAAAGGTATCCTCATTAACATTTAATATATTTGCATGTAAACTGAGATAAATTATTTGATTAGATTATTTTACTCTATTTATTTCTATCTATTCTAAATTAAATTTAGAATAATAATACAATTTCAAGTGTCATCTCAATTATTTATCCATTTTAATTTGTTCTAACTGAAGTATTTAAGATCAAAATTAATAAGCTGATAAAAGTTAAGAAGGTCAGTGTAAATCCTATCAACATGTACAAAATGTGGATTTCAATAGACTCTCCAAAGACACTCTAGAATCTAATAATATTAATAATTCATTTAAACCGAAATATATTCAAAATACTATGGATGAAGTCTAAATATATGGCTCTATTAATAATAGGTATTGATTGAGTAATTAAGGATAATAACTAAATATTTTCGACAATCAAAAACACTATTGATAGTTCAAGAGACTTTCTCCATATTCCTTTGATAGTGAGAAATTGCTAAATGTAAAAGTCTTTAAGTTGAAAAAGAAAATTTCTCATTATTGCAGATGTTTTAAGGAAAATTTTAAAATATTAATATGATTAATAAATATTTTTGCATTCTTTATTTAAATAAATAAGAAAATATGAAATTTATTAAATTTATATAGCTACACTAATTATTTTGATACTTCAGCTCTTTAAATTATTGATTTCGATAAGCCTCTGTTAAAGAAGACATGTATTTTTTAATCATAATTTAATTTAATTTAATCCATAAATTGATTATTTCTAATGTTAAAATTATATTTTACAATTATTTTAATGAAAAATAAATTTTTATTATTTAAATCTAATCTCGTTAATTTATTTAAATTATTCTATAAATTTTGCAAAGAATATGGAACTTTATATTTGAGAACACAAATAAATTTAAATAATTCAATAATATGAATTATCAAAATTTATTTCAAATACAATTAATTATTTATAAAACATTATAATTAAGTTTAAATAATATAATAAAAAATCGAGTCATATGACATATTATAAAATTAGAATTAAAAGATGATAAAGATGACACAATGATAAATAATTGAAATGTAGAAAGATCCTTTATTAGAGAAAAAAGAAGCTTTAGATGCATTAAATAATGCAAAATTTGGATGGTTCCATATCAAAGCTTGTTTGGTTTCTGGGATAGGATTTTTTACAGATGCTTATGATTTATTTATAATTCAATTGGCTGTAATAATGATTGGAATGGTATATTATCCTGAGGAAGTGCGTGATGGAGATACAATAATAAAAAAAGCAGATAAATTGTATCCTGTATCTGAAACTTTATTAAAATAATCTGCTTTGGTTGGAACGTTGATTGGTTAACTTTTGTTTGGATATTTGGCAGATTTATTAGGTAGAAAGAAAATGTATGGAACAGAATTATTGATAATAGTTTTTACTACTATAACTTCTGCATTTGCAGCAAACACAGCTTCACCTAATGGATTAACAGTAGTAGGAATGCTTATTATATGGAGATTTTTCTTAGGTATAGGTATAGGAGGAGATTATCCTTTATCTGCAATAATAACTTCTGAATTTGCAAATACTAAAAATAGAGGTGCTATGATAGCAGCTGTATTTGCAATGTAAGGATTTGGAATTTTAACTGGGAGTATAGTATCATTAATAGTTTTATTCTCTTTCAGTAATTCTTTAAACAGTGAAGATCCACTTAATTATCTTTAAATTGATCATATTTGGAGAATAATAGTAGCATTTGGAGCTATTCCTGGTTTAGTAGCAATATATTTTCGTATGACAATTCCTGAAACACCAAGATTTACAATGGACATTAAAGGAGATGTAGAAAAAGGAGCTAGAAATATTTAATAGGTTTTAAAAAAAGATGATTCAAATTTTGATGATTAAAATTAAGATGAAAAGAAAAAAAGAGAATAGAAACCATCATTTAAAGAATTAAAATTGTATTTAATTAAATGGAAACATGGAAAAGTGTTATTAGGCACATCTATGGCTTGGTTTGCATTAGATGTTGGGTTTTATGGAATTAATTTAAACTAATCAACAATTTTAAAATAAATAGGATTTGGAGGAGGAGATAATTTAAGTTAATATGAAATTTTGAAATAGGCAATTTATGGAAATTTAATAACTTCAGCTTTAGGAACAGTTCCTGGATATTGGTTAACAGTTCTTTTTGTTGATAAATGGGGAAGAAAAACAATTTAAATCATGGGATTTGTTGCATTAACTATTTTATTTTTAATAATGGGTTTATGTAAAGATATTTTAGGTTAACTTCTATTTATTACACTTTATACATTAGCAAATCTATTCAATAATTTTGGACCTAATGCTACTACCTTTATTATACCAGGAGAAGTATTTCCAACCAGATATCGTTCTACTTGTCATGGAATTTCAGCTGCTTCTGGTAAATTAGGAGCAATCATATCTTAAGTTTGGTTTTTAGGTTTAGGAGCAGACAATTTCAAAGCTATTATGTTGACTTTCTCTATATTTATGTTAATAGGTTTAGGATTTACATTTCTAATTCCTGAAACAAAAGGAAAGAGTTTAGAAGAAATTACTCAAGGATAAGAAAATAGTNTTTATTAGGTAGAAAGAAAATGTATGGAACAGAATTATTGATAATAGTTTTTACTACTATAACTTCTGCATTTGCAGCAAACACAGCTTCACCTAATGGATTAACAGTAGTAGGAATGCTTATTATATGGAGATTTTTCTTAGGTATAGGTATAGGAGGAGATTATCCTTTATCTGCAATAATAACTTCTGAATTTGCAAATACTAAAAATAGAGGTGCTATGATAGCAGCTGTATTTGCAATGTAAGGATTTGGAATTTTAACTGGGAGTATAGTATCATTAATAGTTTTATTCTCTTTCAGTAATTCTTTAAACAGTGAAGATCCACTTAATTATCTTTAAATTGATCATATTTGGAGAATAATAGTAGCATTTGGAGCTATTCCTGGTTTAGTAGCAATATATTTTCGTATGACAATTCCTGAAACACCAAGATTTACAATGGACATTAAAGGAGATGTAGAAAAAGGAGCTAGAAATATTTAATAGGTTTTAAAAAAAGATGATTCAAATTTTGATGATTAAAATTAAGATGAAAAGAAAAAAAGAGAATAGAAACCATCATTTAAAGAATTAAAATTGTATTTAATTAAATGGAAACATGGAAAAGTGTTATTAGGCACATCTATGGCTTGGTTTGCATTAGATGTTGGGTTTTATGGAATTAATTTAAACTAATCAACAATTTTAAAATAAATAGGATTTGGAGGAGGAGATAATTTAAGTTAATATGAAATTTTGAAATAGGCAATTTATGGAAATTTAATAACTTCAGCTTTAGGAACAGTTCCTGGATATTGGTTAACAGTTCTTTTTGTTGATAAATGGGGAAGAAAAACAATTTAAATCATGGGATTTGTTGCATTAACTATTTTATTTTTAATAATGGGTTTATGTAAAGATATTTTAGGTTAACTTCTATTTATTACACTTTATACATTAGCAAATCTATTCAATAATTTTGGACCTAATGCTACTACCTTTATTATACCAGGAGAAGTATTTCCAACCAGATATCGTTCTACTTGTCATGGAATTTCAGCTGCTTCTGGTAAATTAGGAGCAATCATATCTTAAGTTTGGTTTTTAGGTTTAGGAGCAGACAATTTCAAAGCTATTATGTTGACTTTCTCTATATTTATGTTAATAGGTTTAGGATTTACATTTCTAATTCCTGAAACAAAAGGAAAGAGTTTAGAAGAAATTACTCAAGGATAAGAAAATAGTAATTAAATTATACCTGATTGATTTTATTAACAAATGTTAAATAATATTAACCTAATTATATAATTGTAAATGTAAAAATCAACTAACTCAAGTCATTTCTAATCAATATCTCCTCCCTTTCTTTTATCAAAGCGTTTGAAATCAGAGGGACCAGATTTTTTAACTCAGCTGGACTAAAATGCCTAAAAATCTATCTAAAGAAGAATGTAACTTAGCGAATTACAAATCACAGAACCAGATTAAAAACCTACCTTAAGTAATATTAGAATAAATTTTTAAGAATAGAAGTAGAACATTAAAGCTCGTCCTAAAGTTATTCGAACCAAGTAGCCATCTCTTCCTTATCTTAAAATTGATGATAAATAGTATTATGATAAATGGTACATTCCATATGATTAGAGATATATTCAAAAAGTTACTATGGCTTAAGAATCTTACCAAGGTACTTTATCTATTTATATATAGATCCTTTATATTTCTACAAAAATATGCATAAAGGAACTGCTTAATATGATCCATTTGAAAGTAAATTACCACAAGATGTTCAAAATAGCATTGAATACAAGCAAAGATCAGAAATATTAAGGGATCTCTTACGTGGATAAAAAATGATAATCGAATTCAAAAAGTATAATGTACATAATTTCAAGAACTTTGGAGCAAAATTCATAAAGAATTCCTTAATTCTTAAAGAAGATTTTCGAAGATAAAAAATTATAATAATCGAAAAAGTGATGATAATATAATTGATCAAAATCTTACATTTTTTACTACCTCACTGGATCTCCATTATTTTTCTAAAACTTAACTAATTTTTCTTATCGTTTTGATTTTAATACTTGAATTGGGATAATTATGGTATTTTTGAAAAATTGGCTTATATTTATTGTGTAAAAGTTTAGACTTAGTTATTGGGCCTATTTTTAAATTCTGAATCCTTATTAATTATTCTTTTCTATTTAAAAACATCTTCTCTATGAATTTATATAAAAAAATTCATTTTGTTCTATTTTCAGTAGAATTCTTTCTCTATCATTAAATTTGGTCTAACCTTTAATGATCTCTTGCTGTTTATCAGCTTGATTTATTAACTGAACAAGTTAAATATTCCTTAAATATGTATTTCTGAAATTCTAATTCTCAGTTATTTATAACTTTTATTCTTTAAATAACTTCCTAATTTACTGATAACATANACAGAATTATTGATAATAGTTTTTACTACTATAACTTCTGCATTTGCAGCAAACACAGCTTCACCTAATGGATTAACAGTAGTAGGAATGCTTATTATATGGAGATTTTTCTTAGGTATAGGTATAGGAGGAGATTATCCTTTATCTGCAATAATAACTTCTGAATTTGCAAATACTAAAAATAGAGGTGCTATGATAGCAGCTGTATTTGCAATGTAAGGATTTGGAATTTTAACTGGGAGTATAGTATCATTAATAGTTTTATTCTCTTTCAGTAATTCTTTAAACAGTGAAGATCCACTTAATTATCTTTAAATTGATCATATTTGGAGAATAATAGTAGCATTTGGAGCTATTCCTGGTTTAGTAGCAATATATTTTCGTATGACAATTCCTGAAACACCAAGATTTACAATGGACATTAAAGGAGATGTAGAAAAAGGAGCTAGAAATATTTAATAGGTTTTAAAAAAAGATGATTCAAATTTTGATGATTAAAATTAAGATGAAAAGAAAAAAAGAGAATAGAAACCATCATTTAAAGAATTAAAATTGTATTTAATTAAATGGAAACATGGAAAAGTGTTATTAGGCACATCTATGGCTTGGTTTGCATTAGATGTTGGGTTTTATGGAATTAATTTAAACTAATCAACAATTTTAAAATAAATAGGATTTGGAGGAGGAGATAATTTAAGTTAATATGAAATTTTGAAATAGGCAATTTATGGAAATTTAATAACTTCAGCTTTAGGAACAGTTCCTGGATATTGGTTAACAGTTCTTTTTGTTGATAAATGGGGAAGAAAAACAATTTAAATCATGGGATTTGTTGCATTAACTATTTTATTTTTAATAATGGGTTTATGTAAAGATATTTTAGGTTAACTTCTATTTATTACACTTTATACATTAGCAAATCTATTCAATAATTTTGGACCTAATGCTACTACCTTTATTATACCAGGAGAAGTATTTCCAACCAGATATCGTTCTACTTGTCATGGAATTTCAGCTGCTTCTGGTAAATTAGGAGCAATCATATCTTAAGTTTGGTTTTTAGGTTTAGGAGCAGACAATTTCAAAGCTATTATGTTGACTTTCTCTATATTTATGTTAATAGGTTTAGGATTTACATTTCTAATTCCTGAAACAAAAGGAAAGAGTTTAGAAGAAATTACTCAAGGATAAGAAAATAGTAATTAAATTATACCTGATTGATTTTATTAACAAATGTTAAATAATATTAACCTAATTATATAATTGTAAATGTAAAAATCAACTAACTCAAGTCATTTCTAATCAATATCTCCTCCCTTTCTTTTATCAAAGCGTTTGAAATCAGAGGGACCAGATTTTTTAACTCAGCTGGACTAAAATGCCTAAAAATCTATCTAAAGAAGAATGTAACTTAGCGAATTACAAATCACAGAACCAGATTAAAAACCTACCTTAAGTAATATTAGAATAAATTTTTAAGAATAGAAGTAGAACATTAAAGCTCGTCCTAAAGTTATTCGAACCAAGTAGCCATCTCTTCCTTATCTTAAAATTGATGATAAATAGTATTATGATAAATGGTACATTCCATATGATTAGAGATATATTCAAAAAGTTACTATGGCTTAAGAATCTTACCAAGGTACTTTATCTATTTATATATAGATCCTTTATATTTCTACAAAAATATGCATAAAGGAACTGCTTAATATGATCCATTTGAAAGTAAATTACCACAAGATGTTCAAAATAGCATTGAATACAAGCAAAGATCAGAAATATTAAGGGATCTCTTACGTGGATAAAAAATGATAATCGAATTCAAAAAGTATAATGTACATAATTTCAAGAACTTTGGAGCAAAATTCATAAAGAATTCCTTAATTCTTAAAGAAGATTTTCGAAGATAAAAAATTATAATAATCGAAAAAGTGATGATAATATAATTGATCAAAATCTTACATTTTTTACTACCTCACTGGATCTCCATTATTTTTCTAAAACTTAACTAATTTTTCTTATCGTTTTGATTTTAATACTTGAATTGGGATAATTATGGTATTTTTGAAAAATTGGCTTATATTTATTGTGTAAAAGTTTAGACTTAGTTATTGGGCCTATTTTTAAATTCTGAATCCTTATTAATTATTCTTTTCTATTTAAAAACATCTTCTCTATGAATTTATATAAAAAAATTCATTTTGTTCTATTTTCAGTAGAATTCTTTCTCTATCATTAAATTTGGTCTAACCTTTAATGATCTCTTGCTGTTTATCAGCTTGATTTATTAACTGAACAAGTTAAATATTCCTTAAATATGTATTTCTGAAATTCTAATTCTCAGTTATTTATAACTTTTATTCTTTAAATAACTTCCTAATTTACTGATAACATATACCTAAACTATCTCTTAGATCATTTTTAAAGAATCCCTCATATTTATTTCCATTGATCAACTATATACCACCCCCTTATATTAAATCATTTATTATTTATCATTATATGCGAATCTCTTCATCCATTTCCTCTTTTCCAGACTCCTTTACATCATAAAACTCTCCAATGCTCCATTAAAATCTTTAAATTGCATTGGTTTTCCATTCTTATATCATAATAAGATCTATCTATTTATAAAAAATTCTATTTCCCTTAATTACCTTATCTATCTCTTTGATATATATATGAAAAAAATTATTGAAATATTTTATTAAAATTATAATTTTATTATACTATTAAGCCAAAATAAAAGTAATAGTTTTTTTGGTGGCTATTCACCAACCATTTCAGAATTTTTAGGATTGGCAACCTATCGAAAGAGAATATTCATCTATATTTTCTATAAAAATTATTAAAAAATAATGATTCATTAATAACTAATTTGATTGAGTTCATTTAGTACTTTGTCGGCAGTCCATCTTCTTTCGGCATTTTTATCTAAACAAGATAATACAATTTTTTATAATGGTCCAGAAATTGAATTTGATATTTTATTATTTTTTGGGAATTCTCCAACTAATAATAAATGTAATACAATTCCACATGCCCATATATCAGAGGCAAATGGATTGTATGGTTATTTAATTAATAACTCAGGAGCCATATAATTAGGAGTTCCACATTAAACCGAACATAATTTATCTGTTTGTATTGCAAATCCAAAGTCAATCAAAACTATTTGTTAACTATAAAGAATGTTCTCCAATTTAATGTCTCTATGAGAAATACTTTTTGTATGTAAGTATTGAACAGCCATCATCAATTATTTGAATATAATTTTAATCTGTTGATCTGATAATTATCTATCTTTAGTAAATTCGGCTAGTGATACGGAAGAAGCATAATTAAGTAGAAGGTAAATCTAAATATAATAATTTAATACACATTTTTCATCTTCTAAAGAATTATGTAATTTAACGATATTCTGATGTTCCAACTACTTTAGAATTGAAATCTCTCGATGAATTCCATTTAAGGTTTTCTGATCTAACTTACATTTTTAATATATTTTCATAGCAAAGCGTTGTCCATTCTCTTTAGATCGACAAATTCGAACTTGAGCAAATTATCCTTGTCCAATTTAGGCTTCTAATTTATAATCATCAAGCAAAGATGTTTAAGGATTTTGATTATTGAGAGGGATCTTACTTTTTAACAGTCTTGTTATATTAGATAGTGTTTTAGTTGGAAGAGTTTCGTTTTCTTTAGCAGATTTTAAAATCATTAATATTAACAGTAAATGGAGACTAATGAGCATTCTTCGATGTTTAAATACATTTTGATTATATCAATATGCTTTGTTCTTGTGATGTTTTTGAAAAGAAGAATGAAAACAACAGGTGAATCAATATAAGTATGCTTATGATTCGGCTACTAAAGGATAGGATATGGAGAAAAATAGCATTTGCATATTAGGATATGTTACACACTTTCGATTAGGCTGAGAAAGAATTGCTCAAACATACATACCATAACACAATCTTCAATAGCAAGGGTGTAAATGTTTCAAGTGATACACGCAAAGAAAGCAAGAAGAAAAATTCCAATGTGCAGTTCAATATGAACAAAAACGAAACTCTACATTATTGATAAAAATAATATGTTAAGTAACGAATAGATGATGCTCCCACTTCTTACAATTGACCTAAACCGAACGTTTTAATTCACCAAAAAAGCCTCTCCTTACTGCCAGCGTTTAAAACAGGTTGGCCGTCGATAATCATTGATCTGTTCAACTGATGAACGATTAACCTAAAACATTATGCTCTGTCAAGGTGCGACGTTGAAAATGGATCTGAAATTCAGAAGTGCTAAACCTAAACAAAAGAATTACAAATAAATCAAAAGAAAAATTCATTTTGAAAGTCATATTAATGTATTTATTTCACCTTGGGATAATTTTTCACCTTGAAAATTATTAGCTTGATTACTAAATATTATTGATTAACACATATAAATTATGCGAAAAAATACAAGATTATCTACAGATTCAGATAGAAAAAGAATCGCGTCGAATCTTTCAATAAAATCGATTAATTCTACTACAATTAATACAACAACAGATGNTACTTTTTGTATGTAAGTATTGAACAGCCATCATCAATTATTTGAATATAATTTTAATCTGTTGATCTGATAATTATCTATCTTTAGTAAATTCGGCTAGTGATACGGAAGAAGCATAATTAAGTAGAAGGTAAATCTAAATATAATAATTTAATACACATTTTTCATCTTCTAAAGAATTATGTAATTTAACGATATTCTGATGTTCCAACTACTTTAGAATTGAAATCTCTCGATGAATTCCATTTAAGGTTTTCTGATCTAACTTACATTTTTAATATATTTTCATAGCAAAGCGTTGTCCATTCTCTTTAGATCGACAAATTCGAACTTGAGCAAATTATCCTTGTCCAATTTAGGCTTCTAATTTATAATCATCAAGCAAAGATGTTTAAGGATTTTGATTATTGAGAGGGATCTTACTTTTTAACAGTCTTGTTATATTAGATAGTGTTTTAGTTGGAAGAGTTTCGTTTTCTTTAGCAGATTTTAAAATCATTAATATTAACAGTAAATGGAGACTAATGAGCATTCTTCGATGTTTAAATACATTTTGATTATATCAATATGCTTTGTTCTTGTGATGTTTTTGAAAAGAAGAATGAAAACAACAGGTGAATCAATATAAGTATGCTTATGATTCGGCTACTAAAGGATAGGATATGGAGAAAAATAGCATTTGCATATTAGGATATGTTACACACTTTCGATTAGGCTGAGAAAGAATTGCTCAAACATACATACCATAACACAATCTTCAATAGCAAGGGTGTAAATGTTTCAAGTGATACACGCAAAGAAAGCAAGAAGAAAAATTCCAATGTGCAGTTCAATATGAACAAAAACGAAACTCTACATTATTGATAAAAATAATATGTTAAGTAACGAATAGATGATGCTCCCACTTCTTACAATTGACCTAAACCGAACGTTTTAATTCACCAAAAAAGCCTCTCCTTACTGCCAGCGTTTAAAACAGGTTGGCCGTCGATAATCATTGATCTGTTCAACTGATGAACGATTAACCTAAAACATTATGCTCTGTCAAGGTGCGACGTTGAAAATGGATCTGAAATTCAGAAGTGCTAAACCTAAACAAAAGAATTACAAATAAATCAAAAGAAAAATTCATTTTGAAAGTCATATTAATGTATTTATTTCACCTTGGGATAATTTTTCACCTTGAAAATTATTAGCTTGATTACTAAATATTATTGATTAACACATATAAATTATGCGAAAAAATACAAGATTATCTACAGATTCAGATAGAAAAAGAATCGCGTCGAATCTTTCAATAAAATCGATTAATTCTACTACAATTAATACAACAACAGATGCAACTCTTCCTCATTTAGAGTCAAATTATTTCATAAAAAATAGAGTTAAGAAAGTCACTCATTAGTTTAGATTTAAAAGATCAACTATAAAAATGTCATAACCTAATAATATGCTTGAAATTCAAACTATTAAATAGTCATCTAAAATTTTGCTTAATTCAGTTATCCTTGAACTTGATAAATTAGCAATAGCATCAAAACACTATGCAACTAAAGCTCAAGACATTCTTAACCTTTCCATAGATTTAATGAATATATTAGGATCTGATTACGATAAAATAGAAATCTATCTGATAGTTCTTTAAAATAAATGTAAGACACAGTGTTTTTCTTTAGGATTGCTATTTACTTTTCTTTTAGCAATAATTCAAGAAACTTATGGACACACAAAAGCAGCATTATAATAATATAAACACATGAATGATACAGCAAACAAACATCAATTATTCTAATGTAAAATGATGGTGTATTATAGAATTGGATTGCTATAAAATAGATTGAAATAATTTGAAAAATTGTTAATAATAGGCAAGAAATTATTAAAGTTAAGTTGGTACTATTCAGATCAAGAGTATGAATTGAAAGCATACTATCTTTTTTCAAAAGGGTATAATGGGATTTAAGATATGGAAATGTCTGTAATATTTATGAATAGATATCTTGATGGAATAGTATAATAGAATGACCATATAAAAAATATAGGTATATAATAAATTGCATTGTATCACAGAAAAACCTAAGAATATAGACACTAGAGTCCTTCATTAGATGATTTTAATCTGGAAATGTATAGATAAAAGATAGAAAGGAATTACATCAAAATGTAAATGATTGGGGGAAAGTTGGCATTCAAATTGTAATCCTCTGAATGTGAAATCTGTGCTCATTATGGAAAGAATTTTGAAAAAATCTAAACTGAAAATGAACATCCATACAAAAAGAATTTGATTGTGCATACTGATAGTAGGAATAGAGATTTAATTGGATATTTTGATTCAGATTAAATCTAATAAATGTACATTCCATCAAAAACTCTGCCCATCTTAAAATAATTATTATTAAATTTCATTTCATATATATGAAACAAACAAATTAATTAAATGATACTATGTACTAGGCTTACTTTCTTGGACATATTAATGCTTTAAAAGCAATAAAGTCTAGGAAGAATCAAAAAATGCAAGAATCAAAAGTTCTAGTGAAATTGTGTAATTATTGTTATTTATTTAAGCACAATCTATGAAACTGTACAAATAAAGGGTTAATCATTTTGAACAATTGCAATATAAACAATAATTGGCCATTTCAAATCAAAAAATTAAATAAACCATAGAGAGAATTCATTAGAGTAGTCCCTCTATTGATAAAACAAGTGTTTCTTTACCCAGATTAAAGAGAAGAAATTAAGAAGGAGAAGAAATCAAAAAAGAAAATGCAAGAATCAAATTAAAACTTGAAAATTTAAAGGGAAGCATTAGTAATAGATAATCTAAATACGAGAAACCAAAACGATATGAAGATGTATTATAGGAATATTTTAAATAAAAATTATAACAATAATGAACATCGTATCTGAAGAAGACTCATTTGTCACTCTACATTATGAAGAAATCTATAGATAAATAAGAGACATGAAACTTTGTGAAAGACTATGCAGGTATCTATATATAAAAATCAGGTCTTAAACCAATAGAAGAGAAATAAATGGACTTGTTGCAATTTTTAAACCTCTACAAGTAGTTAAAACACTCATTACAAGTCCATTTACTTGTTATACAAAATCAAAAAGAAATTATTGTAATTATTTATCAGAATGATTAAGAACATAACTAAATTACACAAAGAAGTATTTGTAGACACTTAATTGCAACATCTCAATGTAGTATTAAAGTCTTTGAATCTTTGTCCAGTTGTCTTTGACATTAATATAAATGAATTAATAAGTCATGCCAAAGTATAATCAAAAGTAAGTAGATTTTGCCAATATATTAAAAATATAATTTGTTGCAAACTTTGAGTATTTTAATTATATTTAAATTTTAAATTTGGTGCCATTTAATGAGTATTGATCTTTCCTTTAAGAATCTTGAAATGCTTGATTAGTCCTTGAATCTGAATAATTATGTAATGAAATATATCAATTAAATCTTAGACAATAATAAATCTATAAGGCAATAATTTTAAGGGTGAATAAACTTACATTCAATAACTTAAAATTTAACATCTCAATTTATCATTCAATAATATAGAATAAATGTGGTTGTTACCTTCTTCCTTAATAACATTGGAAATTAATAATAATTTACTATAAAATTTATCAAGTATGAAATATGCATGAATTTCTAGATATCTCTCATCTAAAAAATTTGAAACAGATTGATTTGTCTAACAATTTATTATAAAGTGTTCATTGGTTTAGTAATCTAACTCAACTAACTCATTTATTCTTAAAGAATAATAAAGTAATATATAAAGATATTTTAGATTAAAACCATAGAATAACTTAAAACTTTACCATAACTTGTTGAAGTAGATCTAGAATGCAATGAATTAAAAAATATAGCTGAAGTGTATTATCTAGAAACTTAATCTAAAATTAATGTAATAAATTTATTTGGAAATCCTGTTTTTGAAGGATTGCAATTAAAAGTATTAAATGTAGTTGAAAGTAAAGTTTTCTTATAATTATCTTTAGAAAATTGCCATTGTAGATCAGAGCAAATATACAATTAATCAGAAATCTGTAAAAAACGAAATTAATAAATTGATGACATTGATTTATTTGATGAATAGACAAGTGAAAAATAATAAGACCTATAGCCTTAAACAATGACCCAAAAAAAATACACAAAGTCTCTATCTCCTTTAAACAAATAATTACCATAATTTTATGATCCAAAGTCAAGTAAATATGTCACATTCCATGATGTATTAAGGTAAAAATAACGTAACAATACTAATACAAATTATGACATTAAATAATAAAATGTGACAACAACAAATACTAATACTACTATTAATAATAGATAAACAATGGATTAATTGAAGTAATAAAATGAAAATTTGAAGAAAGATTATATGAAATTAAAATAAAAGTTTGAATAATCATAAAAATAGAATTAGAGTTTTTTTTAAGAAATTGAAAGTTACAAAGAATAACTAAATGGACTATTATTACAATTTAATATTCCAATTTAAGAAGAGGAAGCATCAATTAGATCATTACTTGATTAATTGGAATTAGGTTTGATGACATTCATAAAGGAAACTAGAAAATAAAATGTAGAATAAATCAATAGTATGATGACAAGAATGGGAAATAAGGTTAAGGTAATGAGTAGTCAAATTGAAATTATTACATTAAAAAAATGCTGTGAATATACAGAAAAAATCAAAAATATTGAGTTAGCGTTATCTAAACTTGCTGATGTAGTTGTAGAATAGTAATATATATTATTAATTTTTTAGAAAATAATAAATTGTAAAACTTCAAAGGTAAAGAGTTCATTCTCCTTTACAAAGATAATGTTTAACTACAAGATATCATGGTAAAAATCCAAGTGAACTTGACCAAATGAAATTAAAAACATTATTTTTCAAGTCTCCAAATGTTTAACAATTGGATAAACCTCTTAAAACTCAAGGATCTTAAATTACTAGTTTATCTCAATAGATATTAGAAACATAATAGAAACCAAAAATAAAAAAATGAAATTTTTTTTATAATTTATTATAATCATTGTATAAGACTTATTCCTACCATTAACTTTATTTTTTTATACTAAAAGTTTATTCAGATACATTATTTCATAAAATTTATTTATTAGCTTTGTTACTAAATTTTATTTTAAAACAATCGATTTGCTGTTATTTTATTACATAATTCTTTTTCAATAATTATTGTTTTAAATAAAAATAACATTATAAATTATCAACAATCATTATATTTCTAAACAATTTTTAGTCAATGTTACTTCTTTATTAAGAATTTATTTAAACAAGAAATAAATAAGAATTAATTTTAATATTAGAGAAAAGCTATGAAAAAAGGCAGTAATACTTAAAGTTCAATAGAATTATGATCTCTAAGGTTATTCTGTTGAAAAAGAAATGATTGAGGAAATTGAGGGGATTTTTTGTTATTAAAATTTAAGAAACTGTGATTATATCGTTAATTATTTTAAATTATGTCACTCAACGATTGGAAAAATGAAAAAGCAATGCTTGAATAAAGAAATTAGTTTCTTTATATGTAAATTTAAGAGATCAAAGAAAGAGAAGAACATTAGAAGAAGTTTAATGATACAATAATGCAAGCTTGGAATTAAGGAGAAGGAAGAACCAATGTAATTCGATAACATTAATTATATTTTAAGTGTAAAGTATACAAAGAAATCTAAAGTACTTTAGAAGAGTATTCAAGAGAACTAATAGAAGCAAAGAAGAAGAGCTCTATTGCAATGATGAAATTAGAGAATGAAAATACCGAACTAAAATATTAAATATAATAGTTAGAATCTATTTATCAGCAAAAAAATCAATTACACTAAGATAAAGTAATGGAATTAAGAAAAAGGATTGAATGTTAAACTAATAAAGAAAATGTTGGAGATAATCAATTTGGTTGTATTGTAAGTGTAAAAAGCAGAACATGTAGCTAAAATACTAGTAGAGAAATAAATAAATAAAGATCAAAAACATAGAATAAACCTGAATTATTAAATTGTCGTAATTCTAATGTAATGGAGATCAATACTGACTTTTTAAAAGAATATAGTACTTAAATAGAAAGTGTTTCTCCTTAAGAAAGACAAAATTTAGCAATTTAATTGAAATAATTAACAAAGGAATTAAAAACTACAAAAGTAAAATATTTATCTAATTCTTAGAATGAAATTGAAAATACAAATTTATAAACAGCAAATGAACTGAAAACGGAAATAAAATCAATGTTAAATAAGTTACTCAAAGCTAAAGGAAAGATGACTGAAAGCATAGTTGGAAGTGGAAAAGAATCTGTATTAATGTTAAGAGGAAGCTAATATAAACCTACATTAGCTGATTTTGCAAAATAATTAAATGCTGTTAGATCTATTGAAACTTTTAATATTTTGAATCCAGGAAAAGCAACAAACAATTATTGATTAGTTAATTATATATATAAAAACACCAAAAAAATGTGAAAAAAAATCGATATCATTTGTATCATTATTTTTATCTCTTAAAAAATATTTTTGTGATTTACTTAAATTAATTGGTGAATTCTTGATAATTCACTTTATGGCACTATAACTGGTTTAAGTTTCTTGTCCTAATATAATTTTAGTTATTTTAACCTTTTGGTTCATCACACTTGAAAATTGAAAATGCTATACTAATGCTTAACGTCCTTATATTCTTGCATATCTCAATTCACAAATCTAAATTTGATATTTTAAAAACTTTACTTTCTCGCTATTAAAATGAGGCCATCCATTATCATGAAAATCCTTATAAAATTAAATAATGTAAAAAGGATGTACAAAATTTATGAATGCATACCCCATATTACACTTATTCTAATTTATAATAACATTATTTAATTACCTTAAAGTCTATTGGAAGATATAAAAAGTCATAATAATTGCTATGTCTATGATCAATTAAATCTTAAAGCATTTGCACTGTATATTTATTAGGGATATTTTTTATCATTATTGTGGTTCTTTCATCCGATTAATTCATTACTTAATCTATTCTTACTAAAAAATAGTGTGCTTCTTCTTCTGAAATTGTTTTTCTCTTTCTTCTTTCAGTTTCAGAACCACTTGTTAACAATGATTAACAAGATGATCCCAATTAAAAACCAGGTTCATTTGATATTTCGGTTGAAAGATTTGAACCCACTTTTTAGTCAAAGGACTTATTCTTAAAAACTTCAGAAATTTATTCCATCATCTGGTCTTATGAAAAATTATCTTGTTTTGCATACAATATCACTTTAGGTTCTAGTGTTATTTCATGTTTATTGGCTTTACCTGTAAACATTTATATGGCCCTATCTATTTTATCGCTATTTGATTTGCTTTCTTAACTTTGCTTACTTTCATTAGATTAGTTCAGGGTTGCTTTATCGATGTCATCAAATAATTCTTATGAACTATGATCTTTTTATTTTGTCAAGATTTCATTTAAATCTCGATGATTTCTGATGCATCTCAGAATCTGTTCTTAATTTAAACGAGACTGCTTGTCCATTTATTATAATAATTTTTATTTTCTTGTTTTCCTTTTTCTCAACATAAAGATTTAATGTTACTTTCAAGATTTACATAACCATTACAAAAACCAATAAATAAATAGCAAACATAAATCAATCTTAATCTTAGTCACATTAAAGTTTTAAAGTAACTTCATCTGATTCATTAACTAACTTAACCTCTATGAAACCTCATCCTAAAACTGAATAACCAAGTGTTATATATGACTTATTCATTATTCTGAATACAATCAAAGATTTTTAAAAATACTTGTTACCAAAATTTATAGTTCCATTTCATTATCTCAATTAGAAAAAGAATCTAAATGGAACACATTTACAAATAAAATAAGCAAATCTTATATCATATTAATTCTAAACCTATTTAGTTTCTGTTTCATACCTTAATAATAAATTAATATTAATTAATAAAAATAATTAAATTTTACTACAGTTTTGATGTCAAAGACTTCTTAATTTTATTATACTAAATAACACTTAAAAGGGAGAGAATTTCTTTTAATTAATATTTAAAATCAAATAAATTTTTTAAAAAATCTTTAAGTATAAATTTATAATATCTTTTTTTATTAAACTATTTATTGTTTATAATTTTAAATAATGAAAATCGAATTAGAAATACAAAAATTTAATTAAAATTGAAATATCAAATAGTTACCCAAAATTATTTTTTTAATAAAAAAAACAATGTTCGTAATGAATAGAAGAAAATTATCGTTATAAAAGCCTATAAACTCAGCCTTCTTAGACAAAGCAACATAAATTTTAATTTTAGCTTTTTAATTAAAGATAAAGAGTTAAATTAGAATATATTATTTAAAATTTCAGTATTAGAAAATTCCAAAATAGAATATTTTATGAGTTTTATCAAACATTAGCTGAATAAAAAGACTAAACTATTCTATTATATAATTTGACACATAGATTTGTTAAAATTTTGGAGGTTTTCTATTTTGTTTAAGTAACAAATTATTTTATGTAAATGTTAATGGATTTTTTATTTAGGATCTTATTTTAACTAAAAATATTTATTTTTTTGAGGAGGAGTATCAAAATAAAACTTCATTTTATATTAAATTTTAGTGTTATTGTTTTTTTGATATAATTTAATAAATATATGTTTTTATTATTAATATTAATATTTAACCGACATGAGTGGTTATAAACAGTTTGATGAGATTGAACCTTATAGATAAAGAATTCGAGAGCTTGAAGGTTAACTATAGAGAATGGATGTTAGATTTAGTAATGTTCTAACACATACTGGGAAAGCTGACACACAATTGAATAACGATTTACATGTAGAATTAGAGAAGATGACAAAATAAATGATATAGAAGAGAAGTGAAGCTGAATTATGGAAGTAGAAATATGAATAATAACTATCATCAACAATGTAGATGAGAAACAATTATGAATTAGAATTATAATAATTATCAAAGGAAGTTTAAAGGTTATTGGACAAGGTAGATCAATTTGAATATGAAAAAAGATTGAATGATAAATAATTAGTTAGAGAGACTTTATAAGATAAGGATTTAGAGATTGATGATTTATTGAGTAAATTATAGAGAATGAGATTAGAACATGAAAATGAATCATAAAGACTTTTGAATGAGAATGATAATTTAAGACATAAGATAAATTAAATTGAGTTGGAAAGATAAAAGTATGATTTTATTTAGATTATATAATAGAGAGCTTGAATAAATGAGATTTAAGATAGAAACATTCCATTCTTAAAATTTGGATAATCTAAGAAAAACTCATTAGAGTCAAATTTCAGTTGTTGAATCAGAAATAGATAAATTAAGAGGATTATTAGAAATAAAAAATAATGAAATTGAAACTTTGCTTTCTTAAAATATGAAGTTGAAAGGTTCTTATGAGAATTAATTAAATGAATTAAATATTTAATTTGATACATAAAAATCTAAATATTAGAAATAAGAAATAATACATAGAGATCAATTAGCATAGTTATAATAATAATTATTAGATGAATAAAAGTTTAATTTATAATCTTTAAGTAAAAATTATGAATAAAGTATGACTACTTTAGAAAAAGAAATCTCAACATACTAAAAAAAGAATGAAGCTTAATCAAAAGAAATATAAGATTTAATTTCAGAAAGGTAATAATTAAGAGATAATTATGAGAGATAGTTTGAATTATTAAAGAAAGATAATGAGATTTTGAAATCGAGATAAACTTAATTTGAATAATTAAAGTTAAAGGATATGTAATAGATAGAATCAGAATTAATATAAACAAAATAATCATAAATTGAAGTTGAAAGTGTTTATAGATAATAAGTAGTTAAATTAGAAAATGAATTATAACTCTGTTAAGAGTAAGAAAATGTTAAGAATAAGGAAGTAGAAACTTAGATTCAATAATTTATATTAATAAAATAAGCATTGGAAGAAGATTTATAACATTTAAGATAGTAAAATTAAACTTTAAATGAATAAATAAAAGAATTAGAAAAGATAGCTTCATTTGAATAAGAAGAATGGAAAGTTAAATGGTAATAAACTGAATTCATATTGAAAGATAAAATTCGAAGTCTTGAAAATAAAGTTGATATTTTATAATAAGAATTGAGAAAATAAAAAGAATTAACTGATTCTCAAATTAAATAAATTCCAGAAAGAGAATTTAAAGTTTTAATTGATGAGAATGAATAATTAAAAACAAGATTGGTATTGTAAGAAAGAGATAAGTTGAAAGAGAGAGAAGATCTAAGGATAAAATTAGAATAGTCGCATCATTATTAAATTGAAAATTTGAAAGCAGCCTTTAATACTTAAATAAGAATTCTTGATTAGGAAAACAAAGATGCAAAAAATATAATTTAACAAAAAGAAAATTCAATTTAAGAATTATTAAGAAAATATGAAAATTTGGAAACTGCATATAGTGGTTAAACAATTGGACCATAAGAATAAGCATCTAAAAATATATATTAAGCATATATTCGTTCATCAAATAGACAGTCATCATTACGTAAATAATAATGAATAATACTATCTTAAATAAATATATATAATTATATATAAATATTAATAATTGTTAAGAATCATTATGCAAAAATATCAATTTTCTAATGTATTTTGGAGAAAAGTAAGAGAAGATATGAAAATGGAAATTCTTTTAGAAAAAAAACCATTGAAATAATTTAAATTATATGAATTGACAGAAGATGAAATGAATATTAATTTAGATTAAGTTACATAATGGTAATTTATAGATCAAAATTTAGGTCTCCAGATAATGAAAAGATTTACAAAAACATATCAGAAAATGGATTTGCTGATTTTATTTGCAATAAAGAATATATGATTGAAACATATACAAATATTGTGTTTGATTCTGAAGATATAACACTTATGGATAATCAATTATTATAATTCAAGAATTTGTAATTATTAAGATTGAATCATAATAAAATTGAAATTGTTTAACATCTTCCTTAATAGTTGGTTGAATTACATCTATTTAATAATCCAATAATAACTTTGAATTTATTAAAACATAATCTTTAGTATTTAGGTTTAGGATATTGTTTATTAAATGATGATGCAATATAATCTATATCTAAATTCTTGCCTTAATTAATAGGATTAGATTTAGCTCATAATTAACTTTGTGATTTAGAATATTCAGTAGAGGCTTGTAAAAAAATGTCAAATTTAAAAATGCTTTCTTTGTATGGTAATCCATTAGTATTAATGCCTTAATACTTTATTTATATTGTTGATAATCTATTAAATTTAAGAAATTTTGATGAATAAAGTTTTTTGGATATTAAAAACAGATTAGAATAAGCAGAAAAAGAAAAATAAGCTAAAAAATAGGAAGCATTAAGAAAATAATAAGAAGAATTAGAACTTTAACAAAAGTTATTAGCAGATAAAAATAAAAAAGGAGGAAAACCTGGAAAGTAGCCTGATCCAGTAATTGTTTAATAACCTTAAGTAATAATACCAATTGATGAACCTAAAATAAATTTAAATGATTTAAGGTAATTTAAGATTACATTGAAAATATAAACTTTAGAAAATTTAGAAGGAATTCTATTAGATAAATATACATATCCATCAATGGAATAAAATAGTAGATTATTTTAAAGTAAATATATAATTTCAACAAATTTATTTGGAATTGAATTAAAAACTAAAGAAATATAATATGAAACAGCAACAATAGAGAATGAATTAGGAAGAGTTGATTTTGAATATTGTTTTGAATAACTTTATAATCCTGATGTTGAAATAAGAGACGCAGTAGAATAAGGTTTTTTAATAACAGTATCAGTAGAAGAACCTAAAATGTATATTGTAAAAATTAAATTTATAATTAAATTAGGCAGAAGATGGAGAAAAAAAGCCAGTTATGGGTTAAGATGAATTTCCTGAATAATAAATAAGAATCTTAGGAGTATGTAAAATAACATGTGATTGGTTAAGAGGATACAATAAATAATTCAATAAAAAATATCGATTATTTAAAGAAGATACAAAAACTTCAGCAGAACATTGGTTTCCATTAGAAAATGAATAGGATTTAATTTAAAATAAGATGGAAATGATTCAAAAAGAAAAAGAGGCAGAATTAGAAGAGAAAAAAGCATAGCAAGCTTTGATTGATTAAAAAAAAGAATAAAGTAAAGGAAAAGGAAAAGATGTTAAAAAAAAGGATGATAAAAAAAATGTTAAGAAAGGAAAAGATGAACCTGTTTAAAAGGTAGTAGGTTAATTAGATTGGGAAGTTGATAGCAGATAATATATATATGTAAATGAAAAGAAAGTTCATAGAGCAACTGACATGTTATTAGCAATTGCTTTAGATTTAGGATATTGATTTTGTATGTCTTACATAAATATTTCATGGCTTAATTAAATTTTAAATTTAACAATCAAAAATAGAACATATTTAATTATAAACTAATTTTTACATATACGACAAGTAAACCAAAATTTTTATAATCATTCCATACTTCCCTTTCTAGTCTATGCAGTATTCTTGAATAATGGAATAACAATTTTAGGGCCTTCATTGAATTTCTTACATTTTGCTGCCTCTTTCATTTTATCTTAATATATTTTTTCAGCTAAATAACTAAAAATATTTAGTATAATATATTATTTACATATGTAAGCAACAATTTCTTGGTTTTAATTTCTTTGACTTTTATTTGTTATATTCAATCAAATTCAAATATACCTATTTCTATGCATTTCGTAGTATTTACTATTTTAATTTGAGATCCCTAAATTATCAAAATTGAATCTACCTTAGTATCAAATGAACATTAAAAATATAGGGTTCTACTTAAGAATTTTCTAAATTTTTTGTTTAATGTCTCATAGGTTTAACTAATTTCTCTGCCTAATTTTTATTATAAGAGATTATTTCTGAAACATTTTGATCTGGATATTCTGGCATTCGAAAAGTGATTTGATTTGCTTCTATAATTTATTGTACAAAAATTATACTTCTTCGTGCTTTTGCTTATTTTAAAAATCTAGCTGTTCTATTTTCTTTTTATTTTGTAGTACAATCTAAACTCTTATTTAATATCATTACATTTTTGTATTTCTTAGACTAATTCATTAAAGTTTATAACAAATTCTTGATATTCTGAATCACTCTCTTCAGAACTCATATATTTTATTTAATTTAATATATATCATAATTGTGAATATCATTATCTAATCTTTTTTTAAATCTTTTAAAAATAATATCCTTTTTTTACAATCAAATTATTAACCTCTTGATTCATCAAACACTACTAATTTTAACAATATCATATTTTTTTAAAATTATTCATCTCATGATATTTATTAGTCATAAAAAATATTCACTAATCATAACTTTTATAACTAATAAACAAATTAGCTTTCAAATTATACATATTTTAAAGAATAAATTATAAATAATTAACAGATAAATTTATCGACAAAATAATTGTTATTATTTCTATCTAATTAATTAAATCCTTTTTTTTTAATTTTACAAAAAAGAATAAATTTATATTTCGATTCCTCAAAAGACTTGTATATCTAAAAAATGATATAATATGTTCATTTAATAGATAATAAAAAAATTCATTTTAAAAAATGAAAGTATTTTATATTTCTTTAACATATATATCTATTTAAATTAATATATATTCTTTTATGTTTTTGTTTATGATAGCAAATCAGTATTTAATAGTAATCTGCTTTTAAACTCAAATTAGATGTTTTCTAAATCATTAAATAAATCCATTTTCAAATATCAAATTTGATAATTGAGCAAAAATGGAATATATTGTTTCATAGATTGAATATTTTACAAAATATCTTGAATCAAATTGGAGTAGAGGTGCTCCTGTTTTTTATGTAATGACAGGAATACTGTTTAGTTCTATAAATTCGTTATTAGGTAAAACAATAGGAATGAATGCTAATTAAATAGTATTTGGAAGAGGGCTAATTATGTGCGTTATTGGAAAATTAGCTACTTAATAACAAAAAATAAATTTATATGGGTTTAATGGTGAAATCTACAAGAAATTATTACTTAGAAGTCTCTTAGGGTGTTTGGCAACATTCTTGTTTTATGCAGGATTAATTTATGTGAATATTTCTGAGGCTTAAGTATTAATGTAAACTACATCTATTTGGACAACAATTTTTGCGATATTAATATTGAAAACAGAAAAATTTTCATGGAAGTTACTATTACATTTTTTAATTTGCTTTATTGGTATTTTTCTATTAGTTAAACCCCCATTCTTAAAAAAATTGATTGGTGAATAAGAATCAATCGAAGAAAATGAAACTTAATTAATAGGATGCGTAATTTTGTTGATATCTACCTTTTTCTTTTGTCTAGTCTAAGTATTAATAAAAAATTTAACACATTGTGTAATTATTATCAATAATAATTTAAGGTTAATTAATTAGTGATTCCTTAATATTTTAGTGTAACTTCAATAATTTTTTCTTCTTTTTTGGCTACCTTGAATCCAAAATTGATTTGGAAAGTTCCAAATATGGTTGAGTTGATGAAATTATGTTTAATTGGAATAGTTTCATATTTATAATAGTTATTAATGAATAGAGCATATATGAAAGGAAATTTAACTGAAATGGCTATGTTAGGTTAAACACAATTAATATATGCATATTTATTTGATATATTAAGAGGTGCTCAAATATCAGTTTTAAGTGTTTGTGGATCTATTTTAATTGCAAGTTCAATCTGTAAAAGAATTTTGGAGAAGAAAAGCGTTTAGGATTAAAATTCTAAATGATTTTTTTATAATATTTAATTATCCTTAAAATCTTAGATTTAATTAATTAATTAATTTATAGTGCATAATGAACTAAATATTTAATTATAAATTGGTTTGTTAATTATATTATATTTAAAATGAAATAGAATTTTCGAAAAGTTTAATGAAGAACTATTTTTGTAGTATTTAATAATAAATCTTATTTTTGAATTTCATAACTTAACTTAATATAAGACTTATGAACTTAATAAAATAAAAGTTGTTTACCAATTCATTTATATTAAAAGTTTATTAAAGAATTAATAATGAGCATTTTACAATGATTTTAGTGTTTTACATAAAAATCGTCTTGATCATATTGAAATATGTAAACAGAAAATTTTTAATTTTCTAATTTATTTAAGGTATGTTAATCATTGTTAAAAAATCTTTTTGATTGGATTTAATTTGATTCGATTAAAGTATTTATTATAATTAATTTATCTAACTTAATCAATACTATCTTTTTATTAGTTATTCTTATTGACTATCATGTTGCAGTTACGAACCCATATTCCTTAGACCACCAATTAGCATATTGTTAAACCTTTCTTCTCTTTATTTTATCATAGTATCATAATTATCTTTAGCTCGCTTTGCTTTTTATTTATTCTCAGCTATTTTATTTGTAAGTTCTTCAATTTCTTAAGATATTTATAAATCTTTATCTTAGTTTAATTATATAATTTTATTCACTCTATCTCTTTTGATTGCTAGAAAATTATGGATTTATTCTCTATTTTTTCTAAGTTCCTCTTTCCTTTTAATTTCTTTTTGATTTCTATAGTTTTATAACATATTGTAAATTTTTTCACACCAACCTTCAACCATTTATTAAAGACTTGTTACAAAGATTCTTTCAGTATCAAAACTATATATATAAATATATATAATTATACAAAGCTGCCATTTCTCTACCACTATATATGGGAAATAAAAGAGGTTCATCAATTCTTTCATTTTTAGAATTAACTTTTTATTTAGCTTCTTCTATTTTTGCAATTTCTTCTTCAGTTGCATCAAATGTATCTACTTAATAATACATATCTTTTTTTTCTTTTACAATATTTTCAATCGGTATATCCTGTATATTATTTAGTTGAATTGGAGATGCTCCTTTAATAAATAACATAAATATTTCATAAGTAGCAGAAGTAATAGTCTTCATATTAGTTTTAAGTTAATCAGTAGCTTTAACATTTTTAATTTGTATATGAGCTTTACTCAGCAACCTATACAATAATACTTTGACAATCATAGATATTATAATCATCATATATTATTTCTTTTGTATCATATTTTTTAATGATCCATGATATGTAAAATTTAATCTATTTAATTCAAATTTTAAATGTTGACTATCTAATAGATATGCATATTCACATGTAATGCTATTTAAATATACCATTATATTCTCTGTGAAATCACTTTCATTTGCATTATCAATCACACTATCAAATAACTTTTTTAAAATTTCCTTAAGCTTTTTAATATTTTGATTCATTTGATTAGTTGAAATCTTTTATTTTGGTTTTGGAACTATTTAAATATTTAAATTAGGCAGAAAGAGATCATCAAAAACATTTTTCAATACTCTTCCAAATAAACCATGTGTATCTTCAATGAATTTTTAGAGTATTTCAGGTCCTTTTTTAATAACATATTATTTCTTTGCTAAAATAGTTTTCTTCATTATATTATATTTCCAAATATAAAAAAATAACATAATAAAGTATTATTTTAATTTCTTCAAAGCACGTTTACTATAATATTAATTATAATATTATACCCTATTAATTAAACTAATTAAGCTTAATCATCTTTTGGATCATAAGATGGAGGTGGAGGAATAGGTCTTAGCTTTAAAATTCTTGGTTTTTATACTAATCTCGGTTCAGGATCAGTTTCTTCACTAGTATAAGAATCAACTTCTGCTTTATCATTTATAATTTCATCAAAATCTTATTGTTTTTTATTCTTTTAGTTTTTCTTTCTCTAATTTTCTATTTTCTTAAATTTAAATTGTTTTTAATACAATTTGTTTCAACATTCTTAACATTTATAAAGTTTGTTACTTTGATTTCTATTTCTCAGGATATGGCATTGTTGGAAATTATTATTAATATAAATTCTATTATTAAAAATAAGGATGATATTAATAACCTGGAGGTGGTCTAAATTATTAACTTAATCTCATGTGTGGTGGTATTTCATCATACATATCATTATAAAATGCATCTTAAGCATTTTAAGCTTCCAACTTTTTCATTCTTTCCAAAAGTTTATACTTTTCATCCTAACTTTCTTTTTCCCTTTATTATGCTATGGTTTTAGTCAACTTTTCCAAAACTTCATTTTATTTAATTATATAATCAATTATCCTAGTTTTTGGTTATTCTGGTAAGGTATGAACTGATTATTAAGTTTAATTCACAGTCATACCTATTTAACCATTTATTAATAGTTTCTCTTAGTTCTATATCTATTGATATGGTAAATTAAACTATGATTGTATTGGTTATTTAATAGACAATTAAGATTATTACATAGGTAATTATGATTATTATAATGGAAGTTATTAAGGCATTGGCAAAATAGTCATTGATCTTTTATTTTTTATAGATGATCTAGGCATTAGTGAATCAAATTAACTCATTACATAAGGTTAACCTAATAACTATTGACCAAAATTAGCTATATTATTAGTTGTAGTAGATATTTAGGATATATTTGATGAACCAAAATTCTAATCGAGATTCTCTAAACTATTTCTTTTATTTCCTTTGTTCATACTTCCAATCAATAACAAATTCATTATATCTTACTCTCTTGATCTTGGTTTAATATTATTTATGGTTTCTCCTGTTCTTATTAATTACTCATAATCATTCATGAAAGTATTAAGTTATGAAGATGGAGGCACTATTTACATTATAGAATTATTATTACAACTTTATTAACCGACATTTTAAAATGATGTTTTTCTCATCTATTTAATAATAATATAAATTTTATATTATATATTATATTTTACTATTTCATTCATTCATAATATTATTCATTAAAATAGATTCAATCTTTATTAAGGTATCTTTTAAACCTACTATATAACATTAGGGTTTTTTTATTAAGATTAAATATTTCCGATGATTTCCATATTTATTCTTTTTAATAAATGATAAATTTAATTATTTAATGGAATTAGAGAAAACATTACATAGAGTTCAAGAACGAATTTTGACTCATCAATATGTTCCTAAATTTACTAATATTTGCAGTATGATTTTATTAAGTTTGGCATCTATAAATTTACTTATAATATGGGGATTAAGTCATAGGACAATCAATTAAATATAATTTGATATTGAATAGAAAGATAAAATTTATCATTATTCAATTGTAGATAATGATAAAACAATTCTAATGATGAAATATTCAAACACTTAGGAATTATTGCACTTAGAAACTGAATTTTTAGAATTACACAATTTTACTATTATCAACATTACTGTGGATTATAATAACTACTTTGATAGTAGTCTTTAATAATTATTAGCAAAGGCTACAAATTTGGAAACATTATTCTTACATGATGTTGCTTATTCAATATATTCAGATATTTATGTTAAAAATAATGCTACAAATCAAACATTTATTTGGAAAGAGAATCAAAACCTCTATAATTAATTAGGAAAAGTAGCTTACAATTTTTGTGATTTCTTAATAATAACTTTGGGGTTATTCATTTCTTCTGCTATTTCATCACTCTATATTAAAATAACTATTATTTGTGCTCCAGTCATTATAATTATAATGTGTATTACTCTTTTTATAATATATTTTAGTAGAAGTATCCTATATTTTTGGAAATAGATAAATATTCCCAATATTTTTGGCACGTGCATTCCCATGGATAGGATTATATTTAAATATTTTAGATAGAACTTAAAGATCAAAAAAATAACTTATCGTTGCATTTACTTTAATGTTATTATTAATCTATTTTATCTATTTATCATCTATAATTATTGGAAGTTACTTATTGTTTAAAATTTAAGTTCCATATGGTTTGGAAGATAACTTTTTTGGGTATTATTAATATAATTAGAATTTTATAGTTTAGTTACAGTTAATGAATTTGCATCTTTATTATTTTTGAGAACTCGTTCCTCTATATATTTTGTTCCAAAGTTTACAATCATATATTATTATTTGTTCCTTTGGTATGTTCGTTCTACAAGTAAAAATCATATAATACATTTTTAGATTATGGTTTCTATTCACTTGCTATGATCACATTATCTTATATGTGTTTTGGAACATTTTGTCTTTTCATTTTCATCTATGAAATTCCCAGTCTAGGTTGGAATCCCCTATCATTTTATACACCATCTATTGATAGACCACGCTGTTATTATTTACCTGTTTTTTCAATGAATTGGATCAATGATTTACCATAACTATGGACTATGTTTTACCCTTTGCATGGAAGAAGGTATTTATTATACCTATGTCTCTAGATATTTTTAAATTTAAAATTTAGCTTTAGTTGATCGAAACTTTCCACTTCTCAACAATCTCTTAGATATTGAATTGTAAGAATAATAATGATTTATTATATAAAATATTCAATTAATAGCTACTTATTTTTTCACATCCATAAATTCTAAACTCATTGGAAGTGAAAATACTTTCTACTTTATTTATTTATATCTCTCATAATTCTTCTCAAATTCTTTTGAAATGTCTTTAATCTCTAATAGAATATGAACCACTTATTAAATTTACTAACAATGATTCTCTATCTAAATATCTCTTTAATCTATTTATTTTATTATCAATGTGCCATTCTATTTATTTTCTTACAAATATTTCTTAATTTTTTCTATTGATTATTATTTCAAAGGTTTAATTCCTCCTAGCTATATGTTTGGTTATAAAATTTCTTAGAAGATCGATTATAAACTACATTCAACAATAGCCAGTGCAATTTCACTCTCCTTATAAGTAAATATTATAAATCCCTATAATGCTTTTAAAAAATATTCTTCTATTTTCTTTTCGTAACGAATGAATAACGATTACTCAATAAAATCTTTTATTTGAAAAATAAATATCACAGATTGTATTATTGGGTATATCGGTTTTATATCAATATCATAACCTAAGGCTTAAACAATTAACATTTCATTTTTTGCATAAAATTCATCACCATAATGTTAATATCTTTCATGTTTTGGTTTCTTTTTTAGTTTTTATGCTTGAAATCCTATTGATAGTTATGAAAGCTAAATATTTCATATTAATTATAATTTTTACTCCGTTTAGTTTCATTCCTAAATAACTACAAAATAATAAAATCTAATGCATTCCAGATTATTCGAAAATTGTTTTTATCATGTAATATCTCTTAAATAATACAGCAGCATAAGAAATCAAAGTAAACTTTTAATTCTTTTCATATTTAAATAAAGTTGGAAGCAAAGTACAACAATAATGATTTATGATATTCATCTCATCATTTTACGAACAACCCTCTGGTAATTATGATTAACGATATTGTATAAAATCAGCTATTTAACTTTTTGTAAATTTCCACATTAATTTAAAGTATAATTAATATTATTTAGTTATCATTTTCTTAATTTTATTTTTATATAAAAGATAAACCTATTAGAAAGAAAAAAATTGGAATTTTAAGTTTAAAATTGAATATTTTGAATTAACAAAATATATATTATATGAATATTCAATTAAAAAAGTAAATGAACTTTTTGAATTAACAACGTTTATATTTATAAATTTAATAGGTATCAAAATTGATTTTCAGCAAGTATTTTAAGTCAAAAATAACTATTTCATATCATTTTCATTGAATGATACCCTACTTCTTAATGTTTACACAGAAATCAATTGTGAATTCACATTCCTAAAGATAATTTGATAATTACTTTTATTATTCAAGTGATAGCTTCGAAAAACAAATCAGATACATCTTTAATTTATCATAATTTTATTTTATTTATTTCTCTTGCTTAGTCCATTTCATAATTTACTTATTCAAAATTAAATCTATATAAGAATTTTATTTAATTTTTTAAACTACAAGTTAAATCTAAATTAGCAATTCTATTCTATGTCGTTTATAATAAATGCTAAGTATTTTTAAAATAAACGGTTAACAAAGTTTTATCCATAATAGAATTAAAACTATCTATAAAATGAAAGAAATAACATGATTTTATTAATCACTTACATATTATACTGCAGCTAAAAATATTGATATTGAACATATTTAACTTGTTGAAATATCCAAAACATTTAAACTATTTAAAATAAAGGGTTTATATTTTAAAGCCAATTATTAATATAATAATAAGCACAACCCTAACAAAGAGGCTTTTAATAGTATATTGGTTTCAAAATAAATCATAATAAAAATTACTAAAGTTTTCTTACAAATCTTAATATATTCCCAAAAATAGGTATTTTTGTTATATTCATTAAATAAATAACAAATATGTCGTCTAAATTAGATTATTTCAAGTTTTTCCTTTATAAAAAACATTAATAAAAACAAAAAGACTGGAATTGCTAGACCAACTAAAATTAAACTTGGAAGTATAAATCCAATAATCCATCGAAAATGAGTTTAAGTATTGAATGAAAATGATACATTCCCTTATACAAAATCAATATTTGAAATACGCCTTACAGCTAATAATGAACAAAATCTAATATAATTATTATAATATACTGTTTAATTAAAGTTGCATGATTCGAGAGATATTAATATAGAATAGTATTAGTTACTATGCTCATTCTAAATTTATGCTTTTAAAATATTGAATAAAATTTATGAGCCAGAACAAACAATATCAATTAAAAGAGTATGAATACCATCATTGTAATTATTCTTGAGTATATAATATCTGTATTTATTTGAGAAGATAAATAGCAATCTAAACTGTAAGCTAAGACAAGAGAAGAATTGCTCGCTGATTCAAAAAATGTGTTGGAAAAAGAAAAATTAATATTAAAGCTATAAATAAGAGAAAATAACCATAAATAATTGAGTAGCATTTTAATTAAGAAACTTTGATGATCTAATTATTGATCAAAATATATACCTTAATTAAGTTTAAAAATAATTCCTCTAAATTTTTGTTTTAAACCCAAAGAAGTGTATAATAAATTCGTTTTTTCTATACTTCTAACAGATAAAAAAATCGTAAAAAACGACCTAAATAAGATTTAAAGTTTATACCATAGAGTTACAAAAATAAAAAGTATAAGATTAATTGATTCTCTCGGACATATTTAACATTACATATTTGTAAGACTTTTAAAATGCTTTCCAAATCCTCTAATATTGTAAATATCACATTCTTCACATAGTCCACCAATATGACCTTAAAGACATAATTTATCATTAACTTCCCAACCTCCTTAACAAAATATTTAATTTTTAAAACATAATTCAGTTTAATCAGAATAATAATCTGGCCTCCAATAGCCAGGATTTAAGTTGATTAAATTAGATGTGATATTCTTAAATTTTATATTATCAAAAATTGAGCATTTTGTTGCATTATAAGTAACTGAATAATATCCTTAAATAGATTAACATTTTGAACAACCTTTCCCAACATAATATTCGCCTAATTAACATAAATAACTTTTCGCATAAATTATGTATCTTAGATGTTTTTAACTAAATTAAATAATGCAATCGATTTGTATTTAAAATTATTTGTTTTAATTTAAATAAGGGTCTAATTGGAATATTTTGTTTCCCAAATCAAATTTTTAGGTTTAATTATCATAAGATAAGATTTACAAAAAATTTTCTTCTCTCGATATTTTTTCATCTTTAGATTAAATAGCTTAACTTAGTTCACATATAAAATCATCAACATTATTTAATAATTCATTCATGCTATTCCTAAATGAAAGTGTAATATTACTAATCTATACAAAATAATCCATTTTTTATATACTAAATAAACCATAATTTCCAATTTATTAATTACTTGGTACCATTAAATCAATGGTTTTTATTTTTTTATCTTACTAAATTGTTTAATAAGAATTTATTTTTAGAGTATTTGTTATCAGTCTCTAATTTACATTTTGAGTAGATCTCATTTCTAAATCATTTATCTATAATCCTAAATGATCTGGTATTTCAATTAAATTATTGCTATTTTAATAGGCTTTATTAAACTATAAAATAGATTTATTAAAATTATTATGATTCAAACTATTATTTCCATTTAAATAAATTCCACCTCCAACTTTTGCCTCATTATCCATTATTATTGTTTTATAGAATTAAAATTAATTTGGATTTGATCCTATATATATTGCCCCTCCCATTAAAGATGCATTATTTTACAGAAAAATACAATTTGATATTCTCAATTTGATATTTATTGAAGTAATTCCTGTACCTTAAGTACCGTCATTTCTAACAAATTAAGAGTTTTCAATAATTACAGAACTTGCTAAAGTATAATTAGATATGAAAGTAATGCAACCATGTTTTAAAATCTTATTAAAATAACACAATATGTTATTCATTTTGATGTGATTAAAACTATTAATATCAAAGTAAATAATCCCTAAACCGCAGTTTGAACAATTATTATTCTTAATTTTCAAAGAACTTAAAAAAATTTTTGTTTGATTTGTCTAGCTTTAAATGAAGATTAAAGATCCAGTATTTGATTACTGTAGCTTTAATTGTTTTATAATTGAATTCAAACTATGATTTGATTAAATAAAATGCGATTTTTTAATTATTAATTAACATTTTGAAAATTAATTGTTAAGAGTAAATAAATTTTAAAGTATAATTTAATTATCTTTTGGTTCAAATTAAAAATATGAGTCAAATTCAATCTAATAAATACTTAACTACAAATTATTTAGTCTATCCTACCCTATATAAATTATATTAATTGAGAGAAAAGATGATAAAGAAATGAAATAAGTTTCAACCAGTAAGAATTAATAGGCATCCATAACTTTTAAAACTGATGAAAAGAGTACTCCTTAAACATTTAAACCAATAATTTTCACAGAACAACCAAAAATATTTATTATTGCATTATCATAAAGTATTTTCACCATTTCTATAACACTTAAGGTTCCAACAAAAGTAAAGTAGTTGATCCATGCTTCCATAGTTTATATTACTGTCATATTTTAAATTATAATAGAATTAAGATCAATTTCTTTCTATGAAAACTAAAGTTTTGTGAATGAATTCATTAAAGAGAGGCTGTTTTCAAGATAGATATTTTAAAATACAAGTTTATTTTACTTCATTGAAGGATATAGAGTTAAAATTGATGAACCAAATTTATTATAAACATTGATAAAATTAATATCAATTAATTCTAATTATAATTAGCTATTCTAGGAAAATATAGAGATACTTCCATAAATATCTAAACTTTAAGTAAAATCAACTTAGATGTTTTTTAATGTTACTCCTTTGATGATAACTACACCTTTAAGTTTAGTTGTTATTCCAAATACAGCACTGCTTTATGCTAAAATATTTTCAAAATAGCTGTCTTTAATTGAAATATTCGAAGCAGTGATTTACATAACCCCTCCTTTATTTTGTATTTTTAAATAAGATTTTATTATAAGCAAAATTTCATTTTATGTAAATGATTCTAAAAGCTCTATTTAGTAATATTATTTGAAAATGTTTTCAGTTATAATATTAAGATTTTTTACTGTAAAATTTTATATTTTTATATTATTTGAGTATATTGTAGCAAATGAGCTTATGGAATTTGTTAGCATATTATTGTAACAGAAGCACTTTTAAAGAATTATTTCGCTTAATTAAGAATTAATATAAAACAAACTCGATGAAGATGATTAAAAATCGTCAGAATATTGATTATAAATATTCTCAATAAATTTCAAATTCGAAATTTAAATTATCTGGTTTTATTCAGAATAAATAGCTATCAATGATAACAGATTTGCAATTTTATTTTTTAGTAGTATATTATTTTAAAAAGTTAAATTTGATATATTTACTGTTTGGGAAATATCAGATTAGTATATGATGTTTGAAAAGATTGTAATTAAAGTCTAATCAATATTAAAATGATATAAAACTGATATGTTAAATAATTGTAATTTTTGAAAGCCTTATACCTCTAGGAGTTGTTGATTTTACTTAATTTTATCTAAACACGATAAATCCAAAGGTACTTTTGATTTTATTTAGCTGTTAGTAAATAAGATATTTTGAAAAAGAATTTCTTGGGTTTGATATACATAGAAATATTTTTGATTAGGAGAATCTTTGATTATCATTTAACTGATTTTTAATGTTTAGGCATGGATATAAAATAAATAATTCTTCTATTCATCTTAAATTTCATTTTGATTATTTAATATAGTTATATTTGATAAAAGTATGTGATAGGAATTTGAAATTAAATTAGATGTTAATTTTATTATAGTAGATTTTTTGATTGAGTTGTTATAAATTTCAATGTTCTAAAAATTTAAATTGATATCATTAGTTTGATTTACTTAATTGGAAACTAAAAAATATGAATCAATAAAATCGTTATATCTCAGAACTAAATTTATATATATAGCCTTGGAATTACAAATTAGGATATTTGATAAAAAGAGAGAATTATGAAAAAAATCCAAATCCTAAATAAGCAATTCAAAATTATATGGATAATTAATCATAATTGATTATTAAAAAGTGCAATTAATTACTGAAAATTTTTGAATAGAAATCAGATATTTTTTCTATATTTGATCAAAAAAATTAAAACTTGAAGAATTATAAAATTAACAATTTATGATCTATATATTATTAAGCATAATTTTATAAGGATTGCCAGTAAAGAGAATGAATGATGAATTTGTAAAAGTACAGTTAATTATTTATAGATTTTCAATAAGAACTATTCCTCTAGTATTATTGTATTTTATATTAAACATATAAGATCCAAAGATTATTAAATTTAAAAATTTAACATCTTTCAAAATAAAATCTTAATAAAGTTATCCTATTATTTAAAATTGAGATTAAATAATATCTTTTTTCGCCAAAAATATTGTTTCGTTAATAATTAAAGTGAGTTATTATTTGCTATTTAAATTAATGTAAAATAATGAGTCTACATAAAAATATAGTTAAATAATTTCAACAACATCAAAATTTGTAATGAAAAAATTATAATTAATTTTTGTATTATTTTACTTTTAGCCTATAATTTGGATTTTAACAATTTATAAAGAAAACACTTCTTTCCTTAAACTATTATCTATCCTAATAGGATTTTCATATAAGCAATCAATTTCGAAATTGAACATTGTAAAATTTAAAATGATTTACATAATTTCAATTCCCATATTATTAAGATAAATTTTATTAATATTTTATTGATACTAGAAATTTGATCCATATCTTAATCCTAATTATTAGTTCTAACAATTCATCAAATACTTAAAATAACTATCTATATACTTCATACTAAAAATGATTTTCACAATCTTTGCTAAAACAGTATTTAGCAATTTACAACGATGGATTAATCTTTATATTAGGATCAGAGGCTGGTTATAAGCATTTGTAAGAAAAATGAGCATTCAATTCATTAACAATAAACTCAGGATTAACAATCTAAAATAACAATAATCTATTTACTTAAATTTCTTCTTAAGATCGTATTTAACAAATTGAACATAATTAAGGACAGATTAAACATTTACCTTTATCTTTTGATCGATTAGGTAACCTATAATAATTTAGAGAACACTTCCTGCATTCAATACCACTCAATTTATCTAAAGAATCTTAACAGGATAAACAATCAGGTTCACAATTCTTTAAACATGAATTTATTATTAATTTATATCCTTCCTTACACTCAATAGTTATTTCTGTTTGCATTATTGAAATTTCTTCAACATAATAGTAATATTGATTAGGTAAAAATTGCATTAAAAAACTTTATATCAATTAAACCCAAGCATCAAGAGAATTTTCAATATCTTCACTGCATATTTTACAGTAAGGAATCAAACTAACTTAACAATGACCTGTTTTTACTGAATTTTTATAACCATCTTTACATATTACACATTTAATTATTTGTTATGGTGATAAAAAACATTATAAACAATTGGTGATGTATTTTTAACAATTAATTATTTCTGGTGCTATACTGAAATCATCAATCTAAGATAAAGTACATATTTCTTCTCCTTATAAATTTATAAAAGATCTTTAACAATATTAAATCATAGATTTTTAATGCAAACAAAATCCTTTTCTAAAATCAAATATAAAATTCTCTTCACATAATGCACATCCAATTTAATGATACTCATCTTAATTAAATTCTTCATAATCTTTATACAAAGTAGATTTTGATAAATCATTATTTTTATACTCAAAACAGAATTTACAATATTTTATGGGGCAAATCTTACATTATTTATTTGATGTTAAATAAAATGGAGAAACACAATCTTTTAGATTATTTCGGTTATAAAATATTAAAGGAACACATAAACCATTTTTTAATTATGATCCATAATTACAAACAAGACATTTATATCCATCATTTTAAATCTCACAAACCATACATTACTTGATTTGACAAGAATAACATTATTGAACACCAAATTTATGAATTGAATAATTATTCTAACAGAGTTCTTTATTTGGTTTAATTGTACTTATAAAATCTTTATGCAATAATAAATCATCATTAAAATTACTTGAAGTACACTCTTAACATAATTATATTTAATCACCAGCTAAGATATAATAGGATTTTTTTTCATCAATAAATGTATTAGATGTATTATCTTCTATAATATATAATAATGTCTGACAATATGGATCATTTTTCCAATTAAAAGGATTTTATATGCATTCTAAACAAGTAATAAGGTTAGGTTTAATTATCGAAGGACTTAAAGATAAAAATATATAATTACCATTTTAAACAAAACGTTTAATTTAAATTAAAATATCCATATTCACAATTTATTGTTAATTCAGCTTATTGTGATAATTATAAAAGTTGAAGATTAAAATGTTCTTTTTAATAACAAAAGTCTTAATCGATTGTATTATAATGACAAACACAGGCTTTTTGATGTGAAATATAAATTCTGTTTGAATCTTAAGAACAAGATAAACAATCAGAATTTGTAGGACCATCACATTTTTAGCAACTTGGATGGCAACTTTTATCTAAAAACTCACTATTACAATTTTAAAAAATGAAATTTTCAATTTAAACATTCAAATAATTTTCAGGCTCCAAATTTATATTTCCATAATGAATTTAAAATTATACTTCATTAAAATGATATACACTAATTGAATCTTGATATATATATGTATTTTCTCCTTCATAAAATGTAATCTTTATTTATAGAATATTTTCTGATAATACAACTTATAAATAATGCCATAAATATATATCATTTAAAATTTCTGTCTCTTTTGCAATTAAAAAAGGGTTGCTTGAAAAATCTATATTTACACTAGGAAAGGTGTAACTATAAGTCATTATTACTATCTTAAATTTTAAATCTGATATTCTATACAAAAGTTAAAAAGCAGATAAATTATCATCATTTAACTTTTAGTTCTAACTGAACTTATTCATTTTCATAAATTTATAATCAAAATTATCATTTATTTTATAAATTTCTAAAATTTTAAGCCATCCAGATAATCCAAAAGATTCACAATTAGCATTTTCAGATGTAAAAAATTTATTGTCGAGCCAATTAAGAATGCCATTTTAGACATTTATATTTAAATTTGATTAACAATTACATATATGAAGACCACCAAATGTATCTAAAGATATTATTAATCCATTTCTATCTATTGATCTGACATCAACAAATAAATAATCATAATATAATTTTCCTGGAAAATAAGATAATTGTTTTCTATCTTGCATATTCTAAAGGAATTCACTATTTATATCTAGTATTAATCCACCTCCAAAAGTGAGAAGGGGATTTATTCTCCTATAGGGATATTTAATTTTTAAAACTTTTGAAAAGATTAAGTCAGGATAATAAATAAAAAGTAATTCAAACCTTTATAACATTGGCCACTATGCAATCTAAATAAAATACCAACAACTCTCATAGTCTTATGAATCTACTGTAATATTGTAACTATGAAAATTTCCTTCATTATCAAAAAATTGAATTCCCTTAGTAATTTACATTAAATCAATATCAAGACAGTCAAAGTATATAAAATCTACTTTCATTGTTTCAGAATCAGCCGCATTATGTAAATGAAAACAATTACTATCAAATAAACCAATTCTTCCAATTTAACTTATCTGCCCTAATGGTATATATTTACTCCATAAACCATAAGTAAAATATTGATTTAAGACAAAGTCTTGAAATTTAAGGTTCATCTATTCAGTTTTAAATTAATAATCTTGACTCAATTCAATTATAAATGAATGAGAACAACCTAAAGTTAATACCAAAATAGGGATAAAGGATATCATTTATTTATTATTAATTTTAATTATAAATAAACTCAATTATTTTGAATAGAGGTAAAAGATAATTACAATTTTTTAAAGTTAAATTCAGGATAATATTAGTATATAAGGATTAACAACTATTGTTTCATGTTCTCTTAAAAATTAAAATATTATTTTGAATTTTGATAATTTACTTCAAAAATTTACAGATTACTTACTGTCAATTAAGTATGATATATATTCTTATTAATATTTAACTTCTTTATTTTTTTAAAAAGAACCTAATTATAAAGCAACTAATTTTTAATAATCATAATTTAATAAAATAAAAAGTTATTATAATTGTCTTCAATTTAAGTAGAAAATTAATTTTTAATTAGAATAACATATAATTGAATAAGAACTTGATATAAAAGAGAATAGATAATATAAATATCGTTGTCGGCCATACTAAGCCTAAAGCACCGGATCCCATTCGAACTCCGAAGTTAAGCGGCTTAAGGCGAGGTTAGTACTAAGGTGGGGGACCGCTTGGGAAGTCCTCGTGTTGACAACCCTTTTTTTAAAAAAAATTAAATAAATTTTATTTAATTTGAGGAAAAGAATGAAAAAGATTAAACTTTTTTGTGTTCTTAAGATTATTTTATATAAATTTAAAGAATGTTTTAACCTAATCAAAGTTAAATAAAGTACAGCAATTAATTTGGTGCCACATCTGCAGTTTATTTTTCATAACAACAAACATCAAGAGACAAAGTATAAAATTGCGAACATCATCTAGCCAATATAAACAAGAGATGGTTCAGAAAATAAATAATTGCTTTAATTTCCAGCTTCTCAAATAGTTTATGGTCCATCTATGAAATTCAATTCACCAGTTTAAAGCAACATAGCCTTTCGAAAAACATCAAAAGAGTTGAACATTACAATAGAAGATCCTTCAGGAATTTAATAAATAAGATAACCATCTCCAAATATTAAGAAGTAAAGAGAACAAATGGAAAAGGATTGGAATAAATTAATTGATAAATCGAAGACCCTTTAAGAAAATTTAGTAATGCTAAAAAACAATATCAGTATTAATCTTAACAAAAAGTAATCAGATCAACGCTTAATTAAAGAATCACCATCAACAGCAGCTGGTTTATCATCTAGAATGAAACTATAGAAAGTAAATGTTACTTGTAAATTAAATTCACCATTCAAAGCTTAACCTAACATTGAAGTATGTAAAAATTTAAGTCACAATGCATTAGCAAATCTTAAATTTACCACAAATGCTAAAAAAAATCCAATAATAATAAATAATTCAAGTGCTATAAATTATGTTAATATGACCAATAATTATGCTAAAAACTTATTAGATGATCATTAATAATAAAAAGTATCTAACAAAAGTCTTATATAAAAATAAACTAATCCACTTTATATATAAATAGAAAATAAATTGAAATTGAAAATTAGTTCTTTTTTAGGAAGAGGTAAATTTAGTGATGTTCATATGGCTATTGATAATAGAACTGGTTTGATTTTTGCATTAAAAATAATAAAAAAATAAACTGTTATTGAACATGAAATGTAAGAATAATTAGCTAGAGAAATAGTAATATAATCAAAATTATCACATCCAAATATAGTAAAAATGTTTGGTTAAAGTTATGATTAATAATATATTTATATGATGTTAGAATTTTGTAATAATGGAGAATTATTTTAACATCAATATAAATAATAAAATAAAAGATTTAGTGAAAAAGAAGCCAGTCATTTTATAATGTAAATACTCTCAGCTATTCAATATATGCATAAATAGGGATTCATGCATAGAGACTTAAAAACAGAAAACATTTTATTATCTCTTGTATTTATTTAAGAATATGATTTTAGAATTACATTAAATTATGTGATTTAGGTTGTGTAAGAGAAATACCGAAATTTGAAGATAGAAGAAACACTTTTTGTGGAACAGTTGATTATATAGCACCAGAAGTAATTAAAGATGAAGGATATGATGAAAGATGTGATGCCTGGTAAATTGCTATTTTAGCTTATGAACTTGTTGCTGGAGATACTCCATTTTCAGAATTTCCTAGAGATGATGAAATAATCATGGCTAATATTTTAAAAGTATTTATTTCTATTCATTCTAGAATAAATTTAATCTCCCTAATTTCTTTTCTCCTGCTTTGAAAGATTTTGTTAATAGAGGATTACAATAAAGTCCTGATCACAGAATATCTATTGATTAAATGTTGTTGCATAGATGGATTGCTGACAATAATAAAGTTAATCATATAGAATATACATTTTGATGATATTTTGTGATCCTAAATAATTCTATTTTTTTAATCTCATTTTATTTATTTTTATAATTGATAATAATTTTTTTTTTTACTTTTTAAGAAATGTTTCTTTTTAAATGTAGATCTTAATTAATAGAATTCTAAATAATTCAAACTAAAAAGAATAATAAAAGATTTCTTCTTTTGAAAATCATTTTAATAATGATATATTATATTGAATTTAATCTTTTTGTTTTGTGATATAATTGGAAGAATCATTTACATAAATAATATAAAAAAATAAGTATGAAGATAAAGAAGAATCTAATAAAAATATTTAAATGATAATTAAAGTAAAGTTTCATTCAAATTATTCTAATTCTTTTTGATGCTTATTATCTAATTATGCAAGTCTATCTTGTGTTAAAGCTCTTTCAAATTCTAATATTTTTTCAAGTCTCATTCTTTCAATAGGATCATCAACTTATCTTAATAATTTCTATCTTTCAAGTTCTTTGTTTTCTTCTTCTTCTAAAAGCTAAAATAAATTTCTAATTATTATTTACCTTAAGCAATTCTTAGTTTTACTTAATTTTTATTTCTTAGATTTACTTTTCCTTTGTCATAATATCATAAGGAGCCATTACAATTGGTTTATTTTTTTATTATTAATCTTATATATTTTTACCTTTTTATGGAGCGCTTTCTGGTCTTTTTTTCTATTAAACAATTATTGGTTTAGGTTCTTATTACTAATGTTCTTTCAATAATTCTTCTAAATCTTTTTTAAGTTATTCTTTTTCGATAATCTAAGCTTTCTTGTATTCTTATTTTTATTTCTCTGAGGCCATCTTTTCTTTAATTAATTAATCTCTTCTTTGAGATTTTTCTTCAAGTTTCTTTTTAAGCTAATCTCTTTCATAATCTCTAATTCTCATAATTCTTTCTTATGTTTCTGTTTATTCTTATTTTTTCAATAATTCTTATAAATGTTTTTCTTTTATCATCTAATCTCTTTCTTTCAATACTCTAATAGCTTATAATTCTTTGGCTTCTCTCTAAATACTAATTTTTTGACATTTTTTCTCTAATTCCTAATCATTTTTTAATAATAACTAATAAATTTGAAATATAATTTACTTATTATCTATAATTTTCTCTCTCATCTTAAAGTTATCTTTTTTAATGCAAAGTTAATTCTCTATCCATTTCATTAATTTTAAATCTATCTTCTATTTCTTTAAATTTAAAAATCAAATCATCTCTTCTTTTTTCTTATTAAACTAAATTCTTCTATTAAATTTCTTTTCTTTTTTCTTTTTATATTTCTCTTTTAATTTCTTATTCCTTATTAAACAATTCGATTTCTTTCTATTTTGCTATTAATTTTTATTCAGCATTCAATTATTTTTATTAAAAATTTAAATAAACTTAATTTAATTAATGTTAAGCCCTTCTTTTATTCTCATCTCTTCTAAAATTAGCTTCTTCTTATTTTGCCTAAATAGCTTATTATTTAAGATCTTTTTCTTCTTCTTATAATATCTTAAGTCTAGCTTCTCTTTATTCCATTTTTAATAATTTAGCTTCATACAATTATTCAAGCATTTACTAACGAACCCTTTCTTTTTATTCTCTTTCTTCTTATGCTTTTTTAAGTTATTTATCTCTTTTTTTCTTTTACTTTTTTAATTCTTTCTCTTGTTCTATTCTCTATTATGGACTTATTTTATTAATAAGTTCTTATTTCAATCTATCTTATTCTGAATATTGTTTTTATTTTCTTAAATTTTCTTAATATTATATTTATTATTTTCTTAATTCTTCTTCAATCTTTTTATCCTTTTTCCTTTATTCTAATTCTTATTTTTATTCAATTTATCTCTATTTTAATTCCTTTTCTTTTTATCTTAATTGATTTTATAATTCTTAAGTTTATATTTCTTAATCTATTACTTTTTACATTTATTTTTCTCTTCTTTTTTTAATCATTTCCATTCTCTTTCTCTCTTTTTCTAAATCAGCTTTTTCAAATCTTTCATTTTAATACTCCTCTTTCTATTATTAAATAATCTCTTCTCTTTCTGCTATTAATACCTCAACTCTAGCTTATCTCTTATCTTCTTCATGTTAAAGATATATTTTCCAAGCTTGTTCATCTAAATTTAAATTTTTATTTTCTCTCTTCAAATCATGTATACTTTTCATTATTAATTATTCAGGTCTTATTCCTTATCTTCTACAAGCTTCTAAAGATCTTGGAGAATTAATTATAGGATCTCTAACTTAAGTTTAATCAAAATTTAAAAGAGAAACTGCAGTGATCCTCATAAGTTAAATATTTTTAATTAATACATTTATTTATATAACAATTATGTTTAGTGTTTATACTTATATAAATATTCAATCTTAATAGCAACCATCATTGAATAGAATCTATAAAAAGATGTATTTATATTTTATTTTTGTATAATAGATTATTATTTTAAGTTTATTTTAATTTGTAGCAAACTACAATTGATTACTTTAAGTTAGAATAATTTGTAAAAGCATGACTGATTTTATAAAATTTATGTTTTTATTCTCTTAAAAGTTTAATATATATATATATATATTATTAATACATTTATTTTTTTTTAATTAGATTTGTTCATTTAATGAACGATGAAGCACAATCTCAAATTTGATTAAAAAATTTAATGAGAAAAAAATAAACCCGCCCGTTATTTATACCTAATCCAGAAAATGGTGATTTTCCTTTTGATATCAAAAACGCAAATACTTAAGATATAAAAGCTGTAGACTTCTATAGAATGTACTCATCAATGCAAATGTTTGTAGAAAAATTAATACCAGATCAGGTACAACATATATTTATTAAAAAAAGTCTCTGTAATAAAAAGTACAACTTAATATTGATGCTATTTACAGAGTGTTTGTTGAGAAAGACTTAAATCCTCCTCCACCTTAAAAACTTGTTGGAAGAAGAAGTTCTCCATATACATATTAAAAGCAAGAGTTTTGGCAATTGGTTGAACACTTAAATTCTTTAGGATTTTCTTATCGTCAAATATCAGAGAGATTGTAAGTACATTATGTTTAAATTTCAACTCATCATCGTAGCACTGTTGATTATGATGACGAAGATTCGGATTGCAATTCATAATCTGTCAAGAAGATAAACAAAGTAGAAGAAAAATAATAATTGGTTGTTCAAAAATAAATACAACATGATGTTTTCTATTCTGATGATGAAAAAGGACAGAAATGAAATTCATTATTATTTCAAATCTTTTTCCTTAACATTCCATTTATTCTATTATTAAGATATTCTAATCCTTTTTGTTATTAATATTTTCAAGGAATATCTAAATTAAAGAGAAATAAAATTTTAATTGAATTCTAAAATAATGTAATAATTAATTTCATTGTTTTTCATTTCTTTTACAATGTCCCTTTTACTTCCTCTCTTAATTAATTCAATAAATGATCTTCTTCTTAATCCTCTTATTCTTCATCTTTACTTGGTAATTCTTAAAAGACTTCATCATCATCTCTTAACATAGAATAATCTTAAGAATTATTAGAATGTAGATGAGAATTCTATTTTTTTGGTTTGATTCTAAAATTTCTTTTTAAAAACTCTTAATCATTTAATTCTAAAACAGAACTATACATAGATTTATTTAATAATTCTTATTATTACTAATCTATTAAAAATATAATATTACATTCTCTGATAAATTAAGTAATTTCTCTCTTATAGCTTCTATAATTCCTTAAAATCCTTTATCTTTGGATTATGACAATTTTTTCAAGTTTCTTGTAATCCAATTATTTAATTTATTTTATAACAATCCTGAAATTGTTGCTTTTTCTTCTACTTCCAAGACAAGTTTATCTTAATCAGTTTATTCATTTCTTGATTTATGATTTTCAACTAAAAATTCTTTATCCATATCACTGTAATCTTATTTTAAATGATTAAAATTATTTTTTAACTCTTGATTTTCCTGTTTTAAATTATTAATTTTCTTTTCATAATCAGATATAGATATTAATAGATGAGCATAAGTTTATTCTCTACCTATAAATTTCTGTACAATTTCATTAGCATCAGAAACACCTGTAGATGCCTTTATTTTTTAAAAAGCTATTTCTAAATTTTAATATTATTCAATTCCTCTTTGCATTTTACTTTTTAGAAAAGAATTTAAAAATTTATGAACTAATAATAATTTCCTCCATTTTTTTAAAGCTCCATCTCTAATATCATTTGCAGCAACTTCTGCTATTTCTTATTATCTTTTAATTCTATCATCCCTTTTTTATTCAACATCTTATTTCTATTTTAACTCATTTTTAAATCTAGATATATTCTTTTCTCTATTTCTATTTTATTATTTAATCCCATCTGCAACCTCTCTTAAAGCCAATTAAACTTTTTAATGTAATACTTGTATTTACTATGCTCTTAATATAATAAATTTTATTATTACTTTAAAGTTGATGATTAACATGTTGACATTGCCTATTTTAAATGAACTTCATATTAATTTGCTCTTAATTAATAAGTAACTTAATCTTTTTTCATTCTTGTTAACATATGTTCAAAAATCTTTTTGTCATAATTGCTTTGACTTAATAATTTTTATTATTCATAAAATTTTTAAGAGTATTCATTCTCTTATTTTACTAACTCCTTTTATTTCTAATTATATTATTCAATTTAATAGCTCATTTGATCAATATCCTTTCTCATTTTATCAATATCTTTATCTTTATTATTCCCAGACATTTTCATATTATCACAACTTTTTTTTAATTCTGTCAAATTAGCATGTACTTCTTAAGCTTCATCAACTTTCTGATATTATATTTAAGAACATTACTTTCTAATCTTCTAATTATTTAGGATAGTAATCATTATCTTATCCTAATACAGAAGATAAACTATTATATTTGATCATTTTGTCAACTTATTTCAGAACAGCTGAGTTACGATATTTCTCAAAATCACTCTTTTTTGATCTAGCACGAGATTTATGCGAATAAAGTCTAATCTTATTAATATTTGAGAGTAATTACATCTGGAAGTTCCACTACAGACATTATTGATTATTAATAAAAATATATTTACTATAAACTTTGAACAGTTATATTAAATTAGAATAAGTGATTAGGAAAACTACTTTATAATAGGCCAAGAAATACTTTAATAGGTATTGTTTTATAATTATATAGAATTTTGCTAATTACATTAATCATTAAGCATTGTGTTCATCTTACAAATAATTCACATTTAGAACTTATTCTTTATTCATTTAAACGTGTTGTACAAATAAAGCAAATTCTGAATCTATTTCAAATGTCTTTAAGTAATTCAATATTTCATATTATATCTTTTTTTATTATCAAATATTGTACAGAATCCTCAGTATGATTACATCCATTATAATCTTACAGTCCTCTATATTCTCTAGGCATTTGTTTATGTTCTTCAATATCATCAATTATTGAAATCATTTGAATTTTTATCTAAATTTACTTAATTCTATACTTTGCCATTTTCAGCCAGACATTCATAACATGAAATTATACCATTTCCTTTAGTTAAATAAATACTGAATGGATATTAAAATTATGGAATACTATGAAATAAAGTTAAAGGTGTTTCTGAAGTATTTTGAATCTGGATTATTTATGTATCTGTAATTTCTTTTTCTATTAATAAGTCACTGTTTTAGAAATCAATACAAATTAAAATTTAAACATTTTCTACATTCTTACTTAATTCAATTCTTTGTTCATCTTCAATATTTGTAATTTTAAAACCATTAAATTTTGTTAAATCACAATTTTAATGATTATTATTTATAGAAAGAACTTCAAACTTTATTTCATTCTCTACAATTTAGAACAGCTGATCTTAAAATAAAAATTTAGAATATACTTTTTTCAATTAGAGATTATTAAATACTTATTTTAGATCCAGGAAAATTCACAGGGGATAGTGTTCTTGCAAATCTGGCAGATATTTTTGTAATCATAATTAGTTTATTTATGTTTAATGAATATTATAATTAAAATTAAGATAAAATGGGAGGAGCAGTTTGTAAATAAGGAAATCAAAACTATGGAGAAGAAGTTATTTAGGATTCAAATGATGTTTAATTGAATAATATTACTTTTGCTAAAGAATAATCATCAAAATTAGAACGCTCTAATCTTAAACATCCTAGTTTGAAGAAGAAACATATTACTCAAATTAAAGTAACCGTACCAGATGATCCAATTAGTATTTTCAATCAATTTCATTATTCTTAGATTTAAGCAATAATTTATCAAGTGTTTGTTTAGAAGACAGACCAGAACCAACTACTCCTGCACTTCCAACTTAGTAAACTATTTATATTGATATATATTTAGAGATGCTAATTAATAAGGAGATATTTAACATTTCTAAAATATTTAATTATTTGGAAAAGAAGTAGTCTAATCAGTAAAGATGAACTCAACATAAAAATTAGTCTCTTCTTAATAAGAAGAAGTGCTTCAATGTAAGTTATCATCATGAAATTTAGATCAGAGTTCAGAGAATAAAACTCATAATATTCCAAATCTCGCAAAGATGATAAAAGATAAAAACTATTAAATATGAATTTAGTCGAAGATAATGTATTTCATAATTCTATAATCTAAGCTTGATGATTACATCTACTATGATTGGAAAAACCCAAACTTTCAATTAATTAGTATTAATGATTAAAATTTATTGAAGAAAGTAAGTTCAGCTAAACAAATGCCTAAACAAGGTAAAAAAAATTTTTGATTTTTATACATCAACTTAAACAAAAATTAACTAATTAATTACTTTTCTAAGGGATTTCTTCTTTATTATTCCAAATCTCTCAATTATATTCTTAATTTCTATATTAATTTAGGTAATTTATTCATTATCATTAAATTCGTCAATCTTAATCTATTTAATCATACAGATTCTATTTAAAATTTACTCATAACATTAAAAAATTTGATATTATTTATTCAATAATATTAGATAAAATTTATTTATGAATTAAAATCAGTAAAAAAAGCTTTTAATTTAAAATGAATCTTTAAAATATATATCAATAAAACTTAAAAGTATTCAATAGTCTTTTCAAATATGACTTTTCAAAAATTTCTAGGTTTTAATCTTAAAAGCCTTTAAATCTAACCAAAAATAAAAAGAATTATTTTAAATTATGTATATATTGTAAATGATAATTTGTTGATTTATTTAAATCAATAATTTCTTTATATTAAGAAAAGTGCAAGATTTCTTAATTTTTGTTTGCCTTCCAAATTTTCAAAATTAATCTAATCAATGTCTTTTAAGGCACTTTAAAGTATTTCTTCTGATTTCTTTTATGCATATTCCAAACTTCCAGTTGATTAAATAATTTTAATTGCCTTGAGATTATAGATATTTTATACCTCATCAATCACTTTTTAATCTTCTGGTCTAGAATTAAGTATTTCTAATAGTCTTCCTTTATTTTTGGAAAGACTATGAATTACAATTAAAGTTAATTTTCCTTCATTAATATCTTCTCCTAAATATCCTTTTGTATTCTTATACTTTTCGTTTCCAATCAAATTTAATATATCCTAAATATATTATAAATCAGCACATCTTAAATCTAAAATGCTACACCAAGCTTTTCTGCAAAATTTGATAATTTGTCAGCTATTTAGTCATCTATACCCAAAACTGCACAAGATAACAGAGCTGGGATTTTTAATAAAGCACCAGTTTTAAATCCAACCATTTTTATGTATTATTCTTCTGTTGGAATATAATCAGTTGAACGATGCCATTTTATATCCCAAGCTTATCCTAAATGTGCCTCTGTCATATTTTGAATACATATTTGCAATATTTTTAATTTCATTTCATTGGAATATTTTGTTTTATTCAAAAAATACTATAAAGGAGCAAAATAAGCATAACTTGAAGCATTTGCTGCTACATCTAATCCATATTTTATGTGGATACATTAATCATTTCTTCTTACTTTACTAAAAAAATTATAAAGAAATTATCACCTGCTATCTTCAATATCGTCTATAATTAAAGTACCATTATGAATAATTTCAACACAGCCTGCAACTTCGTAAACTAATTTACGACTTTGTAAAAATAAATCTGCAATTAACATACAAAAATAAGGTCTTATTCTTTTGCCTCCTCGATCTAATAGATCGTAAAGTGGTACTGAAAGACATTATGTTAATCCTTCCATGTCTTAATTTTCATTAACATTTTAATTATTGAATTTTCTTGGAACAATTTCTTCCATTATTTTACTTTCCTCAAATTCTTAAATAGCATGCTTTAAATCAGCCATGAACTATCCAATACTATTTTTCATTGATGCAATTAAATATTAAATTAAAACTAAAAGTATAAATTATTCTAATTTAATATAATTATCTTATTTTTCTTTTTCCATATATCTTTTTTCATTAATCATGAGATAGGATTCTCTTTTTTAATTTTTTAAACCATTTACTTTACTTTAGTTTAATATATTAAAGCTATTAGTAGTGTTATTAATTACTTTTATTGATTCCATCTTATAATTTTAATATTAATAGATTTATCTGAAGTTTTTTATTTTTTTTAAATTTAAATAATCATCAAAAAGTATTTATTTGTTTTTTCTGAAACAAAGAATAAGATATTTTAAATTTGGTTTAAATAAATTAGATAAATGTTCATTTCATATTCATTCAATATAAATTTTCGAAATTTCTTAAATTTATTTCTTTTTATTTTAATAATTCTATGGATTTTAGGGGTTTTAAATTTTTTAAATGAAAAATTGAGTTTTGTAATAAACAAATGTAAAATACAATAAATTAGTTGATAGATAAAAATATTTATATAAAGAGAAAATACTAATTAAACATATATAAAATTAATAATATATTTTGGNAATATAATCAGTTGAACGATGCCATTTTATATCCCAAGCTTATCCTAAATGTGCCTCTGTCATATTTTGAATACATATTTGCAATATTTTTAATTTCATTTCATTGGAATATTTTGTTTTATTCAAAAAATACTATAAAGGAGCAAAATAAGCATAACTTGAAGCATTTGCTGCTACATCTAATCCATATTTTATGTGGATACATTAATCATTTCTTCTTACTTTACTAAAAAAATTATAAAGAAATTATCACCTGCTATCTTCAATATCGTCTATAATTAAAGTACCATTATGAATAATTTCAACACAGCCTGCAACTTCGTAAACTAATTTACGACTTTGTAAAAATAAATCTGCAATTAACATACAAAAATAAGGTCTTATTCTTTTGCCTCCTCGATCTAATAGATCGTAAAGTGGTACTGAAAGACATTATGTTAATCCTTCCATGTCTTAATTTTCATTAACATTTTAATTATTGAATTTTCTTGGAACAATTTCTTCCATTATTTTACTTTCCTCAAATTCTTAAATAGCATGCTTTAAATCAGCCATGAACTATCCAATACTATTTTTCATTGATGCAATTAAATATTAAATTAAAACTAAAAGTATAAATTATTCTAATTTAATATAATTATCTTATTTTTCTTTTTCCATATATCTTTTTTCATTAATCATGAGATAGGATTCTCTTTTTTAATTTTTTAAACCATTTACTTTACTTTAGTTTAATATATTAAAGCTATTAGTAGTGTTATTAATTACTTTTATTGATTCCATCTTATAATTTTAATATTAATAGATTTATCTGAAGTTTTTTATTTTTTTTAAATTTAAATAATCATCAAAAAGTATTTATTTGTTTTTTCTGAAACAAAGAATAAGATATTTTAAATTTGGTTTAAATAAATTAGATAAATGTTCATTTCATATTCATTCAATATAAATTTTCGAAATTTCTTAAATTTATTTCTTTTTATTTTAATAATTCTATGGATTTTAGGGGTTTTAAATTTTTTAAATGAAAAATTGAGTTTTGTAATAAACAAATGTAAAATACAATAAATTAGTTGATAGATAAAAATATTTATATAAAGAGAAAATACTAATTAAACATATATAAAATTAATAATATATTTTGGAGTAATTTTTAATAATCCAGCAAGAAATTGTATATTTTCTTTTTATTGTTCTATTGGCATTTTTAGTTATCATTTAATAAAAAGTCTCTATTAATTATTAATAAGTTAATTTTATTTAAAGAAAATAAAGAATAAAGAATTTATTGATTATTGACTCTGAAAAGACATAAATTAACCATTTAATTATAATTTATCTTATATTAAAAGATAATTTAGTTTATTATAATTATTTAGATGAACAAATATAACACAAGGTTTATAGATCCAGTTTTGGAGAAATAATATTTAATTCATAAAGTTAAGGTAATATAATTTCCAATATTAACTTACTTGAGTTTTGGTGGTACTATTTTATTACTTGCAAATTCAATTGCCAATATGATAAACATGGATTACACAAATGGATTGATCAAATTAACAGTCATGACTTATTTACTACTCTAATACTTGGTATTGAAAAAAAAAGCATCTCTTAGAATAAATTATAGTAATTTAGCATTAATGATGACTAATTTTGCTTCATTGGTCTTTGAAATTTCAATCTACCCTTAATATGATTATTACGATGGCTATTTACTTGGGTCTAATTAGATGCTAGTTCATACAATATTGATGTTTGCTTCTAATTTAAAAGTAGGTATCTTTAGTAATATTGCTCTGACTGTTGTAAGAATTATTTAAGTAGTTTAAAACTCAGACAATCTTACTGTATAATAATATTTTTACTCAATAATTATGTCATTGAGTTTTATGATGGTATAATATTAAATCGAGAAATAATATCGGCAATCTTTTTATTTATAATTCAAAGATAATAATTGGGGTATTATTAGTATATAATATTAAAAATAGAAATCTTGATGCCATTATTATTGAAAAAACCATTTTTCATTTTCACGTTTAATAAATAAATTAATATGTATTAAACTTTAATGAGTGCTTAAAAGGATTTTTTTAATTCAGATAATCCTCTTAGTACATTTTTATTTAAATCAAAAATAAAATAGTAGACACTTGAGTAATTTATAGTAAGAAAAACTCGTTCTAATGAACATAAAAATCAATCTTCTTGTTTATTTAATTATTAGATGGTTGTTGAATATTAAATGAAGAAATTGCAAGTTTCTATATTTTGTTGTAGATTTGAATAGCTAATTTACGCAATAGTTATAGACTCTGAAGATCCTTTAATAAATTAAACTAATATAAAATTAAATTAATCTTTATAGCATTGTAGAAATATTCTCAATGCTTAGTTAATGTAAATCAATAAAGTCTTAGGTCTTTACTTACAAGATACTTTTAGTCCTTTGCTAAGAGATTTAAGAGTATCTTTATTTGAACTTTATTATAAATAATTATCAAGTCATAGATTATAATTAGTAAAAATGAAAAAGCTATTAATTAAATGTTCTAAAATATTTGAAACTCCAAATAATAAAATTAAGATTGATTGTGCAGATAACATTCAATTTGCTACAATAAAATCTACTTTAATTATATTTCTATTTGAAATTTTTAAGTAGATTGAAAAGAATCAGCAAGTATATATATTTATTAATCAAAAAAAAACAACATTAATGTTTATCTATGGATTAAAGTAATTGCCAAATAGTGTATAATTTGTACAATGTTAGTAAACCTTAATTGATTAGACTGAATGTAAACCTTAATGTAAATATTATTATATAAGCAAGATTTTTCTTTTGAATTTTCAAAATCTCCGTCTTCTCATTTTAATTTTGAGAATAATGATAAATATTAATAATTAGAATGATTATTTAAATATTAAATTTAATGATATTTTAGAGATAATAATATAAATGAAGTAAAATAAGATTAGAATGATTGTAAATCATCTATAAAAAGTATTTTATTTCTAAATAAAAATAATAAATGATTGTATTCTCTTTATAATTAATATTAAATATTAAAAATGTAATATTCAAATACATACGAGTCAGTTGTTAAGACCTAAGTAATTAGTGGATAAGATTAAAAACCATTAAATTTAGGATTGACTGATGTAGAAGGAGCCAAAGTACTTTATTAATTTTGAAAATAGGCAGTTGCTAGAAGATTGTTTGATACATATGATAGAGATAGAAATGGATAAATTGATAATGTTGAAGTTGTACCTATGATTGTAGATGTTTATAAATCTTTTAATCGAATTTTCTCACCAGCTAGAGGAGATATTGACTCATTTTACAAGTTGAAAATAATTGATATATTTTAATAGAGTTCTAGATAGAAATCAAGATGGCAAGATCACTTATTAAGATCTTGAAGATTTATGTATAAGATATCTAACAAATTAAACTCCAACGAAATTAAGAGCTACTGAAGCTCCTCGTTAAAGTGGTATTCAATAGACTTCATAAACAGTCACCTCACAATACAGAAGAACTTAATATTGATTGTGATTGGTATATAAAAACAAATTGGCAATATAATAATATTCATTCTCAATACTATCTACTTGTAATACTACCAAATACTAATTAAATATGAGGTTCATCTTGTATTTCTACTCTCTCAGTATTGTTTTTCATAAAAACTTATGATGATTATAGATTTTAGCAAATCATTTCCAATTAATTAGAGTATATTCTAGAAAATAATCTCTTTATATCATCATCCATAAATTATATAATAGACTCATCTATTGCAGAGAGTTCCTATTTTTTTATTACTCTTGAATAAGCTTCATAAGCATCATCTAATCTAAGGACATCTGGCTTTTCATTTTCTAATATAAATTTATACTCTTATTTTTATTCTAACTCTTTAATCTTTTTTTCAAAATTATCATCAAACATATCATAAGGTATCATAGGTTTAGGAATATAATTAAATAGAGCTAATTAATCTTTATTCAATAAAATATGTTTTAACTTATCTAATTCATTGAATTTTGTAATCAATTAACATATATCTAATTTATTAATTATTTTATTCATTGCATATTTTAATTGTCTTTATTTATCTTTCTTACAACCAAATTAAAATTTTATATTATCAAGTAAAGTAAAATCTAATGAACACTTTTTTTTTCTTAGAAACTTTTTTATTTCATGTTATGTTTTAGAGAATTCAGCAAACGATTTTCTAACTTATATATTATCTGATTTTAGAACATCTTCTTAATATTCTTTTATATCACTTTTATTTAATTGATTATTAATTGGAACTGATTTAGCTACTGACAATATATCGAAATCAAGTGATTCTTTGCTTTCAAATCTAAAAATCTTATTTGCCATAGCTAAATTCATGGAAGAAAATAAAATTGGATAGAATAAACAATTTATAAAAATAATAGTTATTTACCATAATCCTCCCATTTATCCTAATAAAGTATAAAGTTTAAGATAACTTCTTTAGTATTAACTTCTTCTTTATTCTAAAAATATCGAATTTTAGACTAAAAATTATTGATTATATGGTGTGCTTTCTTCTTTTATAGTAGATTGTTATAAAGCAGTATCCAAAATATTATTTGTCCTAATAATACCATAATCTGTCGTGGTTTCAGTTACTTTAAATGTTGAATGTAAAGATTTTGAATTTGATAAAGAAAACTAAGTATATTAAATTGAAATCACATCTTCATAAGGTTTTGATGGAGAATTCATTTAAATTAATGCATCACTTAAATGTAAGGCCTAAAAATGTTAAATATATTTTTATACAAAAAATCCTGATTACATATTACTATTTATTTCATCTAGAGATGCACAACCTTAATAATCAGTAGAATTTTTGCATATACTAAAAGTTACTGTCAAAAATTGAAATCTATCATCTTAACTATACCCTTACAGTTGCTACAGATTATAAAGCATAAAATACCAAATTATTTTCATTCCAATATTTTATTGAAGGACAATACATAAATTGAAGCTTAAATTTTTTGAAATATTCTTGTTAATATTACTCTTAAAAATGCTGATCCATTTGACATGGTTCAAGAGGAATATTTGAACAGCTAAATAACATTAAAAGTACCTTACTTATAATCTATCTAAACTATTCCTTCTTCATTTAATGTTCGCTTTCTTAAACAATTTTGAGCACTCAAAGTAAAATATTTGTTTAAAGTTTACAATGAACTTAATTGCAGATTTGCTATTGTTACCGCAAATGTAAAGTTATTTTTACTTAAATACATGGGCTGATTATATTTATGATTCTTACAGAAGTATTAGAGGGTTAGAATTCCGAAAATACTACTCTAGGATTATATCTATTAGTCAAATCTAATATTTCATGTATAATGTAATAAATATAGGCTGAGCATATGATCAAAGTAAGAATTTGTCCTAAAGGAGTTGAGAACTTTTGTCTCTTCAAAATTCTAAATTATGGAAGCATTCCAAAAAAATCAAAGCGTTCAATTATCTAGCTGATAAAATGCTTTTGGCAAGTTTAAGGTTTTTGAAATTTAAGCATTCCTTAAAAATATTGAAATTATTGAATAAATAAATGTATTATTGACTTAAAGAACTTCCATTTATATTAGGAATTCAAAAGTCATATTTTAAATTAGGATCTAAATATCTTTAAATGTTGAATTTATGCTTGATTAAAAATAATTTAGATGTTAATCTAATGGGAAAATGCAATTTTTTCCTCATACTTAAAAAAATCGTTATTACTAATTCAAAGTGTTATGTTCTTTACAAAATAGGGTTTAATATTATAGTATTAAATTTAAATTTAAGGTCTGGATAAAGGATTGATGACTTGAAAAGTTCAAATAAGTAGATTATTAATGATTGTAGTATAAATAAAAATCATAAATGAAAATGAAAATTTAAAACTTTAAATGTGAAACAAATAATTAGATATAAAAAAGAATTCGTTTTTGAGAAAATAAATAATAAAATAATGAAATCAACATTAAGTGTGCTTTTGGTTATCTTAGTATCTGTTTAAGGTTTCTAGATTGATATGTTTAGTAAACATCATATTCCAAACAGAAATATTATGGAAATAATGATGTAGATTGAATCTTAATTGGCTTCAGGTGGTCCTTTTGATACAATCAATACAATGTTGTAAGGTTTCAGAACATCAGTCACATCAGAATAAATAGCACATGATGACTTATATGCTAGATAAAAAAATGAATGTGATTCAGAAACAGCATTCAGAAGAGGATAAATTCAAGATGCAAGTAAAATATTAAGTGCTTCAACAAATCAATTAAACTTATGTTCATTCTAAAGATAAAAGGCTAAGGCTGAATTCGGTATGACTGAAGATTAACTTACAATGAATTAATAACATTTATCATTGATCTAAGAAGTCAGAAAGACAGAATAATATAACTTTAACTAAATGGCTGTTATCTTCTAAGATGCATTGAGAGTGATTGATGAATCAGTCTATTTGGCCAAGAAATTCAGTGTAGGAGATGCTAGCTTAATTGAATTAGCTGATGCAACAGGTTAAATGATGTAACACTCTGTTAGTTTGAAGAGAACAGGATCATATGCTGCAGTTTTAGCATCATTGGCTAGAATGTCATTAGCTGAATAAGTTAGTTCAGCAGATGTTGATAGATTGATCTAATTATTATAAACATTAAGGTACTATATCATATTAAATATTTAGAAATAATATTGAAGATGCATACAATCAATTCACAGCTGAAAACAATTAAGCTATTGTTTTATATAACAATTAAAAGGAACGAATTGATAAAAATATTGCTAGATTAGAAAAATCCAAGACTAGACTTGAAGATTAAATCACAGATTTAAATGGATGTGTTGCTACTTAAACTGCTATTTCATAAGCTGCAAGCAATAAGAAATAAAGAAATTAAAAATTATTAGATGATGCCACTGCTCTTTGTACTACATTCAATAGTGAATATGAAAATGCTTCAGCTGCTAGAAGATAAGAATTAGTCCTCTTATCTGAAGTTGAAAGATTAGTAGAGAAAAGATAAAATGAAATTAAATGATGAAAAATTTATCATCAATAATAATCATGTTTAATAAGTTATTGTATCATAAGAGGGACACTAACTCATCGACCGAGTTATACTTTACGATTGTCTCTACTTCAAACGTTCTCTGAATTACAAATTTTATTAATGAATATTCTCTCTAATAAGTGCATCTTTTTGAATAGTATTTGTATGATGTGATTCAATTAAAGTACTAAGTTGTTGATTATGAGTTTCTTGATTTAGTTGAGATTGGTAATTAATTTTGTGGATTGTTTGTTTTGATCTAATTGAAGTACTGAGCAAATCTGGATCCAATTTAGATATAGAAACTCTAGATGTTTATGCTCGATTAGAGTTTCTGGTAATGTGCTCGATTGTATGATCTTAGGATAAAGTATATTGAATCTTTTCTAAAAAGTAGTATTTGATTGGGTCTTGATGTGAATCATAATATTCAACACATTTGGAATACATTGCAATAAGGGTATCAATAGTTGAAATGGAATTTTTAGATTCAATACGTGCGATTTGTGTAAAGAATTCTCTAGTGAGATTCATTTTAATTAATGCAATTAAAACAATTAGGTAGGAGCAATATGTGCTACTTGCAAGAGCATAAAGAATTTGATATGCGCATAAAGTATTTATGTGTTGATAGCCAATGCATTCTGTAGTTCAGAGCTATGTGTACAGATTGCTATAGTAAATTGCATTAAGGACATCGTGTAATTGATTTGATTGAAGCTGAACGATTGGCTTATCAACAACATCAGGAACATTTAGCTTAATTTAAGACTCATATAACTAAACTCAATGAGATTCTTTAACACAGTGTAAAGACAATCAAAACTCACGTAAAAAAATTGCAAAATCAATTCAAACTTCTTATCGACTAAGAGTTGGAAAAATTGCATCAATATCATCTTAAACCTCCAGATGATTTAAATTAATTTGCTGAATAGCTTTTACATCATCAAAATATTGTTTCTACATCATCGATGTAATTTTTAACCAAAGGAATCAAATAGCTGTTGTTAAAATCTTATTTTTTAACTTCAGATATAACTGTCTTTACATTCAAAGATTATATCAGTCTTTCAGAGGATTCATTAGTTTAAATCAAAAGGTTTGATCTTGTATAAAAAGTACTATTAGATCAAATTACCTTCAATACTAATTACACTGATGCCCTATAAATATTCAACAGTCATCCTAAAAAAATTAAATGTCCAGGACTTGTTCATATCTATTCTCTTGATATTAAACAAGATGGTACTTTAATTGCAGTTGGAGGCCATCCTGATACCCTTCTCTTAATTGATCCTATCTCTGAACTTATTGTGAAGACCTTTAAAACTACATTCCTAGAAATCTTTGCTATAAAATTCTCTTCAGATGGAATAAGATTAGCAGTAGCTGGTTCCTGTCCATACGAAATCTATGTTTGGAATTGTAATGATTTCGAACAAAGTCCAATAATCTTAAAAGCCTAAAATCTTAATTAAATCAATAGACTACAATTTATCTCAAAATATTTATACACAGCCAGCGATGATTACAAGCTTAGAGTCTGGAAATTAAAGAAGAATGGAATCAAAAATTATAAAGAATATATAGGACACTGGGATAGTGTTTATGGTTTAGCTGTAAATAACAAACATGTTGCATCAACAGGAAAGGACAAAACATTAATTGTTTGGTTCAAAGGCAAAATCTTAAAATAATGGATGGCTCATGATGCTGAATATGGTGGATATTGTGTTGAATATTCTTTAGATGGGAAATTACTTATATCTACTGGTTATGACAAAATAATTAAATTATGGAACACAGAACATGATTATAAATTGATCAAACAATTCTCATCTCATGAATAACCTATATGGACACTAGGTCTCTTAATGAATACACAATTACTTGCTACTGCTAGTTGGGATAATACCATTAAAATTTGGGATATTTAAAGTGGAAAATGTATTTACACTCTTGAGAACCATTTTCATTCATCTCCATGTATTAATATCAAGTGTTATCCTTTATCCTTCTTGACCATTAATGAGGATGGCATCATTCTAATATGGAATCTATGATTACTCATTAAATGATATTTATAATCGTAAATTACATTCATAATCCTGTATTATTAAACTCCCAGTATATTTTAAATATTAATTTTAGGATTCATATTTAATTTTATATTAAGAGTATTATAATAATATTTTTAAATCCTCCAAGTCTTTTACATTCTAAAATTCCTATTCATGTATATATTCTTGATTTATTATTATCCTATTAAAAATATCCAATATAACTAATTTATTTTTACAAATTTATTATTATCTTTTTTTTATGATTAATCAATAAACTATTTAAGATATGGTACCATTTATATGGCCTGAGGATTATGATGATCGACTTCAATTTGCTTTAGATCTGAAAAATGATTTTGAAAATTTTATTATTTCCTATCCTTACCTTAAGGATTACGTATTATAGACTATGTAGAAAATTTCTGAAGAAGCTCCATATTTAGATTTATTTGAGATCTTCCAAATTCATAAAGAGAAAACTCATAAATTATATGAAGTTCTCTATCCTCTTCATTCCAACAATACATTAATTGATTTCAAATAACCAGTTTCAAACAAAACTCTATAAAAACTCATATCTGACTCCTATAGATTGTTTAATCGTAGTTTCTTAGACTACTAATGCAAACTTGTTACTTATGCAAAGTACTATAAAGCATCTGTCTCTATATTCAAGAAATCCATCAATCAAATGTATATAGATTTAAATACTTTAAATTTTGTTTGTTATTGTGCCACAAGGTAGTGTCTTACTTTAAACAGGCTATGGTAGGATTATGATGATACTTCTGAGAAATATAAGAAATTACAGCAATCTCTTTAAAAATTGGAATAAATGTAAAAACCGGATGATCTTACTCATTATTTCAATCGATAATAACTCATTCTTATATATATACTTTTTAGTCTAATGTAATGTGAATAAACAATTGCTATCCAATTAGGCGAAAAGTATATATCTTTTGAATAATCGCCAATCGAACCTCACTATGAAGAATCAGCAGAAGATTTTACTTGGAATATAAATGGATTTTCTTAAATTAGAGATTATTTTCCTAAACTGGCACATAAACTCAATAAAAGAATGAAAATCCTTAAAGATCTTCCTTTATTTGCCATACAAGATCGTATTAAAATCTATTAATATACTTAACACTAGTTAGGCTATAGAAAAGATGATGATATTCATGTAAACTAACCACAAAATATAATTGACATCCTAAATTATAGATAAGCAAACTGTGAAGCAGAATTAGTGCTTCTAGTTGCTAATGCAAAATGTTATACATAAATACTCTATTCATTGATTTGATTTTATTTTAATTTCTAATTATAAATTAATTATTCTTTAAATCAAAATTACTTCTTTATAACTTATCTAAAGAACTTTGATCCTCCTAATGAAAGTAATTTATATACATCTTTAACAAAAGAATATATTTTAAAGAATAATTAAATTTACTGTATTTTAGAAACTTTTTTTGTTTAAAACAATAAAATAGCCTTCATATGAGAAAGTATATATTATTTATTAATTGAAATTTCACATACAGCGTCAGATGTAAATATATGAAAGATTGGGATAATGGTTTTACTTACAAAAAGAAATCAAACAAATTTATTTATAAACAAAAAAGAAGTTTTCCTTATCAAATGAATTATTTTTAAATCAATCATGTCTAATTCATTTGAAAATTTATGTTTTTAAAGATTAAATGCATATGAAAATTAATTCTAAATTCTATTAATTTGACTATCAAATAGAGATTTTTTATTCATATAAAATAGAGAAAATTGAATTAAGAAATTAATATTTCTTTAAATTTTGTAAAACTTATTCAATTTACTTTTTATCAGATTTATAACAAAATTAAACCAATTTATTAAATTTTAAGTGAATGAACAGGAAATATGAAAGGAATATTAGCTCAATCGATAAGTAAAATTATGAGAAACTATTCAAATTAATACCTGACTCATTGCCTGATGAAATAAAACAAGCCATAAAATCCTCTATTGAAACATTATCAAAATTAGAGGCTGAGTAAGAAAAGTTTGAAGAATATGTTTATTAAGTTAACTCAGATGACATCATAATTTCATATAATGGATTAAACAGATGTCGATATCTCTTGGGTTGTTCTAAATAAGCAGTCCCTACAGGATAAATAATTGAATTATTTTTTTAAACAAGAGTTCATATTAAAATTTTTGACATAGCTAAAAGTACTAATGTTCCACTACTAAAATATGAAGCACTTTGGATAATTTGTAATTTATGTTTTGGAACCTAATAATAAATATAGGTAATTCTAGATAAAGATGGAATCGATATATTTTTTAATTCACTTTAATCAGAGCATGATGAAATTGTAGAATTAGCAATTTGGGGATTATCAAATATTGCAGGAGATAATTACAAATTTAGAGATTTGATTTTAAAAAAGGGAGTTCTACAACCATTTATGAATTTGGCAAGAAAATATCAAAACTAAAAATCTGAAATCTTTAAAACTCTTGTGTGGGCTATTACTAATTTAACTTAAGGTTAACCAGCTCCAAATAAAATAGTAAATATTTTATGAAAAAACTAGTATAATAAAGATTTATTATTAATTTTATCTGAAATCTTAATAATTTCAGAAGATGAAGAGATACTAACTGATACTTGTTTGGGCTTAAGTTATTTAAGTTAAGATGAGAATTTAATTGACATTTTAATTTAATAACGAATCATAGAAAAATTAATTTTACTACTTAATTCTGATAAATAAAGTCTGATTATTTATTCATTAAGAACTTTAGGAAATATTTTAACTGGTAGTGAAGAGTAAACTAATATAGTCATTAATTTTGGAATTATATAAGCTTTTGAAAAATTAATTAAAAATAAAAGTTAAAAAATCCGAAGAGAAGTACAAAAAAAAATAAATATTATTTAGGTTTGTTGGTCTTTATCTAATATTGCTGCTGGTACCTCATATTAAGTTAAATAAATTATCTAAAATGATTCACTTCTTAAATCTTTATTTGAATTATTAGAATAAGGACTACCAGATATTATTGAATAAATTGCTTATTTAATGTCAAACTCTGTTGTTTATGCAGAATTAAAAGACCTGGATCATCTCGTAATGTAATATGGTTTCATTTAGAAAATGGCTAATCTTTTAAATGAAAAAGAGAAAAAAATCATAAGAGTAACTCTTGAAGGAATTTATGAAATCTTACGAAGAGGTATGATTTATTTTTCGATTTAGTTCAAAACGATGCTAGATTCGAACAATATAAAAAATTGATTGTAGATTCTAACATTATTACAATAGTTAAGTCACTATAAAATAATAGGTCTAAAGAAATTAAAGAAAATGCTTCTAAAGTCATAGACATTTTTACTTCTAAAGCTAGCACTTGAATTTATATTTTAGATATTCATAATATAAATATTTTAGTAGATAATAATAATTTTTTTATAAAATTATATCTTACTATTTCTCACTATATTGATACACTAATATTTTATTCAAATCATAGAATGTTCCAATTTGTTCATTCTTTTCAGCAAAGTTAAAATTACTTTAAAAAATGGAATATTTAATATAATATCTTAGAAATTGAAGTCATATATGTTTTTTGTTTTTTAAAGTATATATAAAAAAATTAAAACATATTTAAATTTTAATCAGATATAACTATTTTATTATGTATCTAAATCACAAAACATTATTTAAAAGCATAAGAAAACTAAAAACTTTTGAAATACAAAATATTTTATTTTATTTTAACAAAATCATAAGATATTTATTATAGATTATAATAATAAGTACTTAATATAATCTTAAACATACACCAGTAACCTTCTAAAAAAAATTAATATTATAACAATTATTAGTAAATACTTGAATTATTATTTTTGAAATGGTAATTAGGCTATTTAATTTTGAAAGCTTATGGAGATTTTTTCAATTAGTAAATTTTCTTTGAAGATAATTGAGATATCAAATGACTATCGCTTTATTAATAAGTGGATAAGACTAGTTAAATCTTTAAGTGTATACTTTTGTGATTTATAAGAATTTTCTAAAAATATTCAAAATGATTTTGTAAAATATAGAGATATAATTATTTGATAATTTAATTGTGCCCAGATAATAATATGATATTTTGAGATATCTCGTTTTATTCATTTTAAAATTTCTAAAATCAATAACATTTAAACTATCATTAATAATTATGTATAAATATTCATTAAGATTTAAAGACTCAAAAATTGAAGAACAATATTTGATTTATCGTAGCACCACCTTATAATTTCCAACATTAACATATGTGACTGGAGGAGGGTTTTTACTTTTGATGATCAACTTTTTTATTCATTTAATTGCTGAAAAGTACTAAAACGCTATTAAAAATGGATCCATAGCATTTTATCTATTTTTTTAATACATTTTCTTGAGAAAATACGAAAAATTTAGAAAGTACTCGAATTTTGCATTATTGATTTGTAATCTAATATTCATAGCATTTGAATATGATAATCCTAATCCAATTAAAACATATTATGATGGTTATTTACTTGGAAGTAACCAGATGTTGGTACATAATATCCTAATGTTTGCTAATAATCTTAAATTAGGAATAGCAGCTAATCTGATTCACACGGTTTCAAAAATATTAATAGTATAGCTTTAATAAGGTAATATGGATATTTAACAATATGTATATACAACTTTATTGAGTTTAAGTTTTATTCTTATTTAATTCGAAATAGAAAAATAATATAGGAATTCGTTTTTTCTGTCTCTTAAAGACAGCACATGGGGTATTAAATAGAATAAATTATTTATTAGAAAGCATGACTCCATTATTTCTAAAAAAACCTTATTTTTTATTTTCCTTTAACTAAGATGAAAATGCTTATTAAGTAATATCTTCTCATTTAAAAGAATACTTTGATTCCGAAACTCCACTTACTACATTTCTATATCAATCAAAAATTTTAGGTAATGAATCTTTATAATCTTACATATAACGTTTAACTGTTCAATGCATAAAGCAAAATGACAATTTATGTTTATTCAATTAATATCTTAATGTGGATTATCTCAATAAAAAAGTTGCAATTTCTCTAATAGCATATTAATTTGAAAAAGTGATTTATGCTATAATAATTGAATCAGAAGATCCAATAAGAAAGGAGTAAAAACTGAAATATTTGTAGTAGATCTAAATATATAAGGAATTTTTTCATTTATAAATTATGCCAATAAATAAGGTGTTGGCAACATTGTTAAGAGAAAATCCTCATCCTTTATTGAGAAATTTAAGAATATCATTAATAGAGATTTATTATCAATAAACCTAATAGTGCGAGTTAAAATTGGTTGCAATAAAGAAGTTACTTCTAAAATGCGTGCTCTTATTTTAGAATACAAAAAATCAAATCAGTATAATATGCAATGAAGATATTAAATTTGTAACTATGAAGCATGCACTAATAATTTTTATATTTGAAATTCTAAAGATAAGCAATGAATAGTGTTTATAAATAAGAATAAGTTAAGTATAGAATACTTCAATATAAATTATTGGTCTGAATCATCTTCCTTAATCAGAATTATTTTAATAAAGTAAAGAGATGTTAATTGAAAGAGTTTTGGAATCTTAAAATTGTAAAAATTAAATTATTATTTAGGTTTTATATTTATATTGATGAAAATACCCCATTAGAGTTTTAAAGATTATTTTTATATTTAAGATTCCAATTATTGATATTTGATAATAAATTAATTACTTGTTTTAGTGTTAATATTGCAATGATATAATAAATAAGTTGAAATAGTTTTTTTATATTATAATTTATGATTGAATAATGATATATTATTTTATTTCATTATATCTGATATATATTTTAACTTGAAATTTGATATTATAAAAATAAAAATAAAATGGATGATTCATAATTAGATTTGGGAGCATTAGAAGATATTGATCCAAGTTTAGAAGGAGGATTTAAAATACAATTTGATAGAGAGATTCATATAGAAACAAGGTTGATTTGAATGAATAATAATAAAATTAGGGTTTAAGATGCAAATACAGGTCCATAAGAGATAGGTACATTAGAATAAGTTAGAGTGAAAATATTAGTTTAAGTTTGTTATATTTTCATTAAATATAGGGAGAATAGTAAACATTTGAGAATTTGAAAATTGAATTAACAAGTGAAACAGATTTGTTTTTCAATTATATAACAATGTATAATTAAATTTGAATATAGAATAAATAAAGAGACTTATAAAAAAATAAGAGAAGAGTAAAAACTAACAATTGAATATCCTTAATTTTTATAAATGTTGATCAAGCTGTTAAATTCTTGTCACAAAGAACCTAATCAGTAAATATTTAAAATGATACAGTTTCTTTTGTGTCTTTTTTATGTAATAAGATGGAGCAGCAAGACTAGATTTTATTGAAAATTTAGAATACAAATTTATGGAAATGTTGTCTTTAGAATTCAGTTCTGCTTCTGAAGAGACAATTAGATAAAATGTTTCATTTAGATACAATTTAATGAAAGCAAAATTATAATTTGTTTAGAATAGGTATATAGAAATAGATTTATATAGATTAAATGACATAGCTTCTTTGATTAAATTGAAGAATCCTTCGTTATTAGTATAAATCAATAAAGCATAAGCAGGTGTCAGTTAGATACAAAGTACTTAAAATGCTAGCAAATACATGGGATAATCAAAAAAGAACAATACATCAAAATTTGTTTGATTTAGCTAATATTCATATTAACATCACAGGATTAAATATTTTAACTTCTACTTAATTATGGCTAGCAAATCCAGAATGTGCTTCTTAAATCTAAATGATATCTTTCTTGTCAAAGTCTATATTACACACCATACACTTTTTATCAGGTAAACAAATCCTTGAGATACAACTCATACACATAACATGTCCACAATTTTTACTCATGGCAATTTTTTAATATTTAAGTGTTTTATTGCATGCATAACAAAAGACTTCTTTAGTTTCTCCATTGTTGTCATTTAATTTAGTTGGATAAAGCTTTTTAAGTTTTATTTCATGATCTCTATTTGCAGGACATCTACAAATATTTTTTGGTTATTCTAATTTCTCTTCCTATTATTCAGGTTAAGATTCTGGAACCCAGAAATTTTTACATGTTAAATCCTTCTTTGACATGGTAAGCATTTCTTTTCCTTTTAATTGCATTTTCTCTAATACTTTCTTCTTTTATTCAGCCTCTAAATTAATATAACTAAAATTAATGATAATTAAAAATTACCCTTATAATTTTTCTTCTACTTTAGATTTAAATTATCGTCTTTCAATGACATCATTTTGATAATCTAACTTTTCAAAATTTTATTCTTTTTCTTTTTGTTATGCTTCATCCTACTATTACTATTTATGTTCTTATTATTATTTTTTTTAATTATAAGCAGCTATTAACTTCTCATTTTCTTACTTTTGTTTTACCTTTAATATATATAAAGAATAATGTACCATATTTTAAATGATGCATTCTCTACAAAATAAATGACCTTTTTCACAAGTCAAAGGTTCAATGACTCTACTAATACATAAATAACAAAAGTCAAATGGTCTTTATGAATCAGAGCCAACACGAGAGTTTTGTGTGCCAAAATCTTTAATCATTTTTCTTTCTGCATATGTAAATACAGGATTAGCTGTATTATTTTTGGAATGTCTTGACATGATATATTAAATTATTATATTAAATGTTTGTAATTTTCATACTTTATTGAATAAATTTAATTTGAATTCTGGTGTTCTACTCAAATGACTTATTAAATCTCTCTATTTAATAACTTCTCTTTATTATGGTGTTAATCCCTTGAATTCAAAATTGATTCCTTCTTCTGCTTTATTTCCAATTTATAAATTTCCATGAGCTGTATTATAATAAATCCATCCTAAAATATTTTTAGAGTATATACCTATTGTTCCTCCAAGTATAGCACCAATTCCAGCTCTTCTAATACTGAAAAATGCTGCTAAAGCTGCTCCAAATGCAGCATGACCATAAACGTATCTATTAAATGTATGTTCATGACCTCTTGAACAGACTAATTAATAAAACCAAAAAAAGTATGTAACTCCAAATAAAGCACCAAGTGTTCCATGTCTTGATGCTTATTTAAGAGCCAGAAATACAGGACCTGTAAATGCATTTTTACTTCCAAATACTCTTCCTTTATTGACTTCTAAAGCATTAACTGATAATTGTTTAAATTGGTAAGTAGCACCAATTAATATTGCAGTAAGAGCACCTTTAAAAGCAAATTTAGCACATGTTCTAAATATATTTAATTGTTATTATATACAGAACTTCCCAATGATGCTCTTAAAACATATCACGAGTAGCCCACCATCTATTCCACCATGGTGATGATCCTTTTACATAAATTGAATGGACATCATTCTATTAAGGTCTACCTGTTATTCCATATTAACTCTTATCTTCATGATTCTAATTCTAAATTGGATTTGTGCCGAATCCCATTTTTTTAATATAAATTAATATATATATTTTATAATTATTCTTTTATGCACTTATCATTATATTACATATATTATTATATCTTGTATCCAAAATATAAAATAATAGTTTAATTCAATTTTCTATAAATCTTTACCATTTAATAAAATATTCTTCTTTACAATTAATCAACTTTTCATCAGCTTTATCATCATTTTATATCTGAAATATTGGTAATTATTCCATTATAAACTTCTTTGGCTCTTCTTTTAGTGAACTTACTTTATATTTATTTATAAACTACCATTCTTTAAAATAAAATCTGAAGAATTAAGAATTTCAATTTTTTACTAAGATGATGCTGTCTAAAGTCCCAAAGTTCTTCCAAAAATTTATAATACTCCATAATCAACTAATCTTAAGATATCATTTTAATTTATATATTTCAAAGCATTTGAAAATATAAATGCAATTTCTATTTGAGTCTCAACGTTTTCAAATATAAAAATACTTTCCAGTGATTTTAATATCTAATCATTATTTATTAATCTTTTTATTTAACTCTAATTTCCTGCTATTATATTAGATAAACATTAACAAATCTAATTTTAATTAATTATTACAGTACCTCTCGTCTTATACTCTTCAATTCTAATTTTGTTAATAGATGAGCGAAATTATCAATAATATTTTTATTTAAAACATACTCTTTTTAACTTTGAGATCCTCCTAAAATTTTTTTAATTATTCTTAAATCTAGCGCAATTATTTAAACTGTGCAATTACTCTTAAGTAACTATATAAATCTATCAATTATGCCTGTATTGATAATTTCTTAAATTGAATCCAAACCATTTTTACTATTACTTATGTAATATAATCCCCAATAAGCATCAAATAAAGTTTCCTAATCATCAAATTTATTAATTATATAGGTGAACAAATTAATTATTTATCTCTTATATTTCTAGATATATTTGTTATTTAAATACATCTATGTATTGATTTGGATTACCTCTAGATAAATTTCTTAAAGTCCAAGAACATAATTTTACTAATTGACTCCTATTTTCTTTCATTAACTTTTCACTAATTTGAACAATTTTAAATAAGCCTCCTTATTGAATTATAATATTTCGAAAATCTCCATCTTCATCTGCAGCTATATTTCCTATAGCCCAAAAGACTTATTCAAGAATATTATAATGTTTTGAATTCAAATGCTTCAATAAAATTGGTATTGCCCCATTTTTTACTATTACCTAAGTTTATTAATTTGTGCCACTTGCAATATTTGTTAAAATCCAAAGTGCTTCAAATAAGAACAATTAATTGCTTTACAAATCGACTATTTACATCAATTTTGGAACAATGCTGCTTTCAATAATTGCTTATGTAATTTCAAATGAATTTGGGTTTTAATTAATACTTATTAATCTCCTTATAGCTAAAAGTCCAAAATGCTGTTTAACAATATCATCAGATTCAATCATTTCCACATAAATCTCAATAAACTCTTGATTTACACTCTTCTCATCTATCTAGTCATATTACTAAAGAATCTTCTATTTCTTCTCTTCTAAAATGTACAAAGGAATCAATGATTCATAATTCATATTTACCTCTAAAATCTCTATCGATTGCATATAAATTTATATATAAATCCTTTCATAACAGAAATTGACTAATTAATCAAAGAAAATTATTCTATTTTATATATATATAAATATAATATTCTTCTATAGATTAATCTATTATTTATACCAGGAAAATTAAAACATTATATTTCATTCCTTCAATTCTGGTCAGATTCATTATTAGAATGGAATTATTGATCTTATTGAAGCTTTTATTTGTCAATTATCTATCCTTATTTTTACTTCTCTTTAATTTATTTTTTTCCTGATTATTAATCTCCATCTTGATTTTCTATATGTTAGTTAATTCCATTTAATGTTTGTCCAGCATTTAATTACAGTCTTTCATTTATTTATTTATCCGAAAATCCCATTTGAGATAATCTATCTACAAGTTATAACACTTCTTATCTTTGGATAGATTATGTTTAATTTCTTTTTCCGACTTTTTGTTATTAATTTATTGTTTAATCCTTTTGCAAAAAGACTCTAAATGCAAAATCTATATTTGTTTGTAATTTTTATTGCAAAGCCTAACTTATTTAAATATAATTACTTGTTCTTCAATTAACTTTTCAAGTACCATTTTTAAAGAATTGTACATTCTGAAATAATCTATTTGTTTAATTTCATTAGTATTAACATCTTTAATATCAAATGGGAAATCATCATTCTCAGGTTTCAACATTAAAAGAGGACGAGTTTATTTTCTGCTCATTTTTATATATAAATAATATAAATTGATAATATTTATTAATAATAATAAATCTGGAGGTAATTTTTTATATACAACAATATTTTCAATTAATTTTATTAAAAATCATTTTACTTATATTTTTTTAACAAATTTTCATGTCCATTTTTTAATTTACAAAATATTTAAGTTCATGATTAAATCTTTGATTAATTTTTAATAAAATTATAATCAATTCCTGCTCAATCTGCTGCTTATCTATAAAATACATTTATTATAGTGTTTATTCTACATAATCGCAATTCCCTAAGATAAGTTATCCTTAAGATTAACTACAAATAACATTCCTTTTTAATCAGCCAACTTTTATCCTTCTTCAAATAAAACTTCTCAAATACTAATTGTATCATATTTATTTCCAATCCTGATTTCCCAACATAAGTGTCTCAAATGAAGTAATTTCATAGCTTTTTCTTTTTCAGATTTCATTTATTTTTTTTATTTTTATCTTATATCAATTATTTCAATTTGAATTAAATCATTATTAAAGAAATGAAACAAAATTCTATTAATTATTATTTAAATCTATAAAAAGTCAAAGAAAAATTTATTTGAATTGTAAATGAAAGTTATGTAACAAATCAAACGCTTGTAGATATGTGAAGATATGAACTTTTGCATTTAAATATTTATTCTATATTATATTATTTATATACCAAAAATATTAGATATTCACATATTCTTTTATTATTATTCAAGTTCTTTTTAAGTATCAAATTTTTTATAATATAATTTTTGCTACTAAATTTGATGTGATATTGTTTAAAGGCTTACTCTATATTGTTTTCCATAATTGGTTGAGGTTTCTTTCATAATCATTTCTAATACCAATAAAATAAATGTTTAATAAATTTGCTAATCGCTTTCCTTATTATTTATTATTTCTCTTTTCTCCCCTAAATCATTTTTGTTTCCTATTAATCTTTTAAACATATAATCATTTACTTATTTTGTGAGCTTTATTATATCATTTAAATATTCTTATCATACAACCAATACAATATCTCCTTGATGTTAGAAATCCACACCTATTTATGGTATATGATTATCAAGAAAATATAATCAGCAAATCGTAATAATAGATTAGATTTACTTACTCCTAAGTTTCCGAATTAAATGATTTTGAAAATTTCATCATATTCAATTATAGCACTCATTTGAAAATTTATACATCAATTAAAAAAGATCTGAAAAATAATTATTGTTTTATTATGTAATCTCCTTTTTTAAGTTATTTTTTGGTACCCTAATTTTGTAGAGAACTTACATTCAAAACTTTAAAATGATAAACAAACTAAAATTTTAAATTAAGATCTTATCACTTTTTTTTCCATAATCTACACAAAAAATAATTGAAATAATCAATTTGAAAATTAATGAAAAAATTCAATTATAAATATTTATTATGTTGTTTCATTTAGTAATTATTTTATCTAATTTTAATTAGATAAAATAATTATAATACAATGTTAATTTGAAATGCTTCGTAATAAATAAAAATATAATTAATTAAATAATTATAATTACTTAAAAATGTATAAATATGGTACTAATGTGGTTTTCTTAATTGTTCTGTGTTTATTTAAGTAATATTAATTCTAATAGCAGATTATGTTTGAGTGATTGCGGATTTATAAATCCTGGATCTAGTTTATTGAGTTTAACTGATCCCTAATAATAATTAGACGTAAATTTAGATAATATGGTGCTACAAGGTTTATCAAATATTGGCTATGGGTTGTGGATTAAGTATCAACCTTTTTTGCCTATTTCTTAGATTGGTATGATTTTATTTATTAATCAGCGACTTCTTCTTCAACTTTATATGCTGGAAGCATGCCAAATAAAAATACTATTTTTGCTGGATCTTTTATATATATGTAACAGTAAAAAGACACAAAATTTAATATGCTAACTGTCTATATAACAATATCATCTGCCACTAACACAATAGTTCATAATATATTTTATTCGTTTCAATCAACAACAGGAACAGTTTCTTTTGATTTTGATGTTGAAGAATATGAAGGAAGATGGATATTGTTTTATGTTTTTTATGATCTTTTGTTAAAATAAACAACAATAGGTTTTTATTAAGCAGAATAAACAACTTCAACAAAAAATTAATTGTTATAAGATATTCCTTCTTTGGTTAAATAAGTAAGACATACAATAGGTGGGACATAAGATATTAAAAATTAATTAGGAGAAACTCTAACTTTATCATAATTTAAAGGAAGATTATCCACTTTATTTAGTTAAGAAATCAACGTATTTTTAGATTTAAATTAATTTTTATCAACTTGTGAGATTGTTTCTTCTTGTTCTATAAAGCCTTATAAATTATCAGGTTATAATTAAATTATGACTGGTTATGGATTTATGTCAAATTCAACAGATTAATAAGAATATTCAAAATATGTTATAAATGGTTGGGTTAAATTGGATTTCTTAACGGAAGATTATTATCTTGAAACAGTTATATTTAGAATTACAATAAATAGTAATTACAATGATGATATGACAATTGGAGATAAGGAACTCTATCTAAAATATTATTAAAGTATAATTGCTTCTTAAAATGGTTTTTCAATTACAACTTATACTTACAATTTTCCAGTAGAAATTAAATAATCAAGTTCTGGTACAGATATTATAACAGTAACTGGAATTCAGTATTAAGATCTTTTGATTAATTGGCATTATATTTAATATGAAATTGGAACAAATAATAATTATGGATAACCTTTATTTTCAATATTTTATCCATCTTAAAATCAAGTTTTTTAATATAAATGGACAATGCCAATAAATCATTTTACAGGAACAATTTTACATTATTTTGTAGGAGGAGACAATTTTACTAAAAATTATTTAGTTGGATAATTAAGTGATTTAACTTTAACTCTTTATTGTACAACCCCAACTATAACATTTAATATAAAATGTCATTACACTTGCAATACTTGTGATGGTCCTACAATATCAAATTGTTTATCATGCCCAGCTAATAGTTTCAGAGTTTAATCTATTACTTAGAAAACATGTACTTGCAAGAATAAATATGTTGATATTGAAAATGATCCAATATGTTAACCAGTTATAGTTAAATTCCCATAGCTTGAAGAAGATGAAGTTTAAATCTATTGTAATAAAATTGGTTTTGATATTTGTGAAGGAAATTTTCAAAAATGCTCTTTTGGATATTTTTTATATAAAAATAGCTGTATATAATGGTATTAAAAATAATTATTACAAGTCCTGGTTACTATTTATATACTTCGAGATATAGTATAAAGTGTTCAGATTGTTTATTCGATCCTCAAGGATTTGCTACTTCTTTGTAATGTACAGAGGACACTTAAACTTATGAGAATGACGAAGATAATTCATATATCACTATTCAAAGATCAAAAAGAGAAATTGAATTTTATCAAGTAAGATTAAATTTATAGAATGAATATGAATTAAGTCTATAATATGGATTTAAATTATTAGGGGTTTGCAAAGAAGGATATTTTTTAGATTCTAATCAATAATAATGCAATGCTTGTCTTGATGGTTGTAAAAAATGTGTATAAAAAGATATTTGTTAAAATTGCTATTAAAATTATGCTCTAACATATGATTATTCATGTTAAAAATGCTAAGGATGCACTAATTGTATATATCAATATGAAAAAACCTATTGTCAAATTTGTTAAACTGGAACATATTTAAATTAATAAGGATAGTGTTTACCTTGTGGATAATTTTGTGCTAGCTGCAATGATTAAGGCTAATGTGATTATTGTGAAAATCCATTCAATTTTTTTTTATCTTTTGATGGTAAAAATTGTGAAATCTGTTCAATTCCTAATTGTTCAATATGTTATCATCATTTAAAAATTAAAAAATCTTCTTAAACTAAATTAGATATAGATTCTTCAGTAATTGATTTGAATGAAACCTAATTATAAATTCATTGTGCACTATGTTAATAAACCTTTTATTTTAACCAAATTACTTTATAATGTGAAAAAGCACCAGTATCTTCATCCTCTCAAAATGATCCAAATGATCCTATTTAGGTTGATTTAGGTAAAGATTAAGAAGGATCATTTATTAGTAATTCATGCAATTTTGGTCTAATCACAGATTCTTTAGGTACAAATAATTGTTTAATTGGTACTATTGCAACATCTACTCAATCTACCTTTTGTCCAACACTTAGTAATTGTTTATAATGCATTTCGAATTACATCTCTACAAACTCATTTTGTATTGTATGTATTGATGGATATTATTCAGCTATTTTAACTGGAAAATGTATGTAATGTGGATCCAATTGTAAATCATGTCTTTAATAAAATAAATAATTTAAAGATTATTGGAAATGGGAAATTAAAGCTTACTACAAATATGTTTACAATTCTGATGATTCCCATCCTTTTGAATAACATGCAACATATACATCTGAATCAGATTTTGAATTGATTTGTACATCATGTCCTATTGGGTATATTCTTTATGACTTTAATTGTATTAAAGATTGTAATAAAGATTGTACTTAGTGTAATATTATTAATGGAGTCTCCACATGTGTTTAATGCTTGGAAACACCTTTTGGATTTCTAAAGAGCTAAGATTCTTAAGGTATATGTCTTACTTGTCCAAACTATTGTGCTGCTTGTTAAGAGAGATCAACCTAAGAAATTTAAAATATTAATCCTTATTTCATAACTACTGACAACAATATTAAATATACTAGAATCTGCTATGAAGGATTTTAATAGGACTCTTAAGAAGGTTTTTACTATAACGATTATAATGTATAAACCATTACCTTTTGTGAAAAATATGATAAATGTTATCATAAAGCTATTCTTAAATAAAATGTTTATTGTGAAAATAATTCTTTCAACTAAGATTTAGATAAAAGTGCAGATAAAATTTATTTTAAATAAAATAATATTTTTATTGAGGATCTTTTTACTATAGGTTATCTTAGTGAAGTTGAAACCGTTAGCTTATATACTTATTTTAATGAAAAAGTAATTAGAGAAGTAGAATATTAATATACGCTCATCTAATCAAATGCAGCTGCATGTACTCTAAACTCTAATTCTTTATTATTAGCTAAAATACAATAAAATGTATTTTCAGTTTAACAAGTAAATTTAAAATTGATTGGTGATAAATATCCAACTACTATTATTATCGATACAACGTTACAAATAAATAATTTCTAATCTATATCATTTGAAAATATTTAATTTGAAACTTCTATTTAATTAAACAAAGATTCTAAATTATCTTTTATAACTTTGGCAAATAGATAATCAAGCATGCATTTAAGCTTATAAGATTGTGTATTTACTACTACTAATGCAACTTAATAATTAAAGTAATTTTAATTCATTTCAGATAAAGGATACTCATTATATATCGAAAATTTGATATTAAGAGATTTTAAAGTTTTAGATTCCTCTATTTTTTAATTTTATATCTCTTCAGGCTATTAAAAAAATGCAATTATTAAAAGATTATAAATTTCAACTTCATATTTTTAAAACTCAAACTTTCTTAATTTTTAAGCTAAATCAAATGATCTTTTTGTGAATCTCGAAATAGATTAAATAACCATATCTGATACTAAATTTGATAAATCTAATTTAACCTATACAGAAACATAGCTTGAATATGATATTGGAACAATTTTTGTTAACAATATTAATTTGGTTGGTGTTAATTTAAAGAATAAATCAACGATATTTTCAGTTTAAGGAGCTGCATCATTCATTACAAAAAAAGCAATAATTTTAGAATCTCTATTTTATAGTTTTTCTTATTTTTACTTATCTAATGTAATATAAATTTCAGACTTTTATTTCAACAACACTATAATAGACAACAGTACTCTGATTACAAATGATGCAGATTATGCAATCTCAGATTAATCATTAGTAAACGCAGCTAATATTTCAATTTTTAATTGCAAAATAGAAAATATTAATTATACCAATTCATAAGCAATATTAAAGTTAGTTTTATATGATAAGATAATTCAACAAATAGTACATATCGATTCATTCACTTTAAAAAATAGTTTATATTTAATCAATGACATTTCAAATTATTTATCTTATGAGCAATCCAATATCTACATTGAGTGTTATGAATGTAAATTGATTTCAATGTAAATATAAAGAGGATATGGTCTACCTGAAATAGCTATTTTACGCTCACAAAATCTATTTATAAAGAACTTAATTCTCAATCAATCCTCTTTTTATTATTCTAAAACTTTACATAAATCATATGAGTGTGTCTAAAAATATGCTTACACTCAAATGTTTCATTTTCTATATGTTGGATTTTACAAAAGCATCACAATAAATAATTTATAACTTAGCAATAGTATCACATATAATAATCCTTTTATAATTATTAAAGGATATGATTTAATGGAAAAAATCCAAAATGAAAATATTTTTATTTAAGATTCTCTATTTGATTCAAATATGCTTATCATGTCAAAGGCAAATCGAGCTACTTCTATAATTTCAATTGTTTCAGAATAGTAGTCAGTAGTTACTTTTAGTAATGTAAAGTTTTATTATAATCATCTCAATTAATATTTTCAAGATTTATCAAGATAATCTGCTTCAACATTACTAATTTAATTACAATAGGGTGACTTTTATCTTGAGAATTCTTATTTTAAATAAAATCTGGTTACCAATTCAACAGATTCTATTATGTATATTAAAGCAATAAGTATAGGGATATCAAATTCTAAATTTTATAAAAATAACATCTTATAACTATCTATTATAGGTAATAACATTTTAGTTCCAGATGAATAAATTAATATTCCTGAATTGAGCTTAACAAATATATTTCCAATAAATTCTAAAAGTGGAAATGGGTTATTAATCACAACATCCCTTAATTTGGATAGAGTTAGAATTGATTAATCTTTTTCAAATTATGGTGGTGGATTTTATATCAATACATAAGGTACAAGTAGAATAAATATAAAAAATGCAAAATTTTAAAATACTTAAACTTCAATGATTAGTTCATCTTTTTCAACTGGAGGTTGCCTATATATTGATGCATAATTATCAAAATTAACATTAGTAATAGATTCAACAACTTTTGACACATCTTTTAGTAGAGTGGAGGGAGGGGGCATTTATATAATTCCTTCTTAATAAGATAATAATGTTAAAATGACTAATTTAAATATATTAGATTGCTATTCATTAAAAAGTTCATTTTTATCATTTTAATTATCAAATTTGGAAAATATTTAATCAAAGATATCTATAAGTAACAGCATTTTTGTAAATACCTAATTAGGATTTGATTCATTTATTTCACTTCTATAAACTCCAAGTATTACAGAACTAGATAATCTTAGAAGTAGTAATTCTGAGATATCAATTAAATATGGAGATGTTTCTATAAATAATTGTAGCTTTTAATCAACATAATTTTCATATTTCTTGAACATAGAAACTGCCTAAAATATATATTTATAGAATATAGAAATAATTAATTCCACAATTTTACATTCCCCACTTCTCAAACTTAGTCTAAGATCAAGTAATTATAAACAATTTAAATTTAGACAACTTTGGTATTATAATTATCAAAAATGTGACAATTTAAAATGTTAAATAAAAAAGTTTGATTGTTGATACTCCTTGTTTGGTGACAACTAACATAATCTAAGAATCTTTAGTATGTCCTTTAAATTCTCCTACTTTAAGTTCTAATTTACTTGATGAGAATACATCACAAAATTAGGAAATATAATTAGAATGTAATAGATACCTTATTTTCTAAAATGTTTCTTATAAATTTAGTCTTGTAGAGATAGAAGATTTATAAACAACTCATTATTTTTAAGCTGAAGATTTATTATTTGATTCGATTTCTTGTTCTAATTGTTAATATGGACTTATCAGAATTGAAGAGATCTAAGAATCAGAATTAGAAAATATTTTCTTTTCAAATGTGCATATAAAAGATAGTGATTGTGGTTAAACTGGTTGTATATCATTGATATAAAATGATAGTAGTTCTATATTAAGAAATGATTTATTATCCTCCTTAAATAATAACAGGATACTTTAATAACATGACTATAATAATTTAACATACATTTTATCTCATTAAGCAAGAATTATTAATTCTATTTTTACAAATAATAAAGCAATATATGGTGGATCCATCTTTATAGTAGAAATCTAGTCAATAGTTTATAGATGCTATTTTAAAAATAATACAGCCAGTATTGGAGGTGCTATTTATTATTTTTCAAAGAAGGCTGAATTATATATATTTGAGAGTTAAATACTTGGAAATAAAGCCAAAATTGCTGGAGGATTATACTTAAATTCATAATCCTTATAGACTACCAAATAACTTGATGTCTATTTATTAGATAATAATTCAACACATTTTGGTACTGATGTTTTCGAAAATCCAAGATCCTTAACATTATCTATTGATGGTGGATAGACTTATCTAACAAAAAAATAGATCTCAAAGACTTAAACATCTTTAGTAGAAGAAATTGTCATTACTCCTTATAAAATCTTGGGATATGCATTAAAATCTAATTTTCTTATGTTTCCATCAGGAAGAGAAATTGGATCATATTAATATTTTGATCAATATTCATCAGAATATATTCCATATAATCTTACATTTAGAATCATTGCATTGAACAAATACAATACATAAGAAAAAGAACTAGAAGGATCTACCTGCACTATTACTCCAAGTATTGTTAATTATACAACTAAGGAAATTATTACAGGATTAACAATAAGCTTATCATATACAAATGTAAAATTCAATTAAACCTCAGGTGATTTTAATTTAGATAATCTTATTATTTATTTTAATCCCACTTATGAAGCAGAAGTAGTATTGCAATTATCAATATTTTGCAACATAATCTCAATACCTATTTATTAACCCACTCCTCCTTTTTCTATCAATAGTACAATAACAAATTACAAATTGTTAGTAAATATAAAAACATTTCCATGTTAATTAGGAGAATTTCTGAATTCAACATCTGGAGGTTGTACATTGTGTGATACAGTTTAAAATTAATATTAAGTTTAATGGAGTGCATAAAGTTGTAGTTATAAAGATGATTTAAAAATGAAATCAATACAATCTTCAATGATAGAATTAAGATCTGGTTATTGGAGAGCTTATTATTATAGTCAAACAATTGAATATTGTTATCATTTACTTGAAAATTGTTAAGGTGGTTGGAAACCTGGAGATTATTCATGTACTTAAGGACATATTGGAGCTTTATGTGAATAATGTGATCTCTATAATACTATTGGATTAGGTTCATATTCTATTAGTAATAAATATTCTTGCGGAAATTGTGATCAAATCATAGGAAATGTATTAACAGTCTTTTTTATAAGTGCATGGACTCTAATTTCAATTTTAATGTCCGTTAGTAGCACTGTTGAAATGATAGAAGAATTTATAGTTGGTTTGAGATTAAAAGCATTCGGTGTTACTGTAGTTATCAAATAAGCTTCAACAGCTATTTTGATTAAAGTCTTTACAAATTATCTATAAATTATATCTACTATTGCCACATTCTAACTTTAAGTTCCTTCTGAATTAGCATCAGTAGTTAATAGTGTTGGAAATCCTATAGAATCAATGGCTTATTCATTAGATTGTTTCCTTATTACAATCTCCGACATTGCAATTATGTATTTTAGAATAGTTTGGAGTTTAATGATGGCTACTTCTTATATAACAGTTTTCTTTACAATAGGAGGTATTGCAATAATAGCTAAATATATAAAGTATAATATTTCCTTTATTTCAACCGCTTTAATATATATTTTTATTTATTTGCAACCTAATTTAATAGGAGGCTTAATATCCCTGATATCTTATAGAATAATTTCAAATGAATATTGGGTTTAGGGTAATGTTGCCTACAGATATGATACATATTAACATGCAAAATGGCTGATCACATTTTGTTTTCCTCTTTTATTAATATTCAGTATTTTCATCCCTACATTTTTTTGGTATGGAGTAAAGAAAAATAAAAGCAATTTAGATAAGACAAAAGTTAGATAAAAATGGGGATACTTGTATAATGAATATAAATTACATGCCTATTATTGGGAAACAATTAAAATTTTATAAAAATAATTAATCATTATTGTACTAGCATATTATGACGATCACATTCCAATTAAAGCTTCTCTTGTATTTTTAGTTTTATTTGGATATAGTTTTTTAACAACATCTTAAAAGCCTTATATGACTGGGGATTTGAATTATTTAGACACCTAATCAACAGTAGTTTGTGCAGTTTCAATTATATTAGGTAGTTCCATATATAGTGCCTAACAATCAGATCTTTCTGAAATAGTTTGGCCCTTTTATATAATTATTGGAATTTTGAATGGATTATTTATTATTAGAATGTTAATTAAAATTTTATTTGCCTATTTTGATAAATTGCATGAATAAATTGATAAAGTAAAAGAATTAATCGTAAATAATTTCCCCAATTTCATAAAAAGACATCCATTTATTTAAGAATTGTTTGAGAGCAGAAAAAAACAACAAATAAGAGTAAAAGAAAGGTATGCAAAAATTAGAAATCATTTGTTACCTTAAGCAAAATTGGTACTTGAATATAGAAAGTAACTTATTGATATTTACTATTTAGATAAAATAATTTAGATTTGCCTTGTAGAATTTCAACATAGATATCAGATAATGATGAAGATTATTCCTAGAAAAATCATTTCAAAAATAATGATATCAATTTAGGAATAAATAGTCCATTATCTAGAGGTAGTCATTAGGATAAAATTGACTCATTATTTAAAAAGCCTAAATCTTCTAAAGTGTACCCAGAATTAATGATCAAATATATAAGTTAAGATAGTTTAAAGTCAAGCATTCATTAATCTTAACAATGAAATTTTTGATTGAGATTAACTTATAATAAATTAAATTATTTATTCTCTTTTAAAAATAAAAACATTTTAATTTTATTCCATAAAATATCAAATGAATTTTGAATAATTCTTTTATTCATATTGTAATTAAATGAAAATATTTATAAAAATAAATATTTTTTATTCAATTATAATTTTTAATATTTATTAAAATTTTGAAAAAAATAAATTAAAAATAAATTTATATAACATAATTAGGAAGATTCATGTAATTTAATAAATCTTAAATCAAAAGCTTATATATCACATATTTATAATTAAACATTTGCATGTCAAAATCTCATTTCACTTCTTGATTAATTCTAGTTTTGGGAAATAAAAAAAATTATGTTTTATCATTTGCAGCATAACTTGAAGACTATATTATTTAAAAAGTTCTTGCTTCTCTTTGTTTTTACTTAGATAAACTATCTAATGCTCGATATTATGAATCATCTTCCCTCTCAGTTTCTTCAGACTTTTAAGTATTTGTTGTACCAGGCAATTAAAAATTATTCATCCTATAAAATTTATAAATTCTCTTACTTTTTAAATTCTAAAATTTTTCTTACTTAAGGTTTTAGATATAATTTAATTTTATTAAATCTCTCTTAAATTCTGGATTTTTTTGATTTTCTATTTTTGAATAACTTTTTTATAAACGGATGAGAATTTACAAAGTATGGAAATCTCTTAGCAATTATTTCTTTTATTGTATCTAATTTTTCATCTAATTTTTTGAAATTTGTGAATAAAATTTATAAAATCATTGTCAAAATAAATAAAGAGTTTAAAAGACCTATGATAACATAAAAAGGCCAAAAAATTTCTTAAATTTATTATTATTAAGCTGCATAGATTGAACTAGCTAAAATTATTGAAACAGCACAAACTACTGTAGACTGAGCATCTAATTAATTTAATTATCCAGTCTGATAAGGTTTATAAGATGTTGCCAAATAGCTATATCCAAATTCCATAAGAAAAACAATAGAGGCTTTAATTGGTATGTAATCATCATAATATGTTAGGACAATAATAATTATTTGTTTTTAAAAAATTTTAATTGTTTCCCAATAATAAGTATTAAGTTTATATTCGTTGTACAAATAGCCCCAAGTTTATCTAACTTAGGTCTTATCTAATGAATGTCTATTTTTATGTACACCATACCATAGGAAAAAAGGGAGAATAAAACCAAAGATAATTATCAGTGGTAAACAAAAGCTAATCATCCATTAAGCATGAGAAATTGTATCATATCTATAAGCAACATTTCCTTAAATCCATAATTCTCCTGAAATTTTTCTAAAAGATAAAAGGGATATTAGCCCTCCAATTATGTTAGGTTATAAATAAATAAATAAATATATCAGAGTTGTAGATATATATGAGAATTCAAACTTAATTAGTTTAGTTATTATAGCTATCCCTCCTAAAGTAAAAAAAATAGTAATATATAAAGTAGCCATAATTTAGGACCAAATAATTCTGAAATAGATGATTAAAATATCTGATCTGGAAACTAAAAAACAATCTAAAGAATACGCCATTGATTCTATAGGATTTCCAACGCTATTGATAAAAGAGGTCAATTCAATAGGAACTTAAAGTTAGAATGTAAAAATTGTTGAAATAATTTAGAGATAGTTAGTAAATATTTTAATAAGAATAGCTGATGAAGTCTTTTAAAGAGTACTTCCACCCCCAAAAACCTTTAATTTAAGTCCAATTATAAATTCATCAATCATTTCAACAGTACTACTAACAGACATCAAAGTGGAAATTAGAGTCCATAAAGTTATTAATATAATAGAAATTATATTGAATGCTATTTGATTACAATTTCCGCAAGAATATTTAGAACTAACAGAATATGAGCCTAATCCAATGGTATCGTATAGATCACATTATTCACATAAAGCTCCAATATGTCCTTAAGTACATGAATAATCTCCAGGTTTCCAACCACCTTAACAATTTTCAAGTAAATGATAACAATATTCAATTATTTGACTATAATAATAAGCTCTCCAATAACCAGATCTTAATTCTATCATTGAAGATTGTATTGATTTCATTTTTAAATCATCTTTATAACTACAACTTTATGCATTCCATTAAACTTAATATTAGTTTTAAAATGTATCACACAATGTACAACCTCCAGATGTTGAATTCAGAAATTCTCCTAATTAACATGGAAATGTTTTTATATTTACTAACAATTTGTAATTTGTTATTGTATTATTTATTTTAAATGGTGGTTCATTCTCATACTAGGGAACACTGATGGAATTACATTAAATTGTTAATTAAAGTACAAGATCATTAGTCAAATTTGGTTTAAAATATATAATTAAATCGTCTAAATTATAATCTCCTGTTATTTCATTAAAAGTAACATTTTAGATAGACAAATTATAATTAAAATTTGGTTCCTCTTTTTAGGAAGTCGTATTAAATGTCTTAGAATTTATTGTACAAAAAGTATTTGATAATCCTTTGATTTAATTTAAAAATTTATCTAAAGCAATTATCCTAAAAGTTAAATTATAAGGAATCATAATTGAAGTATGATAATCAAAATATTAATAACTCCCAATAGATCTACCAGTTGGCATTGTTAAATATCGCATTGTTTATGAATAACCAAAAGCTTTATAAGGATTGTTTATAATTTATTCTATAATTTCATCGTTAGAAGAGTCATAAAGAGTTTTTCCAAAAACAGTTTTGCCCCCATCTACTGATAAAGTTAATGATCTTGGTTTTTCAAATATATCATTCCCATACATAGTGGAATTGTTGTTTGATAATTAAAAATCTAATTCTTTTGTTAATTAAAGTGATTATTAATTTAAAAATACTCCTCCAGCTATTTTAGCTGCGTTTTATATTATTTATGAATTCAGAATTAATACTTATGCTTCTTACGAATAAAAATAGATTGCTCCTCCTATTTATGCAGAGTTGTTCTAAAAAATACAATTTTTAATTAATATGCCAACTTCAAATATAAACAATGATCCTCCATAAAGAGCAGTATTATTTAAAAATGTACTATCTAAAATACTGATTTATAGATTTTATTTAAAATGTAATTAATCATAATTTTATTATTGTAGCAATCTTGCTGATTCTAATAAACTATTTTTAAAGATTGATTCATCAGATCTTTTTAAAATAGATAAGCACCCTGTAATTCCACAAATGCAATTTTTTATAATAACTTAAGAAAACTTAAAATTTTCCTATTCTTTATTTTCAATTTAAAGAATTCTGAATAAACCATATTCGCAGGTTTCACAATAAATATTAGATAAAAGCATTTTTTCAACAATTAGTTTATGATTTTTATTAAATTTGTCTATCTCAATTAAACTATAATTCATCTTACTGTTGGTGTAAATTAAAAACTAATTACAATCTAATTGCAATTTTCTTTATTGTGTCTAATCCTCTTCATCATAATAAAATGGTACTTAAGGTAATTAAGCTGGACACTATAATCCAGATTTAATGGTATAATTTTTCAAAATGCAAGAATCCTAAATTTCCTTTTTTATCTGAATTATATTAGATAATTATAAATTAGAAATCTATAACTACCCAGAAAGCTCTAATAATAAATAAAATGATTTACATGATCTTAAATTAAATTTAAATAATGGTGACTATAATACAGTACAATTAATAACTTTTACATTTTATAAAACCACATTTTCGGCCTATTCAATTTTTAAGAAAAATTAAATATAAGTAGAGAGAAAGCTACAATTTAAAATTGTAATGTTTCCATATTATACGAATATCATAGGATTAGATTTAGCAATATTAGAAGCATCATCTTCAGATAAATCTGAGATTTATGAAAAGTATTATTAAAAACCATATTCTGTTGAGTAAAATTAAATATTTTAAAAAATTATACTTGAAAAAATAGTTTCAATCTTTGAAAGAACATATGAGAAAAATGAGTTTTATAGAGAAAAGCAGTCCGTAACAATTAAATTATGATATTCAATCCAATTATAACTGAGGGATGGAATAATATAAATAGCTCCTCCATCATATCGGCTATAAGAAGAATCTATTATAGAATTATGCAATTTAAAAGTAAATTTAGATAATGATGCATCAATATGAAAACATCCACCCATTGAATAAATTGAATGTTCTAATGAGGTCATTGTGTTATAAAATAGTGAATTATTTATATGTATTAAACTTGTTCCATGTGTTTTAATTTAAAATCCTCCACCATTATATGAGTGGGAAGTATTAATAGTTATATTATTTATTTCTAAAATACTGATTATAAAAAATCCATTACCTCCACTTGATTTAATGGGAAATATGACATTATAATTATTTTCACTTAAATCTTGGAATTCAGAAAATATTAAATGTTAACTTAAATGAGAAACATTAATTAAACCACTATTTTGAAATAAAGAATTTCTTAATAATAAACTGAAGGCTTTTACATAAAGTATTGCATCACTTGAGTTAGTTACAATATTTTAAAAGAAGATACAGTTATCTATAATAACAGTTCCAAATTATAATTAAATATACATAGTTGTAGCAGAAGCTCTAGTTAGATCTTCATAATATTCATTCAAATGGTTATTAGTAAAATTAATATTAGATAACATTACAGATGATTACTATTATGATATAATTGAAATCAAAGATGCATGTTGATTTGCATCAAATATAATAAGCATATTTGAAGTTATTATTACATTTTAAATTGTTATTTTTTCAGAATGAATTTTTAGCATTATATCATAACCTGAGAAAACGATAAATGGATTATTGAAGCTCAAGCTATTTGATATCTTTAACTAATCTATGAGTACATTCTAATATTATCCAATATATAAGTAAAAATACATGTCAAAAAAGGTATACTATTTAACACATTCTATATTCGAATGAAGGGACTTTGGTAAAAAATACTAATTTTAAGAAATTGTTAGATTTCTAATCTCTAATTATTCTGAATTCATTATAGTTAGTTCAGGTAATCCATGTCTTCTTAAAATTTATATATCTTCCAAATAACAAATTTAGCATTCAATAAATATCATTGATTGTTCATAAGAAGTCTGTTTTTCTTAATCTCTAGAGGTTTTAAAACAATTTTATAATATTAATCCTCTTAATTCAAACTTTTAACTTTTTATCACTTTATATTTAATAATTACCAAAATTTATTAGTCATTGTCATATTAGACATTTATAATTGAACAGTTTTTCACAATTGGACTTGAGGATGATAAAATTGCTTAATTTGATTTTGAGTAATCAACATTATTGGATATTAAGGTGCTATTTGCAACTTTTGTATTATTTATGATCCAATCTTGAAGATGAATAATATTTGAGGAATAAAATTTTGAACCAAGAAATATCATTGAATTATCTAATATTAGATTAAAAATTTGAGATTAATTAATACATGGTAGATATATAAGACTTGAATTTTCTTCCAATCTGATATTCTAGACAGTGATTGAATTTATAGATAAAGATCCAACTGAAAAATTTAATTAGCAGTTACTGATTAAAAAATTAGATTAAATAAATTAAGTGTTTAATATCTAAATCTAATATAATTCTAAGTTTTGTGATAAATCATTATTTTATGCTTAAAATTTTAGGAAACTAGAATTATAAAAATAAGAATCTATAATCAAAACATTTTTTAATTAAATAGAATTCTTTGTAAGACTTTCCTGTGCTGTTAGTACAAAAATATCTGAGTTGTAAATGTAAAATTTAGATATAATTAAGTCTTCTATATATAAAGTATAGGGTATGTTTGATTTTATTGTTAGAGAGTAATTGGTTTCAGTATCATCATAATTTGTAAAAGTGCAGTTAATAATTCTTAAACTTATACTCTTTTTAATGCTAAATAAGGAAACAGGAAAATAATCTAACTTAATACTATCATATGAAAATCTAGAAAACCTAAATTAAATTTTATGAAAACTAATAGTTGTAAAATTACTAAATGTAAGATTGCTAAAAACACGCAAAACTGTGGGTTAAGCTTCTCCTATAAAAAGAATGTTAACTTATTATAAAGTAAATACATTTTGTTAGATTTTTTGATTTATTTAATTAAATTATGTAAAAAAGCATTCTGTAATTTCATTCTATATCAATGTAAATTAATATTCAACTTCTCTAATTGATATCTCATTCAAATATTTATAAAGTGAAGGAGTTTCTAATTTTGTGAAGTATAAACCCTCCTCAAATAAATTTCTTATCCATATATTTTTATATTCAAATAATTTATCACCTTTAAGGATTGCATCATATTTTAGTGTATTGTATTATCCATCATCACAATATAAGTTTTATTTTATTAAAATTTTGTTATAGCACTAGTTGTACAGATTGCAAGTATTTATTTACTACGTGTATGAATCATAAAAATAATTTTCATATTCATTTATTTTTCTAGTTTTCTCAAAACATTTTCTTGTAAATTGTTCATTTAAATTAGTCATAATAAAATATGGATTTATTTCATAGATTTCTTCTTTAGTCCTATCTAAACAAGCTACACAATTAAATGGACATTATTAACATATTCCTTTAGAATTTATACTTTTTAGAAAACCTGATTATGTTTCATGACATTATACACAAGTAGATTATTCATTGATTATTTCACATTTTTCACAGGTTTTATCACAATCCTTAATACATTAATGTTTATATAAAACATATCCTATTTGACATGAAGTGCATATTTATTCTAAATTCATAATAGTTTCATAGTTTTCAATAAGACGATTGTTGTTTAAATTTTAAAATAATTAATGAGTGGCTTTAATGTCCCATTTCCAGAAATCTTGTTATTATTTATTTTATTCAATACAAGTTTTACATATTATTGCACATTATTTGCATTGTCCGGTTAATAAACTTGAATAATATCCATCTTCACATAAAATACAAAAGCTATCATTTTGATTATAATTTTTAATGCACTATTTACAATATTAAAGAGTAAGACAATCAATATTTTAAACAGCATCAATATTTTTAGAGCTAATTATGCATTTTTGAGTTGAATCAGTAAAAATTATAGCAAAATCACAATCATCATTTAAAGGTTTCAGTTCGCATTTTTGAGAATTTGAATTAAAAAAGTAGTTTTCTTTACACAATGCACAACTAAAAAACACAGAAAAGATATCATAATTTATTATATTAAATTTAAGATCTAGGTTTGTGTAATAAAGTCCTCCATTATAAATGTATTCAAAACAATAAATACAATTTTCAATGTTGCATTCTCTACAATTTTTTCCATCCAAAGATACATAATATAATGAAGGAGATTCATTACACTACAAGCAATAGCCATTATAATCACAACTTTTACAATTATGACCACAAGTTATACAATTATAATAATGCCATTGTTATCCTTCATTACAAGATAAGCAGAATTCTAATGATGAACAAGTCTTACAATTTTTACATTCACGACATTATTTATTTGAATCAGCAAAAAAGCCATCAATACAACAATAGCATTCAGAAGAAGATTAACACCGTAGACACATTTCTGAACATGGGTAACATTTGTTTTCTTTTAAAAAATATCCTTCTTTGCATCCCTCTTATATTTTTAGGCTTAAACTTAATTTAACTATGTAATTTTAATTTTCATCTAATTAAATTTCAAATGGACTTGATTAATGCGAGAATTTATCCTTAATTTTAAATACATAGTCTATATTAGTAAAATAAGTCTCAGCATCTTATGAACATAAAAGTGTTTTAGCAAAATCTTTGGGTTCGGTGATACAATTTAAACAAAATATTTTAGTTCCTTATAATGCTTCTTTTTAAAAAGGACTAAGAATAAAGAAATATAGAAAACCATTAAATGCAGTTATTATTGTATTCAAAGTATCCAAAATCACATTAAATATTCTAATCATGGCAATCACTCTAACCTGGTTTTGAACATTTTAATTCAATTTCTTACTTAGATATATGAAATAGTTCCTGAAGAGCAGATTTACATTCCATTTAATCATCTAAATCTAAAAATCCTTTTTAACATTAACATGTCCTTTAAGTTTCTTAAAATTATCTAAAACTGATCTCAGAACAACTTAAACAGTTTTATGATGTTGGACCATCGCATGTTAAACAAGAATAATGACATTATAGACTAAATAATATTTCTTATGGTTCACAAAAGAATTCTATATTTATACCACTCGCATATCCTGACATAAAAGTTTTAGAATAGTGATCTCCTCCAAACAATATATAATAGTTAGTTTATTTAAAATGTTATATAGGTTCAGACCATTTGTATTGTCTGATCTCATTAATTGTAGGAAAATATATTTAAAGTATTGGTTATCCATTATTATTTAAAGTACCAACTTAATAATCAAAGTAATGCCAATTTATTAACAATTCTTAAAACTCTTCCCCAAATTAAGAAACTTTCTGGTTATTATCTGTCTTTTACTTTCTCTTTAAAGGAAATTAATATGAATATGTTGATATTTCTAATCCATTATTTATAGGATTATTGTTTTAATAATATTTAAGAAGAGCCTATTGATCTCCGAAGTATAAATCATCATTATAATTATCACTGCTTGTGATTCGAAATATTACAGTCTCAAGTTAAAAATGGCTTAAATGATTTAATTTAAGCCATCCATTCAATACATAAATTGTTGTTTTTACTGCTTACTCTATTCTTCTTTCATAAAATTTCTCACCACTAAGAGCTTAATTATATCCCTATAAATTAAAAATTATACGCTCCTCATCATAGCAAATATCATATGATAAACTAGGATTAGGGCAAGACTCAAAATCGGAAAAAATATTTTCTTCGTTTGTCGTGAATGTATAATCTATTATACCATGGAATCGATTAAGTATTACCCATTCTCTATTCTAATTTTAATAATTAATTAAGCCTCCAAATTTATGTAGTATATTCAATTCAAAATAAGGCAAATCATTAACAGTTTGGGTTGGTATAACTTCTAAAGGGTTATAAATTCCGAAAGTAGTTTACTTTTTATTCTAATCAAAATAAACATAAAACATTATCCAAATTCCTTCATATTTTAAAATATCAACAGCAAAAATAAGAGTATCTATATTTTATTTAAAAGAATAAAAAATTTGATAATAAATACTTTATGTTGTTGAATCAATGGATACAGAAACAACAATTATTTTATATTTATTAATTCTTTATTCAATTAAGTAAATAAAATCTCCTTCATTGATAATAATTTTCTCTGTTTTTGAGATTACAATTTTTGAATTCCTTTCATCTAAAATTTTTGTTTAAAAATATACCTAATTCTTCCATTATTAGTAATGGTCGATAATTCATCCAAATTCCAAATCCTACATTCTACTCACCTTGAATTACTTATATAGGCAACTCTTAGACATATTCTCCTTATGGATTTTAAATATTCAATTCATTTTCAAAAGGTAAAAATTCACACTAACATTTTACTTACCTATGTTTATTATAATGAGTGTTTACCTAACTAATAACAAGAATGACAACAATTAACTAAAATGGATGATCATGATTAGATAAAAAATTAAAATAATTATAGAAAATCTTTTTCATGCTTAGAGTTAGATATGATGTGAAAAATAAAATTTATAATAAAACTTATTAATTTACCAAAATATTCTTTTTAAATGATATTTTTATATCGATATCATATATTTTACAGCTAATTTACTTTTTTCAAAAGAATAGGGTGAAATTGAGAGAATAAATCAAAAAAATATGATTAAGGGAAGTATTTTCTAAAAAAAAGTTATATTCAGTAACAAATTTAAAATCATTGCTTTCATTCGAAAGATGGTGTTAATTTTTATCATCAACTAAATACTATAAATATTAATATCAGTCAAACAATTGAAATCATTAAGATCATGTGAAACACGGTTCTAAATCATCATGATATTAATGTAGAATATTATATAATAATAAATATGACTTTTTTTAATTTTATTATGGGATTAATTAAAAGTATTAAATTCATCAACTATGATAAATAGTAAAGTGAAATCTGAATTTTAGCAGAAATTGTCTTGTTGTTCTGAATATGCTTATAGAGAAGATACAAACTTTCCAATTAGAAATCAGATGGAAGATTGTATAAAATACTTTGATAAGATAAGCACATTATTATAAAGATAATTGTTTGGAAGATGGTACAAGTAGTCTATTTGCAGTTTTTGATGGTCATGGAGGGATTGATGTAGTTGAATACATTACAAAAATACTACCAGAAGTAGATTAATAAAAATATAAGGCAAAGACATTCTTGAGAGATTTTAAGCAATTTAATGAATTGAAACCGAATGAATATTTTGAATAGATATTTAAAAAGGTGGATGATTAATTAAAACTAATAGGAGCAGCTGAAATAGGGGCAACATGCTGTTTAACATTATTAAGGAGAGAGGATAATAAAAGAAAATGTTATATAGCAAATTTAGGTGATACAAGAGCAGTGATGAATATAGATGGTAAAGCAGTTAGAATGACAGTTGATCATAAAGGAACAGATCCTGGAGAATAACTTAGAGTGAAGTAAATATTAAATATGTAATAATGTTTAATAAAGACGGGAAGGTGGTACAATAGAGAGAGGCAGAGTTATGGGAAAATTAGCAGTCACTAGAGCATTTGGAGATTTAGATTTAAAGACTCTAGGAGTATCAGTTAAGCCTGATTTAAAAGTTTAAGAAATTACATCTCAATGTAAATATTTGATAATGGCTTCTGATGGACTTTGGGATGTTGTAGATGATTAAGTAATGAAAGTTATTGAATTTTCTAGAAATCTATTGATATAACTAAAGGATTAAAGAATTCTGATGAAATGACAAAAGAATTATTGTAGTTTGCCTTGAAAAATGGTTCAAGAGACAACATTAGTATCTTAATTTTAATGTTCTGATTTATTATATAAACAAGTATGTAACTAATCATTATTATGCAAATGAACTATTCTAAGAATCTATTTAACTTTCTTAAATAGTATCATTTTATAGTTATTAAAACACTCTTGATGGCTGTGCTTATTACTATTATTTCTATTTTTATTATAGTAATAATAATTAAGGTCTAGATATAAATATATATTTTATACCCTTAACCATCTTTTTAAACATTCTATTAAATTAATGTTTTCATTAATTTCTGATTCTTGTCACTTACTTGATGTTTTCCAAATATATTTGATCTAAATCGAGTAGTGCCTATTAAAGAATTTCTAAAATGCAATTATCATATATTTGTTACTAATCAATGAAATCTTGTTCATCTTATTATTCTTTTGTATCTTTAAATTAAACTGAATCACTAACCACACTTATTTTACCTTCAAGTCTTAAGTCAGGTTCTACAATTGTTAATTAAGGAACATTAGAAATATTTAGTATTTCATTTCTAAGTCCTATATGTCTTGACCAAGCATTTAAATAATCAGCAGGAGTTAATACTTCTTATTAATATTTAAGAAATGATTCTAGCCATTATATTTGATCGTATTATCTTTTCAATTCTAATTAATCACCCACTAAATAACTCATTTTCTTTTATGTTTCTTCCTGCAATTATAACAATGCATCTTATAAAACTTAATAAATCCTGCCTTCAATAATAGATGCATTTTTATTGACTTCTTTTATACTATAATCAATCTATTATAAGTATTCAGCCAATTAATTCTTTCGTTTCTCTATTAATGGATCAATGTCTTTCGATTCAACTAAAGATTTCATATATGCATCTGATATCTTAACCAAAGGATGATTTGCACTCTCTCCTGAAGAATGAGATCCTCCTATTTTACAATATAAACAAAGTGGTGTTCTATCTATTGTACAAAATAATTCCAACTTTTAATCAGAATGCTATTAACAATTACCAAATGTTTTTGGTTTCTTATTCTATATATCTAAATATTACTTCATTTATTGGTATTCTCTGATGCTTTGATACTAATTTACCCCCTTTTAAATGATGTTCTTCATCACAATCATAACATAAATTCATTTCATCTGCTTTACAATATACTGTTGCTGTATTATCATTACAAATATCACAAAATGGAGACTAAACTAAATCCACTAATTTACATTTAAATTATCTTCCTTTTTTTAATCGAACTCAAATTGAATAACATAACATGGCAATACTTTACCATTATCAAATAATACATAGTCATGTTTAAATGTCCCTGTCATTGAATCTTCATCTTCATTAAATAAATAAATGCTATCAAATCCTTAAATCAATTTATATTTATCCTTCATTGATGTTTTATCTGGAAGACAATATGATTTACCAACTAATACACTATAATCGATATTTATTACCTGCTATCTTTAATAACAATAATTCATAAACCTTTCCAGGTTATATGTTATCTGATAGTTTAATATGACCTGTTGGAAAACGAAGTCCAGTCTATGGAAATTCAAATCCTTTTGTACAAACTTTTTCCATTCTATTATTTTCATCTAACAAAGAAATCTCTAGCCAAGAATCTAATGTTAATAATCCCTAATTTTTTAAATAAAATTATCTACTTTGCTTGCCTTTTCAAAGGTTTATGTCATGTGAGGATTTGTGATTGTCCAAATATTTTTCACTGTTGCTGAAGTATAACCAGATGATAATTGCAATAAATATTCAATTCGAGCCCATTCTGTAGAATTTGGTGATAGACGAGAGTATTATTTGTTCAAAAAGTTATGTTGAGGAATATTTGTATAATTTGACATTAAATATTTAATTTAATTCAGTTATTTATTAATTTTATTAATAATATACAAAGACTATTTTTATGAAATTACATATTTTTTGTTACACCGAATCTAATAAAATTATTTTTTGATTTTTATATAATATTGACCAATAATGCATGAATATACTAAAACTAAAATTACAATTAAAAGTCTTTAAAATTTTAAATAAAATATTTAAGTAATTATAATCTGCAAAAGATTGATAAGTGAAAGGTAAATGAATATCTTCAAAATAACATTTTGTCGTAATTGCTTAAAGGTATTTTGATCTTTTTTTTAATTAGATTATATTGGCTGGCTTTTGAGTAATTTGAATTAAAAGAATTATGATAATTTTAAGAGTGTTTTTGTAAAATTAAAATAATATTAACATATATTTATATTTCATTAAGTTGAATAATAACTATGAAAAGTTTTTGATTTATCATACTTTCTTTGAGGTTGTAAATTGATTGTATTATTATTTGATTGATTTTAGTAATATTAGAGCATTGTCTAATTTTTTATCAGTAATTTGTATTTTATTTAGACTAATGTTATTTTAAGTATGATTGCTTCTTCCCGGAATTGGAGAAGTAGTAAAACTCGACCAAAAATTAGATTGGGATCTATAATATTTAGATTTATCAATATTAGTTTTATCTTTCTATTAGCAGTCGACTTTTGTATTTAAAAAAGAGAGTGCCTCTTTGATTTTTTCGCTCAAATTCATTTATGAATCCTCTGTAAGCATTTTAGTAAATATTGCTTTTGATGATGAATTAGAATGAGAATTATTTTATGCTCTTTTTCCTCTTGTTTGAGATATAGGTCTAATGGAAGGACATTCTAATGAGGATTGCAAAGTTTCAGTTTTAAATTCTGAAATGCTTTTTGGATTTTAGAGGGAACTAAAATAAATAAGATAATACTTGATAATAAATTTAAGTTCTTTGTTTTACTTTATATATTATTTACACTTTTCTTACTCTTTGTTTATTTAAATTTATAATTTTAGATTTAATTGAAGAATGTCTTTTAGTTTTAGCTCTTTTGAGTCTAATTGTTCCTATTATTCTTTAATTATTTTTTCCAATGAAGTTATTTTATTTTCTAACAGCTTTATAATAAATAGAAGATACTTGATTTCTATGGATTTCAAATGTCAATCTCTCAGAGATGTGAATGATTTTTAAATGAGTTGTATTAGAGTTGTCTTCTGATATTTTATCTATTTATGAAACTCTAGACATAGTCATTGAAGGTTCATTAATATTGGTGCTATATTTAAATTTGCTATAGTAATCAGAAGAAAATATTTCAGTCAAATTATTTGAGAGTAATAAATTAGTTTATCTATCTGATTCTGATATTTCCAATAAGGAGTCTTACTCATTTTTATCCATAATTATTTATAAATATATAATCTAATGAAATAATGTTATGTAATGTTATGTAATATATTTAGATCGCTAAGGGGAGGAGATTATAATCATAAATAAAACCAAATAGATAATAATTTTAATCCAAATTTCAATTAGATACATCTATATTTTCGAAAAGTGCTTTTCTAAAAATACATAAAATTAATTCAATTTAATCATTAATATTATATTAAATGTTTAGATCTAATAAAAGCTCAACAGTTCCGATTAGAACTAAAGAGAAAAGTACAATTTTAGCTCCATGTATCAATTGTGAAGAATATATACCATTTGATAAAATTGATTTACATGCTCTAATTTGCACTCAAGTTTCAAAAAAAGTACTTAAATATGCTCAATCAAATGTATTTTTTGAAGAGAATGATTTCAAATTAAGCAAATTGAAAGCCAATTTACAGAATAAAACTTATAAACATACTTAAAGATTATGTCGAATTTGTGAATTGGTATCTTAAATCAACACAATAGGATGTGTAGAAGAAGCCTCTTTAAAAGAGTTTGAAAGAGAATTACTCATCTTAAGTTAAGAACCTATTCAATCTATTAATTAATCATTATATATTGAGAGATTACATTCACTTGTTTTATAAAGAATGAGTATCATTTAAAATTAATTAAACCTTAAAGCAATCAAACCTTCATAATCACAATAGAATTTATATCCTTTATAAAATAATACTTTTGTCTCAAAAAATTCAACAGGTTCAACCCAAACAACTAACAATAACAAATTATAAAATTTAATTCAAAATAAACTTGAGTAATCTAATTAATTTAATCATAACAATAAACATAATTATTGTTAATCACCTGATCCTAGAATGACTTATATAACTAAATTTTCTTAAAATAGTCCTATCTCTCAATATGGATTAACTTAATAACATTAAAAAAGTGAAATATTAACTCATATTAGTGAACCATATGCTGAAAGTATTGATGAATAATCTAATCCAAAAACATTTGCTTAAAGATGTTTCTATTCAAAAGTTTTAAATCTTAAATTAAATTACCTTTAATCCAATCCAGCTTAAAAAATTCCTGTATCAGTTTTATGGAAATAAGCTGAAAAGAATAAAGTGAAACCAGAAAATTGGGAACTATTTATTAAAGATTGTCTAGATAAACCATTCCAATATTTAGATCCTCAAAAAATGAATTCTCAATTTAACAATTCCTCATAGATCAAATTCAAAAAATAATTTTGAATTTACTTGAGTTTATAGTGATATTTATTTGAAATTATCTAAATAATATTAATCTCAAAAACAATAATAATGGCAAATATTCCACAAAAAAGATAATAAAAGTATTATATAGATGATGAAAGAAACAATAATCTTGCCCAAAGAGGATAAAATATTATTGAAGGTAATTTTAATTGATTGAATTTTATTCTAAGTCAATCAAATAAATGAATAGAATGAAAGGCAGTGGTTAGCTGAAATAGAGGAGGCTTCATAATACGTTGATGAAACTTATCAAAAACTTATGCAAGTATTAAATAATGTGATATCTATTTTATATAAACTTAGGCGGATTAGACATTAGAAAGGTTCAACGAGGAGTAAAGAATTGAAAACGAGAATTAAGACTCCTGATTCTTCATATTAATAAATAATAATAGTTTATTTTTAATATATCTTTGACATTTGCTTATCATAATTCTTTCCTTTATTTTTTTGCTCTATATTTCTAACATAAAACTCAAAAGTCTTAAAAATTATAGACTATTATCATCTCAAATAATCTATGAACTAGAATAAAAAATTAATAGAATAATTTTAGTATTTTAAATAGTAACTCTTTAATACGAATGTTTAAATTGAAGCTAAATTAGAATATTAAATTCATAGATAAGTAGGGGAAATATTGAAAATATTGTTTTTCTAAAATACAGATTAGAATAAAGGAAATAATATGATATAAACTTAATTTATTTTATATAATTTTCTATTAATATAAACAATACCATCTATATAGTTATTCTTTCTATAATAAAATTTAAAATGCAAATATTAGATCAGCTATTTAAAAAAGAAATAAAAAAATATATATAATATATTCAAATAAGAGAAAATGGAATATTTGAATGGATTGTTGTAGTTTAAAAGACAATTATTAATAATGAATATGTTTGGAGATAAAAATATTTGATTATATGTAATAGGAATTAGAATGGATTTGAAATATCTTTAATTGAAGCACCTATAAAGGAACATATTAAATTTTTAGATATTATTATTTAATTTTCTGATCATTTCCTTTAAGAGTTCCTCAGATAGCAAGGTAAATTAATTAATTATTATCATCCTTTCGTACCTGACCATATATTTATATTATGAACCTAATTTTTAGATGAGCAAACAAAATTAGACTTTCATAGTTAGCGATCATTCAAGACCATTCCTACATAGTTATCACCCAGATGACAATATAGGCAAAAAGTTAGTAATATCATAAAGTTCCGAGTTGGGGGGAGCCATATTCAGTAGTGTTGATGTAACAATTAAACATTAAAAAATAGGTTGAATAGAGGAAACCTAAATAAGTACTTCAAAAAGAATATGATGCGAAAAGCATAAGATATGCAAATGAAGATTACTCATATTTAGCAAATTTGTTGTTGAGCAGATTTTCACAGTTAGATGCAGCAATACCTATTGCTACTCAATTTCCATTATTTAAAATGTTAAGAGGTGTGACTAAAAAATTTATGTTTAATGAATTGGAAATCATATTCTTTTTACATACAATTGAAGAATAGAAATGGAGATATGATGATCAATTGATATCAGAATTCTAAGTTCACTTTAAATAAGATTTTCTTAGCAATTAAGAAGTATTAATTATTTATATAATTTATATTAGAATTAGAATGTTGAAGGATTCAAAAAGTTATTATTATTTTTAATCTGCTGTGGATATACTATCAAGTGTTTTTTTAATGATTCTAATGATTAAGAAATCATTTTAATAAATGATCATATCTAACAATATTGTTAAAAAGAGTAATAATATATAAATTATAATAGCTTTAAAAAGACACTTCTTGATTAATGGAGATAAAAACATATGAATTGCTCTCTCAAAATTGTTCCTAGAATCATAAATAAATTGTATAATAAATTAATGAGAATACCTAAAGATGGAAAATAAGAGTTATAATAAGATTATAATGCTTTAGTAGATTAAATCATATAGATATCTCCTGCTTACAATAGTTAAGAAGCGAAATAAGTAAAACAAGAAGTTAAACCTATATAAATATAACAACCTCCTTAATAGCCAGCGCCTATTAATTATAGTTAATAGACATAATAATCTTTTTAATAATAGGCCTTCATGAACAATTCAGGTTTATACATGCAATTTTCTTAATCACAAATTCCTTAATAGCCAGTTTAGCCTTCTTATTATTAAAATTTTCCATTGAATAATTAAGATTTCTGTGATTCCAATATCAATGAAAACCTATTTGGAAATTCAACTAAAATCAAAGAAGAAATGATGATGCCTCCAATGCCTCCCCCACCTTTATTGAGTTAATCTTCTAATTATAAATAACAATGATAAATTAAATTAATCACAATGAATTTAGTCTTGTCGATTCTATTCAAAGGCTTGAGAATAAAATTAGACATTTTCAATCTGATCCATCTAAATAAAAAAAGATTGTATTCAATACAATTATCATAGGTTTTTAAGTATTAATAATAACTTGGAATGATGCTCAATCAAAAAGCAGAATCAGAGCTTCAATTAAATAAATTAGAATCTTGTTACACTTATCTTTAAAAGGCTCAATAAATTTGTTTATTAGTCCCAACACTTAAAGTATTTATTCAAACCAATTAGTTATAAACTTTGAATAATCTCGCTTTATATCACTAAAAAATTAATTAACCATAAAGAGCACTAAATTACTTGAACTAAGCCTTAAAAATTCAATATACGTATATTATAATTATTTAAGTTAAGATAAAATTTTGATTCATCCCTAGCTAATACTTATTTAAATATCAGTGCCATTTAATCTTCTCTAGAATGTCATGATGGAGCACTTTAAAATATATATCTATCCATAATATTACTCTAACATGAATTATTAATTGAAGGATTAAAATGCAATATAGAATTATAACATTAATTGAATCTTCATAAATTATAGAGTAATTTATTATCAAATGGGTAACAATATTTTATTTTTAATTTAGAACTAATTTTTAAATTGATGAATATTTAAAAATTGATCGAGCATAAATTTTGATTGCTGCATATCACAACTTAAGTCTAGAAATGGAATATTTCAAAAAAAATGAAGAAGCCAGAAAAATTATAGAGTCTGCTAAGACTTTATCCGAGTTTATATTGCAACCCTCTCATTCTTTAAGATAGAAATTAAAGGAAATATCAGACAAACATATTAATAATAAAATCTAAAAATCATAAAATTTAAATCACAGAAGCATTTCCTTTGATGATAGAAATAGCAATAGTATACGTCCAACTAAATCGTCAAAGTATCATTTTTAAAGATAGTTTTCCAAAGATAATAATTGTATATAATTACCTCAAAACCCTAAAACTATCCTTAAGAATACCCCACCAAAGTTAATGAAACATTAAAAATTCATAACGGAAATAAACCAATCAAAATCATCTACAAAAATTAACAAAGTAATTAATCCATTAGAAATAAGTTATACATTAGATTGATTTACCTAAATTAATTGAAAAGATATATTATTGATTAAAAAACTCACAAATTTGTTAATTCATTCGATTCTTTTTGTGGACTAAATAATTTTTGTTATTTCAATAATTTTTATTTATTGAGTTGTTACCTTAGCTATCTTTCATCTATTTCTTTTGTTTTGGAATTACTAATTCCAATCTTAGCTGTGAAACCTTTTTATTATTTGAATTTTAATTAATAATTTGTTAAGTCGACTGATTTCATTCTTAAATGTAGAAATGATACCTTCATAATGATCATTTTCTGGAGATGAATCTGTTTGATCAAATCCTATGCCACTTAAATTTTAATTTTTCAAATTTATTTTAGTTCTATTGTAATTATTTTTACATTCTCAAATTTTAATAGACTTTTAATAAATTGTGTAGTTTCAATATCTTCCAAAGCATAAATTTCAATTCTCTCTCCTATTTCAGTATGTGATTTATCTTTTTTATTTGAATGACTTGCTGTAGTTTATATATCATAATTTAGCTCATATTTTTTACAAGTCCTTTCATATTTAGTTATTTAGATTTGATATTTGCTTTATAGATCGTAATGAGCTGTTTCAAATTCATAATACCTTTATAAGATTTCTTCAAGAGCTAAGCACTTAGATGCTAATTTTGAGTAAGGCATTTTCATAAGAGATTTAAAGTTGGACATAATAAATAAAATAAAAACAAAATATTATTGTTAAAATTCATAAACTAATAATATTATTTTACATATTTATTTTTTTTATGTCTTTTTTGATTTTAAACTTACATTTTGCTTATATTCTCTATAAATATATATATA